CTTTCTTTTCTCCTCTCTCCCTCCCACTCTATCTGAAGATAAATGCAAAAAATGTCCTTGGGTGAGGATAAAAAAAAAAAGTCAACAAACTGGTGAGCCAGCAGTGCTCCGTACCAGGCCAGTGGTGGACCCACCAGGGACTCTATCCTTGAGCCCTGTTGAAATGGAGACAAGTGGCCAGGTGGCTGCAGGATACTGGCCCAGGTGCCCGGGAACACATTGGAAAGCAGCAGCTCCACCTTGGGGGTCACAGGGACTCTCTGAAATGCTTCTGGTGGAGAGAGTGGCTGGTGGCTTATGAGGACAGATGCTCAGGCTGCAGGGACCCAGGGTGAGTGTGGGATGGAGGGGGTGGCTCCAGACCCCCTGCTGCTCCTTTACCTTGAACTCACCCAAACATCTAAGCCTCATTCTCCCCAGCTATAAACTGGGTCCAAGGACAGTTACCTCCTGGTTGTTTCATGAGGGTTGGAGACACAGCTGGTATGGCATCAGCCTGTGTGGGGAACATGTATGTTACAGCTTTTTTTTTTTTTTTTTGGTCCTCACCCGAGTATATTTTTCCATTTATCTTTAGACAGATTAGGAAGGAGGAGAGAGGGAGAGAGAGAGACAGAGGGAGAAACATCAATGCGAGAGAGACACTATCCAGGGCTGTTACAGCTTTTTATTACAGGGAACTTCAATCAAAGGACAGAACTAGATAGGACAGTACAACTAAGTATATTTTTATCACGAAATATTGCAAATACCCAGTGAATGATATAAGGAACACCTGCATACTTCCTTCTCCTACATTTTTGCATTGCTGCATTTGCTTCAGGGTCCCCCCTTGGCACTGCTGATGTCACGCTGGGTCACTTTCTGGCTCAGGTCGGGTGCCGTCCTGGGTACTTTGGGGTGCTGAACAGCATCCCTGGCCCCCACTCAATGCCACGAACACTCCCAGTCATGACAACCACAGATGTCCCCAGACATCATCCATTGTCCCCTGAGGCAGAATCTCCCCAGTTGAGAACCACCTACAAATCACTTTCGTCTACCCTGGATGCCTGTCCTGGCCTCCACTGGATCTCCTCTGGCCACTCACAGAAAATATTTGCTGACCTCAGGCTTAAAAGATAAACAAAAAATTATCTGTCTAACCTACACAGTAGTATATTGTTGCCTTTTTTAAAAAAATCCTCACTGGAGGATATTTTTCCATCTATCTTCAGATAGAGTGTGAGAGAGAGAGAGAGAGAGAAAAGCATTGATGTGAGAGAGACACATCAATTGGTTGCCTTCCTCACGACCCCAACCAGGTTCAGGGACCGAACCACAACTGAGGTACATTCCCTTGACTGGAATTGAACCTGCGACTCTTTGTTCTGTGAGCCAGCGCTCTAACAGTTGAGCCAAACCAGCCAGAGCCTTATATGGGTGTCTTTTATGTTATTCTGTGCTTTTCTGGGTGTTTAAAATATTTTCTTATTAAACATCATATTTAGACAAAGAGCTGGTTCCCTCCATACATTTTATCCCCAAAAGAGGGCCCAGCGCCCAGGAAACACTGAGTTTGGAATAAATGAATGAATGAATGTGTGATCAGGAAAGATCTCTCTCTAGGAGGTGAATATCTGAGACTTGAATGGCAGAGGACAGGAGCTAGCTAAATGTGTAGAGATGTAAGGACAGCATGTTCCAGGCAGAGGACGCAGCAAGTGCGAAAGCCCTTTCGTGGGAATGTGATAAGCCAATGTGTGTGAAACCTGTGGCACAGAGCCTGGCGCACTGGTACTCAGGTAGTGCCCATTACTACCCACATAATCACTCACATTCCTTGGGCCGAATCTGCTCAAAAATTTTTTCTCTAAAGCTTGAAAGCACCTAGTGTCAAAGATCATACTACCTTTAACCTGGAGGAAAAAGATTTTATTAAGAAAATTTTAAACTGCACTGAAAAGTTGAAATGATTGAACAGTGAAAACACTACTTACCATTTGGAACTACAATTAACATTTGCTGAGCTTATTTCATCCATCCCTCCCCACCTCTTCCCCTCACCCTCTATCTATTCCTCCTCCCCGCTATGTCCCTCCCTCTTTCCAGCTAATGTTTTGGATGCACTTCAAAATTTCAGACATTAGCACACTCCACCTGTAAGCACTTCAGTGTGTGTATCATTAACTAGAGTTTGATATATTTCAACATGTTTTTGCAATATTAACTACTCTGATCAGCTATTAACTCTAGAATTCTTAGCCTTTCCCAACCTAATACTGGCGGTAAAAGTATGAGATACTGCAAAATGTGGAAGTTCTTTATTTTGCCATGGAATAGTGTTGACCCCCAGATTCACACCTATTCAGTGTCACACCAGGTGTGAACCTGGTGAGGAAGGATTAGCAGTTGGGGCTTTAGCATCTGTGTCTTAATGGGAGAGGGCATCTATATTTCACAGATAAAAATTAGCCCTAGCATGAAACCAGGGAAAGGTAGCCTATAAAGAGCAGGGGTGGGTGCAAAGGGCAGAAACCCCACGTTCCACCCCTTCTCACACACTTGCACTATGATCTTGGGTAAGTAGCCTGGCACCTTGCTGCACCCTTTCATTCTAACGATTGGTCAGTTGTTTCTCTTGGATTTTCTAAAATTGTCTTTTTCTTTTCAATCTTCATTCTTTTGCTTGCCTATTGCATTGGCAAGTGCCCCCCATGCAGTGGAAGCTCTTGGCCACTCCTCCCCCTTGTCCTGTGGTTGATATTAATTTGTTTGCCATGAGTTTTTGCTTTGTACATATTTTTAAGTAAAGGCAATTCTTCCTGCAACCCTCACTTTTTTCTTTCTTTCAATAGTTTCTTAATAGTTTTTTGAATGTCAGAGTCATGTTAAATTTTGTTGATCGCTTTTCTGGATTCTGAGATGTGATTGTTTTCACCTTTGAGTAATTTCCTAAATTTCTCCAAACTTGTTCCCCCCCCCCCCCCCCCCCGTAAAATTTGATAGCGAAATGAGATCATTAAGTCAAGTGGTGTCTGGCTCAGGTACCTGAATGCCCCAGCTCTGCTCCCTGCTGTGCCCATGCAGTGCTGCCCTCAGTACCACCTCCTGTATGCTCTCCTGGGACTCTGCCCCTGTGCCCAAAGGCTGGCCAAACCATTCCACTTAATTAGGGAGGTGGGCCTGTGGCTGGCCCCTTCTGCCACTTCCTGCTTTTCAGGGTTGCAGGCTCCATTGCAGGTAGTTGACTGTGGGCTATGGCCCCACCCTGCACAGATCCAGCAAACCTCACATTCCCCTGCTACCCCTTTCCAGCAGTGTCTCTCCCTCCCTGCTCTCAGAAAACCCTGCAGGTGTCTGTCAGCAGATGACAAAGCAGACCTGGTCTACCTGTCATGGGGGAGACAGATCACACAAGCACCGCAGAGTCTTGAGTGCCAGGGAGATTGAGAAAGCAGCGGATGTGGAGAGAGGGACCTTGGAGGGACTGTTTTGGGTGAGGTGGTTGGGGGATGGCTTCTCTAAGGGGGTGACATTTGAGCTAGCTCTTCGAGGAAGCAAGGGAGCAAATCCTGCAAGGGTCTGGGAAGGGTGATTCCATTATGGAGGAACAGCACATAGAAAGGCAGGACTAGGCTTGGCATGTTGGAGGAGCAGTAAGGAGTCCTTTGTAGCTGGAGCAGAGTGAGGGGGAGGGGAAGAGAGGCTGGGGAATTTGGGGGGGCAGGTGACACAGTCTGTGTAGGATCTATCTCTTGATGTAAAGGGACATGATGTTTGCTCCCCAGGGCCACAGTGGGGCTGAGTGAGCCCCTGTCACAGGACAGGAATGTGGTGGGTTCCCCTTCTGGTCACACTGCCCGTGCTCCCTACTGGGCTTCACCTTCCCCTCCCTGGTTCCCGCTGGCTCCCGTGCTTCCTCATTCTGGGCCCTGCAGGCCCTCATCCCTCTGCTCAGAACACCCTTTTCTGGCAGTTTCCTCCTTTCTGACCCATGGAGCCTGGCCTTTCACACTCTGAACTGAGGCAGCAAGTCTCCCCTCCTTGAGAAGCCACCTGGACCATGCCCACCACGCTGGGTCAGGCCCCTGTGCTTTCAGGCTGGAGCCAGTTGGTTCGTTCATTCATTGTCATCCATCCATGGTTTCTTGGGTGCCTCCTGTAGGCCAGGTTTTGTTCTAGGCTGTTTGGATATAGCAGCCTAGGGATACAAAGCCCATGCAAAGGCCCTGAAGCAGGACAGCGCCTGTTGTGTTGGAGGAACAGGGAGGAGGCCTCTGTAGCTGGAGCAGAGCGAGAGGGAAATAGGGAGGAGGTGAGGGCAGGGAGGGGATGGGGCAGGTTGAGAAGAGCTGTGTAGTAGACTTGGGGAGGACTTGGGCTTTTTATCCCTGGAAGCCCTGGAGGGCTGTGGGCAGAGCAGAGATGGGACCCCACTCTGGTGCTCACAGGTGCCCTCTGGTGGTTGCTGTGAGGAGGACAAACTGGGGCGGGAAAGGTGGGTGGGGGAGGTCAAGGTCTGAGGAGACTGCTGGTCCAGGTGGGCCATGAAAGCATTGAGGGGGAGCAGTGGCATATTCTGGACAAACTAAAGGTAGAGCCCAGTGCTGAAGGACATATGTTAAAGCCTCCTCCCTGGGTCCTAGGGGCCCATAGCCCTTTGGTAGCTTTCCCTGCCTTGGTTTCCACATTAAACAAATGTGGAGAAGCAGCTCCTGCTGAGGCTTGTGTGTGTGCAGAGGGAGAGGACTGTGTCATTCCCTTCATCTGTCTGTCCCTTGTCCATCAGAAGTCAAAGCATTCACAGGTGTCTGCTAGTGGCAGGACCAGACCCACAGACAGCACAGCTGTGCCCTCAGGAGGGTCTTGGCCTAGAGCTAGGACTGCATAGGGCGTGCTCTCCCAGCTTTACATGTCAGGCTTTTCCCCACCTCCAGGCTAGTTTTAAAAATTAATTTCTTAAAAAAAAAAATGGAGTGGCTAATTCAGAAGATAACCAGTCCTGTTTTGGGCTGGGAGGAGCTCCACATCTGGGTGTTGCTTCTGCCATCCCCAGCCTGGCCCAGCCGGTGGGAGTGACCGCCACCCCCTACAGCTGCATGACCTGCACAGATTCACCTCTGAGCTGCTGCCCCCGTTCTGAAGAGAGTGACAGGGTCACTGCCCTCACAGGCATCACGCTGTGGTGGGACACATGACGAGGTAAAAAAAGGAATTTCAGAGAACAGGTGGGACATGTAGATGGCAAAACTGGGGAATGTGACCTGAGTAACAAGACAGGGAGGTGACTGTGGTGGCCACTCTGAGGGGAGGCTGGGTTGAGACCTGAAGGCCAAAAGGCCAGCCTCGGAGATCTTTCGGAAGGTGTTTCAGGCATTGGGAATGGCACATGCCAATGCCTGGGGGGGGGGGGGTCCATTCCCTGCACCGCCCTCCACAGACTGACAGAATTCAGATACCTTGGGTGGGGGAGCAGGAGGACTTAGGGGGTGTGATTTGTAGAGGAGGCAAGGACCTTGGTGTTGGACCTGCTCTGGCAGAAGCCCTGGGATGAAGGCCCTGGAGCTGCAAAAGACTCAGGTGGTCACCGCACGGTGGGTTCTGGGCCCAGGGGCCCTCACACGAGGTCCAGAATGTTCTGCCCTGGTCTACCTCTGGCTTCCTACTTTCTCTCCTCTTCCTTCCCCACACCCTAAATGCAAAACCATGAATTGTTCTGCAGTTGGGCGGCCAATGAAAATATTATGTCAGCTTTCCAGCACCTTCCAGCCCTCACTTGCCACTGGCAGGGCCTCGGGATGTGCCAAAGCCCAGGTTCCACCCTGTGGCCAGGACGCCTGGGTGGGGAGCCTCAAACATCTACCAATAGGCACCCAGGGCCTGGCCTGACCTTAGTGTGGCTGGTGTATCCTGGGCCTGCTGCCCCTTCCAGGTCTGTGGGTGGTGACTGTTTTGGCTTTGTCCTCTGGGCTGAGGTCCCCTCTGGTGGGCCCTGTGGCCACGACCTTAACTTCAGCCAGTTGCCCCCCACCCAGACTCAGTTTTCCCATCTGGACCATCTCCTACGGGATCTCAGCACCCCATGCATGCACAGGTAGACATGCAGGGTGGTGGCTGGTGTGGTGGTCATGGTTGAAAGAGGACAGGAGTCTCCACCCTGCTGGCCCAGCTGTGCTTGTTACTGTCATCTTGGGTTTGTTTTGTTTTGTTTTAAAATTGAGAAAAAATTCATATACCATAAAATTCACGCTTTTAAGCATACAGTTCAGCATTTTTTTGTATCTTTACAATGTTGTGCAACTGTCACTGATTGGAACAGAGCAAGTTCCTCCTCTGCTGGGTGAGATTGACCCCTGCCCCTCACCTGGGCCTGCCTCTCTCTGAGGACCCCTTTGGTCTCCTTCTCTCTCCCTTCCTGACTCGCACCCTTCTAGGCAGCCTGGTCCACTCTCGGGGTTCCAACCCTGTCTGTACCCTGACAACACCCACAGTGCTCTCTCCAGCCGGGGCTCCCCTGAACTACAGACTCGGGGTCCAACTGCCCCTAGATGTCTCCACGAGAAGGGCCTACAGGGGTCTCACTCAGCACACCCGCAATGCTGCTTTACGGTCCCTCCCAAACCTGCTCCTGCCCATCCCCCACATCAGCTGTCAGCTCCTTCCTTTTAAATTGCTCCAGTCAGAATCCTTAGTCATTTCTGATTCCTTGCTTCTTCACTCCGCCTCCAGTGAGTGAGCACAGCCTGTCTGTCCTTACTTTATATTTTTTTAATTTATCTTTATTGTTGCTGTCCCCCTCTTTTTCTCCCATTTATCCCCTCCTCCCCACTCCCCCCCCCACCTCTACCACTCTATTGTCTGCATCCATTGGTTATGCATGTCTGTCCTAACTTTAGATCTTGGTTATGCATGTCTGTCCTAACTTTAGATCTTTCCAGAATCCGCCAATTCCTCTCACCTCTTAAGCTCCTATCAAGGCCAAGCAGCCCTCTCGCCCTGCCTGGCTCTTGGCTCCTGCCCTTATGCACCCCCCTCACAGTCTGTCATCCCTGAATCAGCCACCAGAGGGCGCCTATTAGCACCTATGTCAGGGCCAAGTCACCCCTTTGCCCACAGCCTTCCAGGGCTCCCACCTCCCTCAGGGTTAAAGCTCAAGACCTCCTTTGCTAACCTGCACCTGATTCGTTCTCCTGGCACTCATCCAACTGTACAGGTCCTTTTCTGCTCCGTCCTGTGAGCCCTTGAGGGCAGGAGCCAGGTCTGTCTTGGTCACCACTTGCTTCCCCCGAGGATGTCACCCAGTGAATGAGTTTCCTGTTGCAACTGAAAGAAATCACTGCAAACTTGGCTTAAAATCACACACATTTATTCTCTGACAATTGTGGGGTCAGGAGTCTGACATGGTTCTCACTGGGCTAAATCCAGGTGTGGGCACGGTTCGTCCCTTCCCGAGGCTCCAGGGAGAACCATTTCTGGCCTTTTCCAGCTTCTAGAGGTGCTGCATCCTTGCTCCTGGCCCCTTCCTACATCTTCACAGCCAGTAGCACAGCCTCTTCCATCTCTCTCTCTTTCTCTCTGTGGCTCTGACCCTCGTGCCTTCCTCTTATAAGGACCCTGTGATGATACTGGGCCCCCTGGGGAATCTAGGATCATTCATCCCAGGGGCCTTAACTCAGTCCTACCTGCAAATCCCATTCCGGGATCAGGATATGGACATCTTTTGTGGGGAGGGGGCATATCTACTGACTACGCTCATTGAATATATAATTGGCAGAAGCCACTTTCCCCAGTGAGGACACCGGGGCTCAGAGAGGTCAGTGGTGGGCCTGAGGCCTCCCTGCTGGGAGCCAGAGTTGAGGGAATGGTCTTGAAGGAGGAAAATCACCCGCCTTCTCACCTGGGCTTTGTTAAGCCAGGGCATCGCTCCTGGAAGCTGTGGTGAAAGGAGCAAGTCCTTGGCTGGTTTTCCAGAGCTGGCTCCATCGTTCCAGTTTGGGTCCCCAGCCACACTGCTTACTGACCATATCTCCCTAGTGCCCCGGGCCTTGCCATAACATCACCCAGACCTTGCTCCTCTGGGTCACCTGATTTCTTTGTGACCCAGGTGTCTCCTGGTTAAGCCTTGCTCCTACAAGCAGAGGAAGATGGCATTTTGTAAATTCAGTCACTCAATTCTTTCCACCAAGGACCTGATTGATGTCTTTGGGGTAAATGGTGAGTCAGCGTTGTGGTCGGTCTCCCTGCTGCTCCTGCCTCGGGTGTGCCCAGTATCCAGTCGTCCTGACATCTCAGCCTGTTCTGTCTCCATGCTCCCATTTCCCATGAGGGGTTCTTGCGACCCTGTGAGGTTGTAGGCACCTGTGTGTAAGGGAAGGAGCATGAGGACAGCAACCTGGCATGGGCAGGCACAGGTTGGTGGGTTAGGCTGTGTAATTTGGACTCCCTGATGCCAGTCTGAAGTCTCCCTTTTCTTCCTTAGGTTTGGCCCAGAAAAAGACAGTCCTGACAGAGGTGAGTGTCCTGTGGGCCCTATCCTGACCTGCCTCCGGAAGATAATCGAGGAAGCACCCAGCCCTGCTCAGGTCCTGCTCTGTGGCCTTGGGCAACTCACTGTACCTCTTTGGGCCTCAAATGATGGCAAATGTCAGATGGGTGAAAATCCCGTCTCCCTGCCATCATCTGGAGTTTCAAGGAAGGGTGCGAGTCGGAGAGGGTTGAGGCCCAGGGCTTACTCAATGAGGGAAAGGGCGTAGGCCAGAAAGGGGAGGCTGGAGAGGTAGGAGGGAAGTTGGGCAACTGTTGGTCCCTGAGGATCTTGCCAGGAGGGTGGTGCCTGCCCAATGCCTGACTGGTAGCACCTTTAGCATAGACAGCCCATATAGTGAGCCCACCATCTTCACTATCTTTCAGCCATGTTCCTAGAAAGCTTTCCCTGATGGTGGCCACTCATGCATACACACCGCCATGCTGCCCTGTCGGCCCCTGCTTTCTGTCCTTAGTGAGGGCAACACTGGTGGGGTCCCCACTGTCCTTGGTTAGAGTTTCCAGTCACTCCTAATGGCAGCCTGTGAGGGAAGTATCTGAGCCCTTTTTTACAGGAGAAGCAGCCCAGGTGTGGCTCGCCTGCACCTGTGGTAGCAGGAGTCCCTCCTAGGCATCCTTGTCCCCTTGGAGCCAGGTCTCTTATTCCAGGGTGCGAGTCACCATGTGGGTCTTTCTAAAGAGGGCCGTGTTCACTTGCCAGGGCCCTGCAGTAAACTCAGATCTCAGGACAGTGGAAGGGAGGTGGGGTGCTCCAAAGGCATTAGGGAGCCAGAGAGGTGTGGGGCAGGGATACTGCTCCATATGACCTGTGACCAGTGGCTTTCTTTGTTGGGATGGCCCATGTCACACCTGCCACAGCTGTCCCCTAGAGCTTGTAGGAGCTGGGTCTGCTACCAGGCTAGTGGAACCTAGGAGGGGATGCTGTTCATAATCATTTCAGCCCAGAGGGCTATTCTGCCCACAGGGGACACTGGATGATGTCTGGGCACATCTGTGCTTGTCACACTGGGGTTGCTCCTGGCATTGAGTGGGTTGGGGTCAGGGATACTGCTCAATTCCCCACAGTACCCAGGAAGTCGTCCCCCCGCCCCCCACACACGGAATGACCTGGCTCCAATGTCAGCAGCACTGAGGGGACCCTGCCCCCTGGTGGCCAGTGTGCAGAACACATGGGAGCCAAGCTGAGGAGTGATGGCAGGTGGGGGGCATTTGAGGGCTGCCTGAAACCCCTGTGGGGGCAGTGCTCGTCGGGCTGATGGCCAGAAGGGCTGTGTGGGGTTTTTGAATGGTGGCAGGTACATAGTGAGTACTTCTTAAATGTCAGTGACGGAGCCACCAGAGGGGCACTCAGTTCCTATCTGCTGGTTGGCTGTGGCTCCGGATTCTGAACTGGCTTCTGTGTCCCTCCAGGCTCCTGTCACCCCTTCCAGTATCCTCCCCTTGTGACACCACACATCAGGGCCAGTGGCTTTCACACAAGTTTGTTGGAATGGCCCATGTCACACCTGCCATAGCTGTCCCCTAGAGCTTGTAGGAGCTGGGACAGCTACTAGGCCAGTGGGACCTGGGAGGGGATGCTGTTCATAATCATTTCAGCCCAGAGGGCTATTCTGCCCCCAGGGGACACTGGACGATATCTAGGCATATCTGTGCTTGTCACACTAGGGTTGCTCCTGACATCAAGTGGGTTGGGGTCAGGGATACTGCTCAATCCCTCGCAGTACCCAGGAGGTCCCCTCCCACAAAGAACGACGTGGTTCCAGTGTCAGCAGCACTGAGGGAAAGACCCTAAAATTAGGCAGGTAGTTGGGGCTGCTGGCTTCTAGCTCTCTTGAGGAGCTGGGGGTCCTGATCTGGGTGTGGGCCCTCCTGAATGTGAGGTGTTGCCCACTGGGTGTGAAGCCTGCCCACACAGCTTTCTGCCCCCCGCATGCCCTACATGGCCCAGCCCTAGGCTCCAGCTGGGCACAGTGACTAAGCTCCTATCTTGCCAGAATTTCTAGAGTATTATGACCTCGGTAGCTCCTTCTTGCTGACTTTTATTTTATTTATTTATCCTCACCTGAGGACATTTTTTTGCATTTATCTTCAGATAGAGCAGGAGGGAGAGAGGGGGGAAGAGAGAGAGAGAAACATCAGTGTGAGAGAGACACATCGAGTGGTTGCCACCCACACAACCCCAACCGGGGCCAGGGACAAACTGCAACCAAGGTACATGCCCTTAGTGCGAACCAAACCCGGGACTCTCCGGTCCGAGGGCTGATGCTCTAACCACTGAGCAAAACTAGCCAGGGCCTTGCTGACTTTTAATGCTTCCTGTTTTCTCTAGGCCCCGTTGATGACTGGACAGCCGGGCCCGGGTCATGGGAGGAAGCTGGGCCATCGGGGCGTGGACGCGTCTGGCGAAACCACTTACAAAAAGGTTCTTCCTTTGCCCTTAGCCAGCAGGGGTGGATTGAATGGGGGGCTCTTAGCAGTTCTGGGGACCTGTCTCCCCCACACACACACACACACAATGTTCACTGAAGTTCAGATGTGGGCCCTCAGCCCTGGCAAGGTCCCTGCTGCATGTCATCATCTCAGGCAGCCTAGTGATGTGCTCTGAGGCTACACAGGCTGCACGATCTGCCTAGCTCCTGGAGTCACCTGTGACCTTGGCTGAGCTTTCAGCTCCCAGCCCTGCTGGCTCATCTAAAGATAGAGGAAATTACTGCTCCCCTCTTCTCCCTCGGGAAGCAGGGCTGCGATGAGGCAGTGATGGGAAGCTCTGAGCCAGGCCCAGCCAGGGGAGTGTGCAGGGAGCCTGGACCCCACCACTGTTAGTCCTGCCTTTCTCAGTTGTGCTTCCTGATACTGCGGCTTTGCTAAGAGAGTACACACACCATGTGATTTCCCCCTTTTGAAGTGTACAGTTAGTTTCCAGAGTATTCAGAGTTGTGCAGTCATCACCACCATCAATTTTAGAATATTTCCATCTCCCCAAAAACATACCACATCCTTATTAGTAGTCACTCCCTGTCCTCCTTCCTAGCTCCTGGCAAACATAAACCTACTTCCATCTTTGTGGATTTGCCTATTCTGGACATTTCACATAAATGGAATCACACACTGTGTGGCCTCTTGTATCTGGGTTCTCTCACTGAGTATAGTGTTTTCAGGGTTCGTCCACGTTGTAGTGAGTGTCAGAGCTTCCCTCCTTTTCATGGCTGAGTAGTATTCCTGGGTGTGGGTGAACACGTGTTTATCCATTCACCCACTGGTGGAGACTTGGGTTGTTTTCACTTTGAGGCTGTTAGGAATAATGCTACTGTGACAATTTGTGTACAAGTTTATGTAGATGTTCTTTTATCTCTTTGGGGCACATACCTAGCAGTGGAATTGCTGGGTCACATGGAAACTGTATAACCATTTGAGGAACTGCCAGACTGTTTCCCACAGTGGCTGCCCCATTTTCCATTCCTGCCAGCCATGCATGGGGATTCCAGCGTCTCCCAGTCTTCACCAGCACTTGTCTTTCTGATTACACCCACCCTATGCCTGTGAAGTGGTATCTCACTGTGTTTTTTTTTTATTATTGATTTTTTTTTTAGACAGGAAGTAAGAGGGAGAGAGAGAGAAACATTGATGAGAGAGAGCATCGATTGGCCGCCTCCTGCATGCCTCCCACTGGGGATGGGGCCCACAACCTGGGCATGTGTCCTTACCAGGAATTGAACCGGAGACCTCTTGGTGCATGGGTCGACATTCAACCACTGAGCCACACCGGCCAGACTCTCACTGTGGTTTTGATTTGCATTTTCCTGTTGAGCACCTTCTCCTGTGCTTGTTGGCCATTTGTGTACCTCCCCTGGAGAAACGTGTGTTCAGTTGATGGCATCTTGAGGGAGTTGAGTGTAGAGGGCAGGATAGGCCTTCCCAGTGAGGAGGTTCAGGGAAAGAGGCAGCTGGAGGCCGCGAGACCCTGGCACAGGAGGATGGGCTTGCTCGGGGGTGGAAGATAACTCCTGTCTGCCCTCTTGCTGCTTGCACCTGTGGCAGGGTGCTGGGGCCCAGAATCACACTGAGGGTTGAGATGTCTTTCCTTGGTGATGCAGATGCTGTGCAGAGTGCGCAGTGACAGTGGAAACCACATTGATGAGAAAACTGCAAACAGCGAATTCTTCTCAGGCATGGGCAGCTCAGGTCCAGGCCACTCACGTGACCTAACACACTACCGTCTCCATTCCTGGCTGTGGGTGGGGAAACTGGGGCACAGAGAGGCAGTGTTGTTCTCTGGTCATGACATGTGAATCACCTAGAAAGTGAATAGAAGGAACCTAGATCCCAGGTCTATGAAAATGAAGTTTGGGTGTCACTCTATAAATTGTGCCCCCCCACCAAAAAAAACTCTGATGGTGATAGACTCCAGCTACATCAGGGTAGTTTTGAGATGTTGGAATGTTCTAGAACCTTGAAAATGGGTCTTGGGTTTCATGAGGTGGTGGTGGAGTCTCAGCCAAACCACTTCTTTGCTGTGTGTGTATAGGCAGAGTAACCAGCCTGAGGCCCACAAATCTGTCATAAGTACTAGTGCCCCCTGGGGCCCAGGGGTGGGATAGGGGCTGGCCCAGAGGTAGGTCTTGATGTGGCTCTGTTTCCCCACAGACCACATCTTCCACCTTGAAGGGGGCCATCCAGCTGGGCATCGGCTACACCGTGGGCAACCTGAGCTCCAAGCCAGAGCGCGACGTACTTATGCAAGACTTCTATGTCGTGGAGAGCATCTTCTTCCCCAGGTAGGCCCAGCTGCTGTGCCTCCAACAGCTCACCTGACAGACACACTGTTGTCATACAAAACAGCCTCCAATTCTTTGAGCTCCCTTCTCTGCTGTAAATAGCACAGCTCTTTACAAGTGTTTACTTGACTTTGAGGTCTGACTCAGGATCCATTAGGATATTAGTTTGCTGCTGAATCAGAGAAACCCAATGTGATAGTGGTTTTTTTAAAAATAGGGGAGCCCTGGCCGGTTTGGCTCAGCAGTTGGAGCGTTGGCCTGCGGTCCAGAGAGACCCGGGTTCAGTTCCCACTAAGGGCAGGTACCTTATTTGCAGTTTGTACCCAGCCCTGGTTGGGTCATGCGGGTGGCAACCACTCAATGTGTCCCTTTTACATTGATGTTTCTCTCTCTCTCTCTCTCTCTCTCTCTCTCTCTCTCTCCCCCCCCCCCCCCCCTTCCCACTCTATCTGAACAAAAAACGAAAAAATGTCCTCGGGTGAGGATAAAAAAAAAAAAATAGGGGAAAACTAGAAATTTGTTTTCTCTCTTACATACACAGAAAAACTGATAGGCAATCTAGGGCTGGTCAGGTGGGTCCTGGGTTCCTTCTGGTTGCTCTTCTATCCTCATTATGCAGCTTTTCTAACCAGTAGTCCCAGGTGGCTGCCCAGGCTCCTGCTATCACATCTGCATTCCAACAGCAGGAAGAAGAAGGAGAAGGGCAGCACATTCCCCTTTCCTTTAGGGCACGACCAGGAAATGACAAACATCGTTTCTGCCCTGCTCACAGCTCATTGGCTGAGTACTGTCACCTGATCACACCTAGCTGCAAGAGAGGCTGGGAAGTGGTCTTATTCCAGGTGGCCACGTGTGCTCAGCCAACATTGTGGACTCTTGTTAATGAAAGAAGGGAGCGTGGATACTGGGAGACAGCCTGAGACTTGCCACAGCCCTTGGTCCCATTGGGAGCCTCAGGTTGCCTTTCAGATTGGCCACTTAGGGAGCTTAGCACCTAAAGGTACCATCTTTCACAGGCTTTCCTTCCTCTTTTCCTCCACAGTGAAGGCAGCAACCTTACTCCTGCCCACCATTTCCAGGACTTTAGGTTCAAGACCTACGCACCTGTCGCCTTCCGCTACTTCCGGGAGCTCTTTGGGATCCGGCCAGATGATTACTTGGTAAGTGTATTAGTCAGTTGTTGCTTTGTGACAAATTAGCACAGACTCTGGCTCAAAACACTACCTGGCTGTAACCTCTCCATTTCTGTGGATCAAGAATCGGGTGCAGCTCGGCTGGATTCTTAGCTCAGGGTTGTAATCAAGAGGTGGGCAGTGGCTGGGGTCTCATGTGACACTATACTGGGGAAAGGTCCAATGGCCAAGCTCATGTTGTCCTTGGTGGGACTCAGCTCCTTGCTGGCTGTAGGCTGGGGCCTCCTTTCCTTCCACATGGGAGGGAGGGAGAGCCAGATGGGATCCCCCCACCCACTCACCACCCTTCTTTCAGTACTCTCTCTGCAATGAGCCACTGATCGAGCTGTCTAACCCTGGCGCCAGTGGCTCCCTCTTCTACGTCACCAGTGACGACGAGTTCATCATCAAGACGGTGATGCACAAGGAGGCAGAGTTCCTGCAGAAGCTGCTGCCCGGCTACTACATGGTAGGGGGCATGGGTTCCTGCAAGGTTTCAGGGGTTGGAACCTGGGCTTCCCTACAGCCCCTGTCTGCCTCCCTTAGCTTCATGCCCCTCTTCCTCCTAGCAAGTGCAGCAATTCCACTCTGCCCCCAGTTCCTTTTCACAGACATGCAGGAGCAAAGGCTCCAAGGCCCTGGAAGATGGGTCCCCAAGATTCTTGGGGTACTGCTCACCCTGTAGGCGTCCATGAGAAGCTTTCCTGGGTCACTGGGCCTTACCCTCAAAGCCCCCCTCAGGCAGTTCCCCCACACTTGTGAGTGGCAATTTCTATTTAGGCCCTAGCCCCCATCTTCTACCCCACTGATGTCCCTGAGTTGTGGGTCCAGAAATTGTGGCTCATGGGCCATGTGTTTCAGCATTTGATGACTCAGAGGCATGAGGGAAGAGGAGCTGGGCCACCAGCTGGCACCTCACAAAGGACTAGCTACTCTGGCATCCCCATTCTGGTGTGACTCAGGACCCAAAAGGGCATGTCAGGCCCCTAAGCAGGGGTGGGAGTGGGGGTCCTTGTACTCAGGTGGGCGCCACCTGAGTACCGACCACTGTGCTGCGCCAATCTGGTGGGTGTGGAGACAGACCCCTCTGGGTGTACTGCCCAGGTTGTGACTATCTCCCTTTAGGGTGTCCCTCATCTGCCGTGTGTGATGATCTTGGTGGGACCCCTGGCTCCCCTAGATCAGGGACCAGCAAACTTTCTATAAAGAGCCAGGCAGCTTTGTGAGCCAAGAGCCTGTCTCCACAGCTCAGCTCTGCCATTGCAGCAGGAACACCACTGTAGACAGCACCAGAGTGGGCAGGCAGGCCAAGTGCCAATAAAACTTTATCTATGAACACTGAAATGTGAATTTTATTACACTTTCACAACACAAAATGTTGTCTTTCTTGTTTGTTTTTTTCCCTCCAACTCTTTACCAACATAAAACCATTCTAGTGTGAGAACAAGCAGCTGGATGGAGTTGGCCCTCAGGCTGGAGTTTGCCAACACTGTCTTTGGACATGCCCCCCTGTCCCCCCAGAGTGGGCTTGGAAAGAGGGATATCTGATCTGACCTGATCGGAAGTTGGGCCCAGACACCTTAGGACTATCCCATGGGGTTTTTTTTTTGTTTTTTTTTTTAATCAAAAGGCCACGTCTCTGGGCCTGGCTCTGTAGAAATAGACCCTCCTCCTGGAGCTTCCATTTGCGTGGGGAGATTGAGAATTAAACTGGCTGGTGTAACCTGTATAAAGTTGGGGTGCTGGTGGGGAGGGAGGTGGTTAGGTCCAGCAGGGCTTCCTGAGGAGATGGCCTCTGGTCTGAGATCTGAGTGGCTGTGTGCGAGGCCAGGGGGTGAAGGAGTGGCTCCCAGAAAGAGCATGGTGCCCTGGCTGCTGTCCACTGACACTCTCCCCTCTCACCCCCACCCCCAGAACCTCAACCAGAACCCACGGACACTCCTTCCCAAGTTCTATGGGCTGTATTGTGTGCAGTCTGGGGGCAAGAACATCCGTGTGGTGGTCATGAACAACATCCTGCCACGCATGGTCAAGATGCACCTCAAGTTTGATCTCAAGGGCTCCACATACAAGCGGCGGGCCAGTAAGAAAGAACGGGAGAAGAGCATCCCCACCTACAAGGACCTGGACTTCATCCAGGACATGCCCGAGGGGCTTCTGCTTGATGCTGACACCTTTTCTGCCCTCGTCAAGACGCTGCAGCGGGATTGCCTGGTGAGCCGATGGCCCTGCCTTGCTGCAGAGGAGGAGCTCAGGGACAGAGAGGCTCCCTGGCCTGGGCTAGTGCAGGTGGTTAAGGGTGGGAATGCTGGGGTCGCCCCTTTGTCATCCTAACCAGGTTACTCCCCTCTCTGAGCCTCAGCTTTCCCATCTGTGAACTGGTGGTGCTGGTGAAAGCTAGTGCAGTGTGAGCCCAAAATTCACAGCCCAGCACCAGGCTCCCTCCTGCCCGCCTTGTCCCTGTGTCCTGAAGCAGTCTGTGTTCCTACTACAGAACCCAAACCCACAGGAGGAACTCGACAGTCTCAGGGCCCTTAACTCCTCAGATCCAGACCTGCCCCCCAACAGCACGCACGAGCTCCATGCTCTCCTCTTCCGGGGTTAGGTGCTTTTTAGGGATAAAGAATGCTCTACCAGGGTCTTCGTGAGTTCGTACAATCTCCATCTGCCCCCCACAGCCTGAAAGGTCAGGCCACTCTTCCCTCTAGCAATGAGGAAATAGACCTGGCGAGGGCATTCCCTGCCCAAGGCCCCCAGCTAGCTCTCAGGCTGGGCTGGGTCCTCTGTTGTCCTCTGTTCTGCATCCCTGGCCCCTCAGTCCACTGTCCCTGGCTCACAGACCCCTTAACACAATGTTTCCAGAAAACTGCTTAGATGTCTCAGGTCCTTTTGGCTCCTGGGAGATCATCCCAAGCCCGGATGGTCATGCACCTAGGCTCTACCATGGGACTGTAGTGGGTGTCACATCCATAGCACCCAGGCTCCTGAGCTGGCATCGGGGAAGTGGGAGCACAGAGCCAGCCACTCTGTCCTGACCCTGAGAGGCAGCCTGGCCTGGGGTTACACAGCACACCCTAGGCCACCCCACAGGGCCAGTCGCAGGTCTGCCGCCATCTACCTGCTGCACAGCCTGGACTTTTGCCCCTTGGTCTCCTCTGTGAAATGGAGAGAGTGACAGGGTCTCCTGCGTGGCTGTGGAGGCTGAGTGGACACAGATGCACAGTGTGCAACCTGGGGGCACCACCAGGTTTAGGGGCAGGGGGATGGGGACGGTGTGTGTCCTGACCCTCTCCCCCACACACTCTTGGCAGGTGCTGGAGAGCTTCAAGATCATGGACTACAGCCTGCTCCTGGGCGTGCACAACATAGACCAGCAGGAGCGTGAATGGCAGGCTGAGGGTGCCCATTGCATGGCGGATGAGAAGCGGCCGCTAGGCCAGAAGGCACTCTACTCTACAGCCATGGAGTCCATCCAGGGCGGGGCCGCATGTGGGGAGGCCATCGAGACCGATGACACGTAGGTGGTGGGGGTAGTGGAGCTGGCCGGGCTTCCAGCTCTAGTCTCTACCCACACCCTCTTCCCAGGTGTGAACACGGATGGGAGAGTTGGCACAGAAGGCAAGCAGTGACAAAGCAAACGAGACCAGAAGCCTTCTGTGGCCAGGTTCTGGTCTAGACACAAGGACAGCAGTGTCTTCCCACCAGGCCTCGTGAAGGTCACACGGATGACGCACAACTATGGCCCGGATGTTTTGACTGCTTCATTGCAGAGTAATCAGTTAGTGGATTCATGCCATTGGCCATCCACATGGGAAACACAGAGGTCCCCTTCCTCCTGCTAGACCCCACTGTATGAAGCCCAACTAGACAGATGTTGAAAGAGGGGATGAGGGGGTTCCTTTGTAGCAAGATATTTAATCCAGAGCCTACTAAGGGGCAGCATTGAGAGCGTTGCTTCCCTAAAGATAAAAGACGGCCATGCCAGATGACAAGGTCATAAAGAGGAGCATGTCCCCTGACTGTACCCATTCAGTCTCAACCTACCAATCCTGTCCTGACCTGGGGGCTTGGAGTTTGATTGGGGAGACAGACTCATGGCATGTACCCCTCCCACAGCACTGGGGACACTGAGGCCTTATCATTCTCTGTGGGAAGCTGTCCTGGACACTGTGGGGTGCTGAGCAGCATCCCTGGCCCCTACCCACTTGATCCTAGGCACATCCCCACTCCTGACAACCATAGGTGTCTCAGACATGTTCCAGTGTCCCCTAGGGGCAGAGTCATCCCAAGTGAGAATTGCTCCTGTAGATGAGTCAAGATTGCCCCTGTCCCCATGCAGTGACCTTGCCAGGAACGAGCTGGACACTACTTACATTACCCTGTTTTGCCCTTACGGAGGCCCTGGAGGAGGAGGGTGGCATGCCCCATCTTCAGCTGGAGAAAGACGGTCACAGGTGGGGTGGAGACAACTGCCCTGTGTGCACAGCCAGCTGGTGGTGGGCCCAAGACTTGACTCCAGCCCAGCCACTACACTAGGCCACCAGCTGCGGAAGGGAGAGGAGGAACCAGGCTCAGTGCTAGGACTGGAGCAAGGTGGAAGGGAGCGGCATGCACCAAGGCCCTGCACAGCTGGCCCTGACCTCAGACCATCCTGGCATGTTTGTAGGATCTGCACAGGGCCTGGCAGGGAATGGCAGGGCACGCAGGTGAGCTCAGTGTGCATGGAGTGCAGTGAGCAGAGCCTGGGGTTGGTGGTTTGGGTCATGGTGGCTTCAGGACAGCTGCTACATCATGTAACCCCATTAACCAGCTGGGTTGGCCATGTGCAGGCCTGGGGCTGCGTGAGGCAATTAACTCCTCAGACCACCTTGCAGCCCTGCCTGGGAGTGTGTGTGTGCCTATGTATGCATGTTATGCAAGTGTGTACATGTGTGTGTGCAAGTTGCACGAGTGCATGCAAATATGTGCTGTGTGTGTGCGTGCCTGCATGTGTATGTGTGTGTACACCTGGGCCTCGTAGCTGTGACCCCTAGGCAGCCTTAGGCCTCCAGCTTTGAATCTGTGAGCTGGCTTGGAGAGCTGCTCCATCTCATGCCAAGATGGGGGTTTCCTGTGCTGGGAACCCCTCTGAAGGTCCAGTTAAGCTGACACCTACAGGGGTCGTGTGGATTTTTTTTTTTAATGTCTCCTTTTCTTTTTTCTTTTTTATTAATTTTTGTTACAGATGTTTCTCCTTTTTCCCCACTGATTTCCCCCTCCCCAGCCCTCCCCACCCTGTCCCCAGCTTTGTTGTCCATGATGTTTGTTCATGCATACATGCGTATAAGTTCTATGGTTTATCTCTCCCCCACCACCCCCAGTTCTGGGGAAAAGAAAAAATGGCGACGGAGTGAATGGAAGCTACACAGACCATCTCCCAGGACCAAACTGGTCATGTGGAATTTTGAACCCCAGGCTCTTTCAGTCCTGCCTGCTTCTCTCTCCTTTTATCATTGTCTCTTTCCGAGTCCCAGACTGGGATTGGGGCCCCAGCTCCCTCCCACCTGGGCCTCAGCAGGCTGGGCCAGTCCCTGGTCCCCCTGCCTGGCTGTGTGGGTGATGGCGCTCTGGGCTCCTCTCTTTCCAGGATGGGCGGGATCCCTGCCGTGAATGGCCGAGGGGAGCGTCTGCTGCTGCACATCGGGATCATTGACATCCTGCAGTCCTACAGGTGGGTGCCTAGTCCCCCTAGATGCACTTGCTCAGGGAACCCAGGTGCTGTCTGCTTGCAAAGCTCTCAGCCTTCAGGAAGGCTCTGTTGGCTACCCTCCTCCCTGTCCCTAAAGGGAGCATTTGGTCCCCAACCCAGATTCCACCCCCAGAATCTAGCTTCGTCCTAGAGACTCATTGATGTCGGAGACAGGTCAAGGCCGACTCGGGGCATGGGGGGCTGGTGTGGTGTCTCCAGCTGGTCTTCCACCCAGCCCTGTCTATTGAGCACCTAGTATGCCAAGTTTGGGCTAAGGAGAGCGAGACAGAAATGCCCCATGGTTGTGAAGACTGACATCTCTGGAAAATCCCTACAATATGAAGAATTACATGTGGCTGGTACCACATGCCATGTGGTCGCGAGCGTGGACATGAATGTGACAAAGGCTGAAGGAACAGACATCAAAGCTTTACTAGGAGCTTAAAGCAACCCCATCATCTGTGCCTTGTCTTCTAGAGCTTTCTGCAGTGAAAATTTTTGTTCTTTTTATTTTTTCCTTCAATTTGTATTAATTTATTTTTGTTACAGATGTTTCCTCTTTCCCCCCCTAGACTCCCTCCTCCCCATTCTGCCTCACCCCTACCCCCTTAGCATTGTTGTCTATATTCATTGGTTATGCATATATGCATATAAGTTCTTTGGTTCATTTCAAATTATCGTTAGTTTTTTATTGTAAGAGCAATATATGTTTGTTATACATAATCCAAACACTGACAGGTTGTGGATGTGTCAGTCCATGTTTCCTGTCCACACCCCCACACCATTCCAGGAAACCCACATTGGGTGATTTCTTCTTTGCATGCTGCTTTTTTTCAAATACAGCTGGTCCTTGAGCAACATCATTCCACTCACCATGGTTGCATTGTAACATTGCAACCTTCCGAGATGCCTAGGAACACTCTTCTTTATATCAGTGAGCCTGTGGTAAAGTTGATTTCGTTAGACATTGTTTCCATTAGTCTCAGAACCTGTAAGTGAGGGCTTCCTGTGTAAAAATCGGCTCCTGCCTTCAACTTTTCATGGCCTGTTTTGTTTTGTTTTGTTTTGTTTTTTTCCTGTGGGAGGGCTGACCTTGTCTCCTGCAGGCATCTTCCTGCAGGATCTTCCTTGGTTTGGAACTGATTAGGTAGCTTTCCAAGTAGCCAGCCAGGGTTTCTGCCCAGGCCCTGGGTGGGGCTGAGGGGGTAGGCAGCAGTGGCAGCAAGCAAGTGGGGTAGGGGTGTCATAAGGAGGTGATTCTTCCCACAGATTAGGGAAGTTCAGGAAGGCTACATGGGGGAGATGACATTGTCCCTAGCCCAGGTGTGTTGCATGGCTGAGGGCTGTGATGCAGGGCACTGGCTCTAGCAGAGAGGAGCCAGGCTCAGCCTAGGCCAGGAGGAAAGAGGAAAGAAAGACTGTGGGAGGTACTAGCTGTCTGTCCGCCAGGAGGGCCAAGCATCCCGGCCTTTTCACTTCTCCCTCCAGATCAGTGGTAGTGGGAGCTACCAGCAGGCAGGGCAGGGGACAGGGTGGGGGCAGGAAAGAGAGTAGGTGGCCTCTGGCTGAAGCAGTAGGCAGCCTTAGTTCCTCTAAACCAGGGCTTCTTCACCTGCTTGATGCCAGGAGCAACTACAGTTGTGATGACCACAAATGTCCCCAAATATTGTCCAGTGTCCCCTGGGGACAGAATTGCCCTGGTAGAGAACTCCTGGACTCAAAGATTTGGCTGATGTTCTGGATGTTTTTCTCTGCTAGGTTCATCAAGAAGCTAGAACACACCTGGAAGGCTCTTGTCCACGATGGGGTGAGCGTCATTCATTCATTCACTCATTCATTCATTCCATCTGTCAGTCCACAAGTGCAGATGGTGGGTCAGGCACAGGTACTAAATAGCCAAGAGACATGTCCCCCTTTCCTGGAGTAGCTGTACAGCAGAGGCAGCCCTGTGAGGATTCAGGGGGTCTGAGCCATTTCTGAGGGATACAGGAAGACTTCCTGGAGGAGGAGACCCCAAGCTGATTTGGAAGGCTTCTCAAGGATAGTCTGACTGGGAAAGTTGGGGCAAGCTAGATAAAAACTATGTACTGTGAAGGAGGTCTTGGCCCAGGGCAGCACTGCACAGCTCTGACTCCTGTTGCCAGGTGGGCATGGGGCCCACTTCAGCAGAACATCTCGGTTGTTTGAGAGAAGCTTTCAATGCCCTTTTTCCTGAGAGCACTGCCAACATGGAAACAATTGCAGTGGATTGCTTCTAAATGTAAAAACACTGTGAGGACCAACCACTGGGGGCCAAACAGCCCACCTGTGGGCCCCTGGCAACACCCACACCCTGGTCCAACTGTGGCAACAGCTAGCCCGAGTGGATGACTTTCCTTCCATGGTACCCCCCCCATCAGACCAATTCTTACTAAAGTGCTAAGAGCTATTTGTGTGCCTACAGTCTAAAATTCCAAGGTCCCAACCAACAATCCCTTTACCCCTCTAAGAGTATTTAGAGGGTCAAGCAGGAGCTTCCTGATTGTGTGTGGCCAGCCAGCAGGAGGCTCTTTTGTGGTATTATAAATCCACAGTGAACAGGAGAGCCATCAAGTCCTGACAAGGCCAGTTATAACCCCAAAATAGTATTTGGGTCAACCCAAAGGAGTCCCAAATATTGATTAGTAAACATCCAACTGTGAGCATACAGCAGGCCCAGGTCCCTTCTGTATGTTCCCACATACCTCCAGTCCCTGCCCTCCACCCCAGGCCCAGGCGGCTGGTCCCATATCAAGCTCCAGCCGGAGGGAGGCGCAGAGGAGCAGCCAGGGAGAGAAGTAGTGCCCTTCCCCTAAGGGCAGAGACTCACTGTCTTGGCTAGTGCATCCTCAGACAAAACATGGTCACGTGGCCACTCCTCAGCTTGGGAGGATGAGAAATGTAGTTTCCATTCTAGGAGGCCATGTGTCTGGACAGTTTCTGTTATATTGCTACAAAGGGAGGACCCTGAGCCATGTTTTGGGACATCTGTGGTTGTCATACTGAGGGTGCTCTTGGCATTGAGTGTGTAGGGTCCAGGGATGCTGTTCAGCAGCCCACAATGTCTAGGATGGCCCCAACCCAGAGAATGACTCGGCCCTACTGTCCTACTGCCAAGGGGGAGACTCTGCCATAGAAGGCAAAGAGACTGGGTCCTGGGGAGAAGCAAGGAATCTCTACTTTAGGGGCCCAACATTTATTGAGCAATGACTTGTGTACTGGGCTCCCTGCCTTATGTAAATCCTCACGAGCATAGCAGTCTCCCATCTTCCTTGTTGTACAAATAAGGAGACAACCTCCAAGAGGGGAAGTATCCTGCCCTGGGTCACCCTGATGGTCAGCGCTGGGACAGTCAGGTCTGCCTGGCACCAAGGAACACCAGCTTCTACTTGCCACAGCTGATCGGCTGTGCCCTTGAAACAGGCATGGCCATGTACCAATAAAAACTTTACTTACAAGACAAGTATTAGGCCATGCTCTGACAACCCCTGCTTTAGAGAATTCCTTTATTTTGACATTTGTTTGTTTCTTCAAATAGCTATGTAGTCTTCGAATGGTTATTTTATTCACATGGCTGAAAAAATTAAAAATACAGATGGGTTTATAATATAAAAAATCTCCTGCACCACTTCCTGACACTGTTACCTGATCCCTGAGTTCCCTCCAGGAAGCCCTGTGCTGTGGCCCCATTACCCCCTCCACAAAGAAGGAGGCACCCACCCCCACAGTGGGCTGTCCTGTGGGAGACAGGGAGCCATAGAGCTCACACCCCTGCTTGCCCTTGGGCCTCCACATCTCTTCTCAGGACACCGTCTCTGTCCACCGGCCTAGCTTCTACGCAGAGCGCTTCTTCAAGTTCATGAGCAACACAGTCTTTCGGAAGAACTCTTGTGAGTTGCCTTGGGTGGGAGGGACCTGGGGTGTGGAGAGAGGAGAGTGGGTGGCCAAGAGTATGGGTAAACAAGGGTGCCTGGTTCTTCTGCTTGGTCAGAGTCCGGCCTTAGTCCGGGACTTGGTCCCGAGAATAGGGTAGTCTGGCAGCCGCGCCACACAGGGCGATACAAGGCCTGGTGCCTGTGTCCAAATTTGAGTCCTGGCTTCGCCTCGTACTGCCTGTGTGACCTTCAGCCAATAGAGGTCACGGGCCTCAGTTTCCCCATCTATACAGAGCTGTGAAGGCAACATGTGTTTCATACAAGACAAGTCCAGCACCAGCACTCAGCAGGGCTGTCCTTAGCCGTGCTCTGTCACCAAGGACATGTGACTTTGGCGGACACTGAGATGGTCATGGCCTACCAGGGGTGGGAAACGTCCGGCCCGTGGGCTGTACAAGGCCCTTGAAATCAATACCAGCTAACATCCCATGCCTCACCAAATTAGCCTGACCAAATATAGCAGGCTAACTTTTAAGTTAATAATTTTGTATGGCCTGAGAATGATATTATAAATACCCAAAGGCCCTTGGCAGAAAAAAAGATTCCCCACCCCTGGACCAGACATTGTCAGGGAAGATACAGGGTGAACAGTAGTGGTCCTTGCCCTGTGGGTGGTCTTGGGAAGCCCCGCATGTGTACTGGGCCTCGAGAATCCCAGACCCTGGTGCATACCCCAGGCTGGGATCCCACCTGCCACCTAAAAGAGTCTTCCTCCTGGCATGTCTGTATGTTGTTTGCCCCTGAACTCCCCCACTCCCAGAATGCAGGATACTTGTCAGCCTTTGTCACTATGTCCCCAGTATCCAGCTTGGGGCCTGACACATAGTAGGAACTCAGTGTGTGTCTGTGTGTGCCTTTCCCCCAGGTCACAAACCTTATGGGGTGCTCCACACATAGTACTGCTCTCCCATCCCGGACCAGTCCTATGGGGGCTGCAAAGCCAGCCCCAGTGCCCTGGAGCTGCTCATAGAGCCAAGGCATCTCCACGTTCTGTGACACCTAGTCAGTAGCTTGAAATCAACTGGTGGGAACATTAACACCATGGAAATAGGCAAACACCACAAACCCGGCTTTGTCTCCAGAGAGATGCTTGTTAACTTTACTGGCATACCACTTCCTAGAACCTTCTCGGGATGTTATTCCCACTATAGCCCAGAGGAGTTTGCTGGCTTCTAGGGACTGGATGGCTGTGCACAGGAAAAATTAAGCACCTAGTGGGTGCTGGGAGCTGTGCTGGCCACCATGGGGGCAGAGGTCACAGTATGAGCAAGAAGAAGATGGTGACAGGTACTAACCATGCCTGGTACAGAGAGTGTTACAGGGTTCACCTGCCTCCCTTGACCTTGTTGCAGACAAGAATGCTGGGGCCAAGAGAGGCTACACACAACCTGTGACCTGTGTTCCCCAGGCCACACAACCTGGCACTGAGCCTTGCACTCCCCGAGGCCTTCTATGTCCTTGTTTCCTTGTGAACGTTGGGCCACAGCTATGGTGGGCTTTGACAAAGGGGACGAGGCCCCAAAGTGCTCAATAAATATTGGCAGCTGCTGATTCAGCTGCTGTTTCTGGAGGGCCCAGGGTGGAGGTGCTAGGTTCCATCTCTGTTGGGGGCAGAGCCAGGTGGAAAGCAAGGCAGGGCTTTCTCCAAGAGGAGCGTTGCTTCTTTCCCAGGCTTGAGGAACAAGCTGGAGCTGGGGCAGCGAGGGCTGTGTGTGTAGGTGGTGGGCCTGCCCACCACACTTTCATGCAAAGGAGGGATGGGGGTCTGCAGGGCCCTGCCTTGTTGCTGCCCCAAGCATGCCAACCATTCTCCCTCCACAGCCCTGAAGTCGTCGCCATCCAAAAAGGGCCGTGGTGCCTTATTGGCAGTCAAGCCCCTGGGGCCCACAGCCGCCTTCTCAGCCAGTCAGATCCCCAGTGAGCGGGAGGATGCTCAGTATGATCTTCGGGGGGCCCGCAGCTACCCTACGCTGGAGGATGAAGGTGACCAGGCAGTGAAATTTGGGTGCATTTGTAACAGGAAAAATGAAGGGGCTACTGGCGAAAGACACCATCCCCGGGGGACTCCTGGGAGGGGGCAGGGAGCAACAATAGCAATGCAGTGTGAGGAAGGGGACCCCTGAAGCTGGGCTAAGCTGGATGGGAGGGGTCCCCTTCCAGTCCAAGATGTGCAGCCACCTGGGGAATGGGGACCAGCTGAGACTAGGCCCAGGAAGAGTTGCAGGGAGAACTGAGCATAGAAAGCACTACCCCAGGAGGTGACAGCCTCCTCTCACATCACTGGAGGCGCACAGAGACCTAGAAGGATGAAGTGCTGGGTGGTGTTAGGCCTGCTGTTCTGGAGGTCCCTCCAAGCAATGAGGGTCAAAGATTCCAGGCAGGGAAAGGCTGGAGGAATAGCATCAAGGAAGGGAGAAACTGCCTGCATAAAGGTCCTGGGGCAGGACTGTGCCTGGTGTGTTGGAGGAACACAAGGAGGCCCATGTGGCTGGAGCAGAGTGAGTGAGGGGGAAAGAGGGAAGGAGGTAAGGGCAGAGAGGTGACAGGGCAGGAAGGGGATGAGGGCAGATAGGGCAGGACCCTGGGAGGCAATTTGGATTTTAGTTTGAGAGCAGCAGGAAGCTACTGGAATCCTTTGTGCTGGGGAGAACAGAGTATGGGTGACCAGTGGGAGCTGCAGAAAAGACAGGAGTCCCTGCAGACTGGCCCAGGGAGCGTGGCTCCCATAAGTACCCACTGCCTCCTCCCCACAGGCCGGCCCGACCTTCTGCCCTGCACACCACCTTCTTTTGAGGAGGCCACCACTGCATCCATCGCCACGACCCTGTCCTCCACATCCCTCTCCATCCCAGAGCGGTCCCCCTCAGAGACCTCAGAGCAACCAAGGTACAGGTGAGCAGAGGGGGACTCTCCCAAATGGGGGCATTTGGGAGGTGGGGGTGGCTCAAGGCTAGGGCTGCATGCCCAAGAGTAAGGGCCAGGGCGGGGCCTGGGTGGGGTGGGGTGGGGGGAGGGCTCCCCTACCTGTTCCATCTGTTCTGCCTGTTTGTGTTCTCTTGGAAGGCGGCGCACACAATCCTCCGGACAGGATGGTCGGTAAGATGAGACCCAACCCTCACCCCTCAAGTCTGTAATCTCCCCAGCTTTTCCCCTGCAGAGCCCCTTTTCCCCCCTTACCTTCTGCACAACTCACTCTTCCACATTTCCACCCAGAGCCCCTCTTTCCTGAGGACATATTTATGTTAATGATCGATCTTCAGGCACAGAATCTCAGGTCACTTTGTGTTTCTCTTCCACATGGGGCCCACCCTCCCCTGCACCTGTTGATCCTTTCTTTTTCTTTTTTATTCAAAGAGATGCAAAAGTGATCATAGTGAAATGCCTGTCCCTGCTCCACTCCCAATCCCCTCCCTGGCAACACCCCCTAGATGGGATGTTTTGTCTCTGGGGATATTTTATGAATATACGAGCAAACATAGTCGGGCCTGTTTCTCCCTCTTATTTTGACACAGGCTGTGGCTCTGTGCCCCCTGTCCCTTGCTTTGTCACTTTGCAGATGAAAGTTGTCACTGTGAGCCTTTGCTGGTTCTCTTCTAACAGGCTGTTCCTGCTCTTGGGGTTATTGGGAATAGCTTGGGTTATTCCCAATTGTTTGATCTTGTCACATGTCTAGTGAATAGGGGTTGCTCTCCAGAATTAGTTTTTGGGAGGATAATTCCTGCCAGTTGAAAAGGAAGTCATGGCATAAAGCACATTTAGTGAAAAGTACATCACCCTCTGTCCAGCTGCCTGCTGGCTGCCAAAAGGCTCTGACCAACCACCCCACCCCTAGTTCAGGCCCCAGGCGAGTTCCAAGCCATCGTAGGAATGGGGACAGGATCCAGGTTGCCACTCACTCATTATGCCCCTGCTGGTGCCAGAGTCTCAGGACAGCCCCAGATGGCCAGTCAGTTGCTGCCCCCAGGTGTGTGTGGCAGCCAGAAGGACCAGGCTGAGCTGGACCAGCTTAGGGTGGTGTTTGGGTGGCACCCAGAGATGGCACCTCAGACCCCATGGGACTGAAATCTGCACCTGCCCAGAGGAATTCAGCAGAAGTTCCTAGGAAGCAGAGGTATGATAGGCGGGAAATTGAGCATGGCATCTCATTGCCTCCAGGCCCCAGGAAGAGGCATGCGTGGAGGAGGACCTGCAGCAGATAACAGTGCAGGTGGAGCCCACATGCAGCGTGGAGATAGTGGTCCCCAAGGAGGAGGAAGAGGGGTGAGTGACCATGTGGTCCACGCTGTCTTTTTGCCTGGTTCCTGTGCTCAGCTTCTGCCCCAATCCCATTGGCTGAGCATGGTCACCTGGTCATCTGGCATCAAGGCAGGCTGGGAAATGTAGTCCACATTCCAAGCAGCCGAGGCATGGGAATAAGGCTTCAGGCACTGGGGTACTGGATACCAGATTCACTCACAGAGCTGCAAGTAATGTTTCAGTCCAGGGATTATATCTTGTTGGTGATCTGCAACTTTTTTTCCCCTCCCTGCCCTCACTCTTAGCCTTGCCTGCACTTGCAAGAGGATGATTGGCCACTTTCTTCAAAGGACCACTTTTGGGCTTAGTCACCCTTTCTCCTCTCATGTTTTGTTCTTATTTCAAGCCCTTTAACTCATCAGTAATTTCTTTCTCCTAACTTCTGGGGTTTTTTTTCTCACTTATTTCTTTTTCTCCAGCATAAGTTGAGTGCTTAAGTTCCCTTTTTCTTTCTTTAAAATATGTTTTTATTGGTTTTTCAGAGAGGAAGGGAGAGAGGGGTAGAAACATCGATGTGAGAGAAACATCGATCAGCTGCCTCCAGTACGCCCCCCCCACACACACACTGGGGCCTGAAATCTAGGCATGTGCCCTGACTGGGAATGGAACCAGGACCTCTCAATCCACTGAGTCACACTGGCCGGGCCTTTTTTCATTCTTTAATAAAAGACACTTAAGGCTCTGCATTTTCCTGTGAGTACTGTTTTTGCTGTGTCCCATGAGTTTTGACATGAAGCAGTTCCTTTTCATGCTGGTTCATATATGGATAGTTAATGATTTTAATGTCCCTCTTTGATCCAAGGCAGTTGGGCTTTTAATCACCTGGGGGTGGTCCTGCCCCCTTCCCCCAGGGACACTGGGCAATGTTTGGGGACATCTGTGGTTGTCACAACTGAGGTTGCTCCCAGCATTGAGTGAGTAGGGGCCAGGGATGCTGTTTAACACCCCCTAGTGCCCAGGACAGCCCTGCACAGAGTAACCCAGCCCTGATACCAGCAGTGCCCAGAAGGAGAGACCCTGGTCTAAGGTTTATTTAGGAGTGTCTCTCCACTTCTGGGTACCTAAGAATTTTTTTTTTTTACCCTTTTAGTACTTAATCTTTAATTTACTAGGGTTTAAGTTGAAAAGTGACCTTAAAAAAACCTATGCTATTTTTTTTTTTAACAGATTAAAGTTTTTGTGGTCAAGAACAAAATTACTTTTTGGTTTTGTTTTTTTTTTAATGTTCGTGGACATATGGGAGAAATGTGTATTTTCTGCCGGGATGGAAATTTCTATGTAAGTCTGTTCTGTCCAGTGTATTGATTTTTGTCATTCAGTTTCTTTATGTCTTAACTTATTTCTTGTATGTTTGGTCTATTTAGTTCTATAATTTAGAATTTTCATTCTATTTTAAGAGACTTTAGCATTTACAGCACACGTTCCCACGCTGCATTTTGCCATTAAGAGTTTATTGTACACACTCACGCACACCAGTCTCTGCCACTGCGCTTTTTTGCCATGAACTGAAGTCTTGCAGTGCAACGTATCATTCAGTCTTTGCCCAGAAAAACAACCTGACCTGAAACATGACTGAAGAACAATGTCTCCACAGTTAGGGGCGCTCTGGCACCTCAGAGCTTGTCATCTTATTCATGAAATGAAAATTACACAGCGAGCCCTGGCCAGTTTGGCTCAGCAGTTAGAGCATTGGCCTACGGTCCAGAGAAACCCGGTTTCGGTTCCCGCTAAGGGCACATACCTCGGTTGCAGTTTGTCCCCAGCCCTGGTTGGGTTGTGCGGGTGGCAGCCACTCGATGTGTCCCTTTCACGTCCATGTTTCTCTCTCTCTCTTCCTCTCTCTCCCTCCCATTCTATCTGAACAAAAAATGGAACAATATCCTCAAGTGAGGATTAAAAAAAAAGAAACTTATACAGCAATCACATGACCATCAGCCGAGGCCTGGGCATGATCCTCACCCTCAGTCTGAGTCTCAGTCTCCTCACTTGTAACGTGAAACAGCAGCATCCCCTCCCCGAGAGAAATTCAGTGGATTCATTCACACAAGGCTCTTGAGCAAGCCTGGCATGTAGTTAAGTGTTCAGTGCTGTGTGTCCCCACTTTACAGATGAGGAACCGAGGCTCAGAGAAGGAAAGTGAGGCTGCAGAGTTACACAGCAAGTGAGTGGCAAGGCTAGGACTGTGTGTGTGCCCGAGTTAGGGGAGGGCGTCCAGGTGTGCTAGTTATTACCTGGGCCACAACAGAATTGGGGGTGTTTAGTTTTATTTGACTTCCCAAAACTTTTCTCTCTGTGATGACACACTGATGAGGGAGGAGAGGGCAAGTGGGCAGGAGGGGGTGGGTAGGAAAGGATGGTGCTACTGAGAGCCCAGCCCTAGGACTCCCATGTCCTGCCCTGTTCCCAGGGTGGAGGCTTCCCCGGCCTGTGCCTCTGCCACTGTTGTTGAAGCGGAAACTGCCAGCCAGGCCTCAGAGCCCGCCAGTCAGGCCTCGGATGAGGAGGACACGCCCGCCACTGACATCTACTTTGTAAGTCCTCCAGGGGCTCTCTCCCATCACCGGGCCCTCAACCCAACACCTGCTCATGTGTGCACATGCACTGATATGTCCATACACATCGACACACATTGCACACACTACCATACCTGCATACACGTGCCTGTACATGTGTACATGTGGTCACGTGCACACACTCCACATTTGCACATGTTCACACTGACACATGGACACACTCACACTCAAGAGGCACACACACCTGCACTTGCTCTTGCATGCCCATTAGCACACTGATGTGCTCTTGCACGCTCATGGGCATTTGCATGGTATGCTCTTGAACACATGCACACTTACATGGTATGTGAGCACACCACCTGGCATCACCCAAGCCATGTCATTCCAAGGTCGGGAAACTGCCCTGGACCTTGCTCCCTAGACTTTGTGACCACTGCCTGGCAAGAGCCAAGGTCCCAGCTTTGGCACCCTGTGGCCCTGGGAATCATCTGAGTCCTCATGCTGTCAGCTACAATGGGCCCCTGGGCCTTTGGTCTGTGCTGAGCTGGCCGAGGTGGACTTGAAATGCTGTGGATCTTCTCACACTGGGTGGTGGGTGCGGCCGGGTGGACTCCGTCCTTAAGGGGACAAGGGAACTGTGTCAAGGGGCAGGTGGGCCTCATGCTGTCAACTTCACTGGCCAAGGACACATGGCTGCTTCTGGACGAGGCGGATTCTTCAGAATAGGAAGTGGCCCTGTCTTGGAGACCAGGGCCTCCCTCCCATAGCTGGGGGTCACCTCCCTTACTTGTATCTCCTGCAAGCAGACAGATTAGATGAGCCAGGAGCCTGGGTGAGGTAGGTGCTGGGTGGCCAAGATCCTGCAAGATTTAGTCCACTGGCCTCCAACAGTGGCTCGGGGTCAGATGGCCCCAGTTACAATGGGGAGGGCCAGGTGCTGCAGCTAGGAAGAGGTGCCTGCCCTCTTCCTAGACCTTCATTTTCATCTCTGTCCCCCAAGGGAAGGTGAGCTGGGGGCTGCCCGCTGCCCTAGTCCTGGCACCTGGCCTCCAAACCTCCAGGCCTCAGGGCAGTTTGGGTGAGCCTGGCCCTCTACTGCTGTCACTCTTCCTAACTGCCACCACCATGCTGGGTCACAGGGCCCTTACCAGGAACAGTAGGGAGCACACTGTATGTGTGTCCTCCCTACCCGCCATTGTCACCTCATCCCTGGGGGCTTGATTTATGTCCTGTTCTCTTGAATCATGTGTGAGACGGCCGGGCTGTCCTTTGAGTGGTGGCTGGGCCACACGGGCAGCATATAAGGTAGAGGCCACAGTTTGACCCTGATACCCTCAAACCTTCCTACTGCTTTGCCATCAGCTCACCTGCCCCCACCCAGCACCCTCCCCACCTGACCTTGCCCTCAGTGGAATTCTGCATTCCTGTCCCCTCATCCTGTCCTCTCTTTGCCTCCTCCGCCCTCCTGGCCCACCCAGTTCACGGATGGGAGGTACTGGATTTACTCTCCCCGGCATCGCCGACTGCGGGCCATGACGCTGAGCTCCTCGGGGACTGTAAGTGACCACAGCAGGCCTCCAGGAAGCCCAGCCCCTGCCCTGCTGCCCGGGCAGCCAGGAGCCTCAGGGCCTGGCCATCCCTCTTCCTCTGAGAAGGGACCTGGGGAAAATAATCATGACAACTGTTTGGGGTGCCCTGCTGTGTGTGTCCTACGGGGATGTCACTTAATCCCCTTTGAAGTGAGCATCAATGGCCAGCAGGTGCACGGCTGGTGCTTAGCGGGCCTGGCCATGGCGGAGTCTACATTTGGCCCCCCAGCTCCAGACCACCTCTGCTCTTCTTCCCAGCCCTTCCAAGCGAGGGACTGGTTGGGCGGACACTTATTCATTCAGACTTTGCTGCTAACGGTTCTCCAAGGGGTATCTCCCTTCTGATGGGGATGGTCACATGGGTCAATGAGGGACTGCAAAGCTGGACTCTTAGCTGCAGACGATCATACCCATTTCACAGATGAAGAAACCGAGGCCTTGGCTCCTCAGGGAGATATGAGAGCATATGATTTAGATAATATCTGAGTCCAGTCCTTGTGTGTAGTGGACACTCCTCCACCAGTGTGCTTGGGACACTGCATGGATGTCATACAGCAGTGGCCTTATCATCTTGTTATTGTCATCATGAGCAATAAGTGAAGGGCCCAGAGAAGCCAAGTAGCCTACCCAGAGCTGCACAGCATGAATGGGTGGAACAAGGTGAAGAACTAGAGTGAGAGTTTCTGTTCTCAAGAGGAGGCCCCTCAGAGGCTTACACCCCAGCCCCAATAGCACCCCCCACTGCCTGCCACTGGGTGTTGAGACCACTCCCCCAGTCCCTCCTGCCACACTCTGTACTCTCAAGATGGGGATGCCATCCCCCAGAGGTGAACTATGATCCAACAGCTGGGGACACACATCGGCCCCTAGGGCTCCCTAGGGGGAGCAGATTGCAAAGGTACCTGTAAGGGTTGACTTGGACTTTGAAAGACACGTTGGGTGTGGAGAGGAAGAGGAAAGGGGGTCTCAGCAGGGGTTGCAGCAGAAACTCAAGCATGGGGGCTGGATGGGAGGACAGGAATGCTGGATGAGCGGCGGGAGAGACCCTCAGGCCTGCAGGGACAATGTGCCCTTGGCCTAATAGTGGGGTCATCCCCAGTTTCTGGGTCCCACCCTCCCCCAGACCCAATTCTGTAAAGGGGGGTCCAGTGGGACCCTCTTTTCCCATGTTCTGAGCCCCAGCAGGGCAGCTACCTTAGCGTCAACCCCTCTTGCAGCCACCCTGTGTTGGACACCGCACGAGCAGCCCCCAGCCAGCCTGGCCCTGGCCTCCGGGCTCCCACGTGGGGAGGGGAGGTGGAGCGAACGGTTATTGTGCCATAACCGTCTGAAGGAATGAGTGGGGCATACAGTGGTGTCCTGCCCTGCGGCCCCAATGCCTTTGTGCCAATCCACAGCTGGACACGGGTCTGGCCCGTGAGAACTGCAGGAAGGGCGGAGTTGTGAGAAACAGCAGGTGAGCTATGAGGGACAGTGAGTGCAGAAGGGTGGGTCTGGGGGCATGTTGGTAGGTTTAGGGGCCCTGAGATAGCCAGGTGGACATGGCCAGGGCAGGTGTGTGCACAGGCCTTGTGCTCACCGCAGAGGCTTGAGCTGGGGTAAAAGTCCTCAGGCATCAGGGCTTTGAAGACTGGGGGTGGGGGCCTCCTAGGAGAGAGGAGGAAGAAAGAAGACAGCTGAGGAGGCCTCCAGGGCCTAGGGAGGTTTTTGAGATGGGAGCAGACCTGGCAGGGAAGCGTGCCTACCCCCAATCTGATGACAGAATGGGGAACCCCCTCTCCAGACACAGCTAGAAGAACACTAGTCTGCCCTACCACCTTGGGCCTTCAAGTGCCCCCAGAGCCTGTGTGTTAGACAGAATCTGAAGTTGTGGTGCTGCTGGGTTAGGATGGAGGTTCAGGTGTCATGGGTGGGCAGAGGAGGAGGAGAGAGGACAGCAGAGTACACCAAGCCCCTGCTACCCTTCTTCCCCATCCCGCTGTGCCCGCTGGCCCGCCCTGACTGCACTCACTGCTTCCTGCTGCCCAGCCTGCCCGCTCTGGCCACTCAGCCCCGGTTCTGCCCATCTCGAGGGTCATTCAGGTTGGGGGCAGGTCCCCATCAGGGAGAGGGCAGCCGGGGGCCGAGCTGCCCACTTGTCCTGCATTGGGGGTCCGCCTCCTTTATTTCTGTTTCTTCCTTCCTCCCTCTCACCTTTCTTGTGCCTCCTCACACCCTGCTCTTCTGCGCCCTTCCTGCACGTGCCGCCTGCCTGCCTTCCAGCCCACTGATGAGAGGAGCTGGGTGTACTCCCCGCTCCACTATAGCGCACAGGCCCACTCAGCCTCCGACGGCGAGAGCGACACAGTAAGTGTGCCCACAGCCCGCCAGCCTGGCCCACTTGGGGCCAAGACATGGACCCCAGACACCCCAAGGACAGATGGGCAAACTGAGGTCTGGGGTGGGAGGGGCAGGCCTGGGCTCTCACTGTGTGGTGGCCCATGGGGTAAGTATCTTGGGGCCTGTGTCCGGCCCTCATGGCATGTGGAGTCTTTGGCCTGAGGCATCAACAATGGGGCCAGGCCCCGTCATGGGAGGCCCAGTGCAGGGGGGGTGGGGGGTGGTCTAGGCCCAGCCCATCTAGCCCTCACCTGCCTCTCTTGCCTTCTGCAGTAATTTCTATGCAGTCACCAACCCATAGGAGTGGAGCATACACTTGGCCAGCCCAGCTCGGCCCAGAGCACAGGAGATGCCACCTGGCTGCCACTGGATCTCACTCGCCCACATCCTCCCTTGGCGTGGTCACTGATGCTCCGGGCTGCGAGGCAAAGGCCCTGGCTCAGTCAACTACCTACGCCTGTGATACTGTGAACCTTCCTGAGTTTTCAATCATGTATTTATTTTGGGTCCTTACTCTTTGCACAGAGACGGCAGCACATGACTGCTTTTTTAGAGAAAAGAAAAAAGAAAAAAAAAAAAACAGTGGGAAAAGAAGATACTTCATTCTATGCACTTTTTGGTTCTTTGCTATGCTTGCATGTGTCTTGCTAAGGGAACAAGGCCCATCGGCTTTGGGGACCTGCACCCCAGTGGCCCAGCCACTCCAGCTGAAAATCCGACTCTGAGTGTCCACAGGCACCACCCTCCTCCCCTCTCTCTATTTTGGATGCGGCACCTACGAGGGAAAGGCCACCAGGTCCCCACTAGTTCCCAGGGCACCTCTGGAGGCCACCCACCTGTGCCCAGCAGCTGCTCTCAGCTCAGGTTTGTGGGCTGGGCGCTGAACATCTGTCCTTGGGGGAGGCCAGCCTGTGGCCTGGGGTGGCTCACCACCCTGCTGACTCCTGGATCTCTCAGCGTATGTTTCCCACCACCCCTGCCTCCCAGGTGACTTGGGAGCAAAAATAGCCAGGCAGTGACTAGAGCCTGGACACATGGCCACCCCTTCTCTTGATGGAGCTCAGAGCTGTGGACATCTCTCTCATCCACGTGGACCAGTCAATGTCTGGAAGACGGGGCCCAAGTGATGGGAAACATCTTTTCAAAGCAGGATTTCCAAAACTTCCAACTCTGAAAGGAGACAACCAGGCCCTTAGCCACAGGACTTGCGGAGAGCTCGTGTCCTGGAGCAGGGGCCCTCCCCATGGGCAGGCACAGGGCCTAGAAGGACAGACTCCAGCAAAGTTCCCCCATGACTGGAGTGGACAGCCTCTCTCTCATTTTTAAATGATGATGACGCCTGTGCCGATTAAAGGATAGAAGAAATTCTTGACGAAAACAATGTTTTTTGTTTTGTTTCAGTATTTTTGTTTATTTGTTAGTTTTTTGTTTGTGTTTTTTTTTTGCCATCTTCAGCAGGAGCAGCCATTCCTGGGCCCAGAGCCCTGTTGGGTGAACTGCAGGATACTCTGCTGTGTCCAGAGGGGGCTGCTGGAGCCAACAGTTTTGCAGGGTCTCTTGCACCTCCACCTAGACACACTCCCACTTCCTAAGGTGAAATGCCAGTGATGGCTGCCCCCTGCCCACTCTGCGGACCCCCACCAGCTCAGCCCTCGTGGGCAGAGCTAGAAACAGGCTTGGAGTGGAAACCACACCTTTTGCAAGAATTTCCCTCCAGCCCCTGCCTCGCTGGTGGAGCCTGAGACATCTAGACAACCTGCTGATCTAGGAATCTGATTTTTTGAGTCCTTTGCAAGCTGCGTACATTGTTGCTGCTGCCTGCTATGCAGGTCCCTCCTCATCCACCTCAAGCAGCCTGCTGGAGGGAACCTGTTGATCTGGCTGCTGTCAGTCTTCCCTGGAGAACCAGGCTGTACCCGAAGGCTCTCTTGCTGTCTGCACAGGGGCAGCACCTCTGCTCTGAGTAGGGCCATGGCTGACACGCCATACAGCCTAGGGAAGGGGACCCTCAGAGGACCCATCAGAAGAAGCTTGCAGGTGGCCCAAAAAAGAAGCAAAGCAGCATTCTCTCCCTACTGCCTGAGGAGCATTTGTCCAGACCCTGAGCAACACCCTCACCTGGATTTCAGGCTGGCACCCATCTGCAAGCACCCTGGCCATATGGCACAAGTCATCAGTCTATCACTGACCAGTCCCACCAAGAGGGCGGGCAGGCTGAGCAGGCCGACCTCTAAAGGTGCATCTCAGACCTGGAGGACTAACAGAGACAGCTGTGTCACCCAAACACCAATGTGAGAGTCCCCACCCAGGCCCCCAGAATCTGGGCACCAGAGACATCATGAGCCCCGGTGGGGATGACCAGTGGAGCAGGCACAGTCCTGGAGCAGTGGGTCCTGTGTCCAGGACGTCCATGGCCAGGGGTCCTGGAACTATAGGAACGAGGAGGAGAGTTGCCTATGTGGCCCCATCAGGTCCCCAGACCCTACTGGGCCCCTTGGGCTCTCCTAAGTGAATCACAGAATAAACGCATCGGTCAGATGCTAATTCATAGGAGAAATTTGCAAACCTGGATATGACATTTCTGTTTTCAGGTTAAGTCAGGAATACCCCTTTGGAGACCCATTTTGTGCTGTATTTCCTTGTCCTAAGACTATGCTGACATGAGGCATTTTGTTCATTCTTTTCTGGGCAGGGGGGCAGGAAGGCAAGACCTTATTTATAACTGTGTAGTGAACCCATGGCCTTCCTCAGGCCCCTAACCAGAAATGCCCTGGACCCACCCAGCTGTCGCCCGCCCCCCAAGATGAAATCTATAAATTGACCCATTTCCCTCCTGGCTCATCTCTGATGGCCACTATTGCTGAGAACGTGGGCAGCATCTGACTTGCTGAACTATAAAAACGAAAAGCATTTTCTGAAGCTGGCAAGGTGGAACCTTCTATGTGTCCCCTGCCAGCCTCCTCTTAACCCCCCTCCCTCTACCACCTGGCTCAGTGCAATACTCCCATCCCTGATGGGGTCTCTTGCCATGGTACTGTTCCCATAGCCCTTCAGTCCCCATCCCAACCTTGTTTTTAAGGCTGAACTGATTTTGAAACACAAAGAAACTGCAAACCTTGTGTGTCTTAATTCTCACCGGGGCTTCTGCGTGCTCAGCCCCCGGTCTGGTATGTGACAATCCAGAGCGCAGCCTCCTGTGGGCGCCTCTGTAACCTTGCAGCCACTGCTGGCCCTGATAACACTCGTATACAGCCCTGGGCCCCATCCCCACCCACCCCCTTCCTCTTTTTATGTTGAAGAGATCTCTAATAAATCGGGTAATGAGCATCAGCCGCCTCTGCAAACTCTGTGCGTTCCTATGGTCTGGTTGGAAGTTTTAGGACTGACTTTGAACAAGAACAGAAAAACCCTCAGAAGATTTAAAATAATAACAGGACCCAAATGTCTTTTTAAATTCTTATTTATTGATCTGAGAGAGAGAGAGTGTAACATTGATTTGTTGTTCCACTTATTTATGCATTCATTGGCTGATTCTTGTATGAGCCCTGACCGGGGATTGAAATCCACGACCGTGGCATATCACAACATTACAGCCTAGCTACCCTGAGGTCTTAATTGCTGTAATAGCTGTGACCTGCTGGGTTCCAGTTCCACTTGAAAAACTTTTGAAAGCTCCTGACATCAGTGCAGCCCAACTCAAAGGAACAAACAGTCCCCAAAGTTTGTATTCCTTATGCCAGAGTGGCTCATATTAAGTAATGCATGGGCCCCATTTAAGGGGAAAATATTTCTACCCAACTCCCAGTTTAAGCACTGCATTGAAAGTCTGTAAGTGAGCCCTTAGGAACGCACTTAAAATCACAGATGCAAATGCAGAATGGTTCTGCTCTTGTATAAACTAGACACGCAGATGATCTAGAAGGTGCTTTCCTTACGTTCAAAGATTAGTTTTCAAATACTCTCACGGATGCACCTGCATTTTGAAGATCTCAGGGCCAGGCCTCACCGGTACAACCCATATCCCTTGACCTGCAGGGTTGTCATCAGGGTGGCAGGAGATGGTCTTCTGTTACTTCCTTTGGAAGACTTCTTATATTTTGTTGGCATATATCTACAATATAAATACTAGTTTGTTTTCATAGTACATATTTTAACAATTTGCAGAAAGTTATATAGCATAGGGAAGCAATTTATTGTAAAGCCTCTATAGTACTGATTAAGGAAAAAATAAAACTATTTTGAGGATAAGGGATTCTAGAAGGTATCTTTTGGCCCTGGCCGGTTTGCCTGCGGACCAGAGAGTCCTGGGTTCGGTTCCCGCTAAGGGCATGTACCTTGGTTGCAGTTTGTCCCCAGCCCTGGTTGGGGTTGTGTGGGTGGCAGCCAGTTGATGTGTCTCTCTCAATGTTAATGTGTCTCACTCTCTCTTCCTTCCTCTCCCCCTCCCGCTCTATCTGAAGATAAATGCAAAAATGTCCTCGGGTGAGGATAAAAAAATAATAATAAATAGAAGGAATCGTTTGGAAGACACCCCCACCTGGCACCTTAGTACCAAGCAGAAGCACAGCATACAAAGCCAGCATTTAGAGTAGTTATGAAGCTATATTTTAAGATAAAAAATTTAAAGAATTACCTTAAAATATTAATTACCATCCTCTGGTGGGCTGGGGGAGCTCCGAAAGGGTCTTCAGAGTACTCCAGATCTTCAGGCTTCCTGTTCCATGCACTGTGGTCCATCTTCCCCACCAACCTCAGGGGGACTCCCTTTAACAGTCCCACCTTTATACCTCCCATGGATCCCCAGCATCCAGAGAACAAAGCTGGACCACCCAGTTCAAATTGTGGCTGCGTATTTGGGGTCGAGGGAGGGGTGTTAAGGTGACTTTCCCTCTCTGAGCCTCAGTTGAAAGGAAACGAGTCATCCAATATTTCTTTAAATATGTTTTTATTAATTTTTAGAGAGGGAGAGAGGGAAACATGGATGTGACACAGAAACATCAATTGGCTGCCTCCTGCACGCCCCCCCCCCCCCCCACTGGGGATGGAGCCTGCAACCCCTGGCATGTACCCTGACTGGAATCGAACTGGGACCTCTTAGTTCATGGGACTTCGTTCAATATACTGAGCCACAGAGGTCAGGCCCAATATTTCTTTTTAAACTTAATCAATGAAAGACGTAGGTATTCACTGGCACATGGTGGAGCATGATGGTGACTCTCACAGGTCACCCCAACATCTGAGGCTTTTTAGTCTCCATCCCAGCTCCCACTGGGCTCTCTTGAGAGGTCGGGACTGGAACCTACTGTCTTGGGGCTTCTCTGCCCTCACCAGCCTAGAGACCTCGCTCCTGGACTAAGCCTACTCTTGGCCCCGCCCACAAGGCTCCGCTTTGTGGTCCCGCCCCACAAACAGTTCCGGATTCTCCTTTGCTCTGCTCACAGCTCCTCGTTCCTCCTAGCCTAAGGCACGAGGACCCACATGGGACTGGCCCTAGCACTGCCTGAAGGGCGAGTCCCTGACCCGGCAGGCCACAGTCTGGCTGGAATCTAGCACGCAGACCACGTTTGTAGGAGGTGGGAAGTTATAAGGCGTTAGAGTCCCCGCGGATAGAGTGGTGGGATAGGTTCTTATCTCCCGGCTCAGGCTCGGACGGGGCAGCCTGGGGCGCGCCGCCGCCGAGGAAAGCCCCCGGTGTAGGCCCCGGATATTTGTGTCAGGGGCCGCCGCCATCGTCCCAGCCGATGGGTCGGGATACACGTTCACGCTCTCGGTCAGCCGATGGCAGGGGTCGCAGGAGCCGAAGGCGGCGGAGCGGGAGCGGGAGTCGGAGCCGAAATCGGAGCGGGAGCCATGGGCGACGAAACCGGCGGCGCCGGGACGACGAAGGGCGGCGGAGGAGGCGAAGCCGGGAGCACAGGTGGGGGTCGCTGCGTGAGCGAAATAGGGGGCCTTGGGAAGATTTTGAACAAGGCAGTGACGCGATCTGTCTTACTTTGCTAACTCTCTCTGGCTTTCACGTGGGGAAGGGTCTGACTGAGGAAGTAAGTAGGAGTGACACACCAGGGAGGAGGAGGTGGAGGATGATACAGTTGTCCAGGCAACAGATGATGGTGGCCTTCAGGAGAAGGAGGCTGTGGGAGGCACAGTAAGAAAGTGGGTAGATTTGAGTGGGATTTCGAAACTAGAGGTGACAGCACTTGCTAATGGAGGTGGGTGTGAGAGAGAACTGTTGACAGGTGGCAGGACTCGGTTGATTCCTAGGACCTGGGTCTCAGCTTCCCCGTGGCTCACAGTCCTTTTCTTCTGGAGATGGGGCACCTTGCCAGACTTGGCTTGAGTCTCTTCCAGCACAGTGACGGGGACTGACTCCAAGACCTGGGTTCTAGTGCTGGTTCATCCCCTAATAGGCTGTGACACTCAAGCCATTCTCTTCCCCGCTGGGACCCAGGTTAACTCTCCTGTGTCCCGAAGATTTTAGTGGGGACACAAGATTTCTCCAGTCATTGCCTCCCATTCCTTCAGCCCAGCAATTTTTAACCTTTTTAAATCTCATGGCACATGTAAACTAATTACGAAGATTCTGCAGCACACCAAAAAAATATATACTTTTTGCTGATCTGACAAAAAAAAAACAGGTATAATTTTTATTCATTCACACTGGTTGGCTTTTGTCTTTTTTTTTTTTTTTTTTTTTTGACAATCTAAGGGAAAAGAGGCCAAGTGTAGCCCGGCTGGTGTGGCTGTCTCGGTAGTTGACCATCAACCCATGGACCAAAAGGCCACCAGTTCAATTCCTAATCAGGGTACATGCCCGGGTTGCAGGCTCAATCCCCATTGGGTGTGTGCAGGAGACAACCAATCGATGTGTCTCTCTCATTGATGTTTCTATCTCTCTCTATCTTCCTCTTTCTTTAAAAATCAATTTAAAAAAAAAAAAAAGGTCAGGTGTTGCATGTTTTAAAAATTCTTGCAGCACACTGGTTGAAAATCGTTGCTCCAGCCTGTTCTCAGCACCTTAACCAGAATAATTGTAGTTAGACACAGCTGATTGCCCTCTGGGCTGAGAGGGTGACTTTTTTCTTTTGAAAAGTCTCCTAAGATGATTGCCACCCAGAAATTCCAGACCTGTAAGTAGCAGAACAGAAATAATGAAGAGATGGTTTAAACCAGGGATTGACCAACTACAGCCTGTGACCAAGAATAGTGTTTACATTTTGAAGTGGTAAGGGAAAAAAAATCAAAAGAACAGCATTTCATGACATGTGAAAATTATATGAAATTCAAATTTTAGTATCCAGAAATGAAATTTTACTTGAAACACAGCCATGCCCATTTGTTTACATACTATCCACGGCTGCTTTTGCACAATAGCAGAGCTGGTTTGTTTTGTTTTTTTTTTTTACAGAAAAAAATTTGCTGACCCTGGATTAAGGCCCCGGTGTTGATATTTTAGCTCACATGTAGCAGTAAGTCTTGTTATTTTGTCATCTTTGTATTTTTTCACATACTGTTTTCTAGTATTTGAATTATCCACAAGAATCAACCATCCTCACCCTGGCCGGTTTGGCTCAGCGGTTAGAGCGTTGGCCTGCGGTCTGGAGAGACCTGGGTTCGGTACCCGCTAAGGGCACGTGCCTCGGTTGCAGTTTGTCCCCGGCCCTGGTTGGGTCGTGTGGGTAGCAACCACTCGATGTGTCCCTTTCATGTCAGTGTTTCTCTCTCTCTTTCCCTCCCACTCTATCTTAACAAAATATCTAAAAAATGTCCTCGGGTGAGGATTAAAAAATAAAAAAGAATCAACCATACTAGATATGTAATCATTGTTATTTATAAAAATTTCATCATGCCCTGGTCAGTTTGGCCCAGCAGTTAGAACGTCGGCCCGAGGACCAAAGAGTCTCGGGTTCAATGCCCATCAAGGGCACATACCTTGGTCACAGTTCAGTCCCCAACCCTGGTTGGGTGGGGAGGCAACTAGTCGATGTGTCTTTGTCACATCGATGTCTCTCCCCCCCCCCCTCTTCCTTCCCCTCCCCCTCCTTCTCTCCCTCTTTTTCTCTCCCTCTTCCTCTCTCCCTCTCTCCCCCCTCACTCTATCTGAAGATGAAAAAATAAAATATAAAAATTTGATCACATTTGTAGTACATATTCAAGGGCTCCAAAATAATTGGTTTTCATAGGTCAGATTTTTTATTTTTTTAAATGTGTTTTTATTGATTTTTTAGAGAGAGAGGAAGGGAGAGAGAGGAAGGTTCAATGTGAGAGAGAAACATCGATTGGCTACCTTCTGCACACCCCCTACTGGGGATACAACCCGAGCATGTGCCCTGACCAATAATTGGACCGGACCTCTCAGTCCGTGGGTTGATGCTCAATCCACTGAGCCAACCAGCCAGACTAATATTGGAAAATCATTTTTTATTTTTCAATTGCACTTGACATACAGAGTGTGAGAGTGTGTGTGTGTGTGTGTGTGTGTGTGTGTGTGTATTCCTCATCAAGGATGTGTTTATTGATTTTTAGAGAGGTGGGGGAGAGAAACATCATGTCTCCTGTACGTGCCCTGACTGGGAATCAAACCTGCAACCTTTTTGGTGTATGGGATGACACTTCAACCAACTAAACTACCCATCGGGGGTAACATACAATATTATATTAGTAATATATTAGCTTCAGGTGTACAATCCTATGATTAGATATTATATAACTTAGTGATCATCCTGATATATCTCATATTTATCTGATACCATACATAGTTATTAGAACACTATACCATACAGTTATTAAAATATTATTGACTACAAAGATTTTTTTATTGATTCTTAGAGGAGGGCGAGGGAGAGAGAAAATCATAGATGTGAGAGCAAACCACGGATTGGCTACCTCCTGCATGCCCCCTACCAGGGATCAAGCCCACAATTTGGACATGTCCCCTGACCAGTAATCCAACCAGCATCTTTTTGGTGCACAGGGCGATGCCCAACCAAGCCACACCAGCCAGGGCCAATTTATTTTATTTTATTTTTTTTAACTTATCTTTATTGTTGAATGTATTGCAGCTGTCCCCTCTTTTTTCCCCATTGACTGCCTCCTCCCTAATGCTGCCCCCTCCTGCCTTCCCCACCCTATTGTCTGTGTCCACTGGTTGTGCATATATGCATAGAAGTTCTTTGATTTATCTCATCCCGCCCTCTCTCACTCCTTACTTTTGAGGTTCATCAGTCTAACAACCAATTTGTACTTAGTAATTTCTTCATCTTTCTCACCCATTCCCCCGCCCCCTCCCATCTGACAACTAACAAAATGTCCTCTGTGTCTGTGAGTCTGTTTCTGTTTTGCTTGTTCATTTTGTTTGTAGATTCAATTGTTGATAGATATGTATCAATTGCCATTTTATTGTTCATATTGTTGTTGTTCTCCTTCAAGAAGACCCTTCGACATTTTATATAATACTGGTTTAGTGGTGATGAACTTTTTTAGTTTTTGTGTGTCTGGGAAACTCTTGATGTGTCTTTCGATTCTAAATAATAGCTTTGCAGGATATAGTAATCTTGGTTGTAGGTCATTGCTTTTCATCACCTTGAATATCTCTTGCCACTCCTTTTTGGCCTGCAGAGTTTTTTTTTGAGAAATCAGCTGACAGTCATGGGAGCTCCTTTGTAGGTAACTAACTGCTTTTCTCTTGCTGCTTTTAAGATTCTCTCTTTGTCTTTAACTTTTGGCATTTTAATGATGATGTGTCTTGGTGTGGACCTCTTTGGGTTCATATTGTTTGGGACTCTCTGCTTCCTGGACTTGTATGTCTGTTTCCTTCACCAAGTTAGAGAAGTTTTCTGTCATTATTTTTTCAAATAGGTTTTCAATTTCTTGCTCTCTCTCTTCTCCTTCTGGCACCCCCATGATGCAAATGTTGGCACGCTTGAAGTGGCTCCTTACACTGTCCTCTTTTTTTTTTTATTCTTTTTTCTTTTTGCTGTTCTGATTGGGTGTTTTATTTTGCTTCCTTATATTCCAAATTGATGGTTTGCTTCTTGGCTTTACCTACTCTACTATTGATTCTCTGTAAATTATTCTTTTTTTTTTTTATCCTTACCTGAGGACATTTTTTGCATTTATCTTCAGATAGAGCAGGAGGGAGGGAGGGAGGGAGGGGGAGAGAGAGAGAGACCTCAATGTGAGACAGATACATCGAGTAGTTGCCACCCACACAACCCCAACCAGGCTGGGGACAAACTGCAACCAAGGTACGTGCCCTTAGCGGGAACCAAATCCGGGACTCTCCAGTCCGTAGACCGACACTCTAACCACTGAGCAAAACCGGCCAGGGCCCTGTAAATTATTCTTTATTTCAGTTAGTGCATCCTTCATTTCTGACTGGTCCTATTTTATGTTGTTGATGTTTTCACTAAGTTCCTTGGAGTTCTCCTTTAAGTTCTTTGAGGTTCTCGCTAAGTTCTTTGAAATTCTCACTAAGTTCCTTGAAATTCTCACTAAGTTCATTGAGCATCCTATAACCAGTGTTTTGAACTCTGCATCTGTTAGATTGCTTATCTCTATTTAATTTAGTTCTTTTCTGGAGTTTTGCTCTGTCCTTTCATTTGGGATATGTTTCTTTGTCTTCTAATTTTGGCTACCTCCCTGTGTTGTTTCTATGTATTAGGTAGAGTTGCTATGTCTCCTAGGCTTCCTAGGGGCCTGTTGTAGTAGGTGTCCTATAGGGTCTAGTGGCACAGCCTCCCTGGACACCCCAGCTGGGCCCTCGAGGTGCACCCCTCGTGTGGACTTCACACCCTTCTGTTGTAATTGAGTCTTGATTGCTGGTGGCACAGTAATGGGAGAGATTTACTCAGGCTGATCAGCTGCAAGGACTGGCTGTGCCCACTGACCACTGGCCTCTGACTACCTTGGAGGATCAGCTGTGTAGGGGCCCACCACACAGAGCAAGACTTACTTCAGCAGGGCTCTGGTACCCACTGAGTTCACTCATTGAGTGTGCCACTTGTGGGGGTGGTTGGTTGGTGGTGCTTCGGTGTGATCTGAAGCTGTCCACTGGGTGTGCTGGCTCTGGGGCAAGGTCAGCCTCTGGCTGTTTTCTACCCGGGGCTACCCGTCATAAGCTACAGAGTGATCTGCAGATGGCTGCTTCTTATGCTGGGCTTGAAGATGCCCAGGAAAAGCCAAATTGTGAACCAAGCTTGCTGCTTCTAGTGCCAGCCTGGGGCCACTTAATAAGAGGTATGGGGCTAACTGGCCAGGGCCAATTTATACTTCTTAATCCCTTCACCTTTCTCATTTATGCCCCAATCCCCTCCCATCTGGCAACCATCAAAGTGTTCTCTGTATAAGTCTGTTTCTGTTCTTCTTCATTTATTTTGATTTTTAGATTCAATTGTTGATAGGTATTTATTGCCATTTTATTTTTATTTCTGACTGGTTCTTTTCTATGGTTTCTATGTCCTTTTTTATTCTGTTGAAGTTCTAAGTTCCTTGAGCATCCTATAACCATTGTTTTGAACTCTTTATCAGGTAGTTTGCTTGCCTCCATTTCATTTAGTTTTATTTCTGAAATTTCTCCTTTTCTTTCATTTGGGACCTGTTTCTTTGTCTCCGCATTTTGGCTGCTTTCCTATGTTTGTTCCTATGTATTAGGTAGAGCTGCTACTTCTCCCAGCCTTGGTAGAATGGCCTTGGGTAGTAGGTGTTCTGTAGGGCCCAGTGGCACAGCTTCCCTAGTCATCCGAGCCGGGCTCTCCAGTCACCCTGTGTTGGCTGTGTTGCACTATCCTGTTGTAGTTGAGCTTTGATTGTTGTTGGCATCACTGGAAGGGATTGATCAGTCAGCTGCAAGGAACGACTTCAACTACAGCAGAAGAGCCTGCTATGCAGAAGTCAACCCTAAGGAGCAGAACTTGCTATAGTGGAGCTTTGGTGCTCACTGAGTCCACCTCTTGTTCGTGGAGATGGTAGGTTTGTATGTAATCTGGCATATTTTGAAGCTCTCCACCAGGTACACTGGCTCTGGGGCTTACTGGGAGGTGCAAAGTCAGCCACTGCCTGTACCCTGCCTGGGGCCACCTGGCACAAGCTACAGAGCGATCTGCAGATGGCTGCTACTTGTGTTGGGTTTAAAGGTGCCCAGGAGAGGCCAAGCTGTGAAACAAGGTGGGCTGCCTGCCATTAGTGCCAGGCCTGGGGCCACTTAGCAAGAGGAAGGTAGTATGCAGACAGGCCAATTGCTGCTTATTTGAGAGATTTTAGGAAAGTCCAAAAGGCAAGAGAGGCCAGTTATATGAAAAAACCACTGGAAACTGCTCGGATGGGCAAGCAGGTTGGGTGGGGCAGGGTCACAGGAAATCACCAGGGTAGGGCAAGTAGTGTGAGCTAGGTTGATGGAGACTCAGATAATGGCTCCTGCCTGTTGGCTCTTTGGGGGGAACGAAGGGGTGTGTGGAAGTCTCAAAAAAGGAACAATGGCCCTTGCCAGTTTTTCTCAGTGGTTAGAGCATCGGCCCACAGACCAGAGAGTCCCAGGTTCGGTTCCTGCTAGGGGTATGTACCTTGGTTGCAGTTTGTCCCTGGCCCCGGTTAGGGTTGTGTGGGTGGCAACCAGTCTCTCTCACATCCATGTTTCTCTCTCTCTCTCTTCCCCCCTATCTCCCTCCTGCTCTATCTGAAGATAAATGCAAAAAATGTCCTTGGGTGAGGATTTAAAAAAAAAAAAAAGGAATAATGGCCTCTGCCAGCCCTTTTGTCAGGCATAAAGCTGCACCCCCAGCTCTTGCCCTGATGCCAGACAATTCAGTTCCTCCTCATATGTCCCTGGTTCCTTTCAAGCTGCTGCCCCAGTGCAGGAGCTTGGAGTGAGTCCAAGTAAGTCCGTGCACATACCCTTTAAGAAGAACTACCTTGCCCTGGTCAGTTTGTCTCAGCTGTTAGAGCATCAGCCTGCGGACCAGAGAGTCCCAGGTTCAGTTCCCGCTAAAGGCACGTGCCTTGTTTGCGGTTTGTCCCTAGCCCTGGTTGGGGTTGTGTGGGTGGCAACCACTTGATATGTCTGTCACATCGATGTTTCTCTCTCTTCCTCCCTCTCTCCCTCCTGCTCTATCTGAAGATGAATGCAAAAGTGTCCTCAGGTGAGGATTTAAAAAAAAGAACTACCTTGCCCGGCTGGTGTGACTCCGTGGTTGATCATCGACGCATGCACTAAGAGGTCGCCAGTTCGATTCCCAGTCAGGGCACATGCCCAGGTTGTGGGCCAAGTCTCCAGTGGGGACATGCAGGAGGTGGCCAGTTGATGTTCTCTCTCATAAATGTTTCTATCTCTTTCTCCCTCTCCCTTCCTTTCTCTCTAAAATCAATAAGCGGGGGGTGGGGGGGTGGGGGCTACCTGGGCCCTGGCCGGTTTGGCTCAGCAGTTAGAGCATTGATCCACAGACCAGAGTCTCAAGTTTGATTCCCGTCAAGGGCACATACCTTGGTTGCGATTCATCCCTGGCCCTGGTCGGGGTTGTGCAGGAGGCAGCCAATCAGTCAGTCAGTCAGTCTCTCTCTCTCTCTCACGTTGATGTCCCCCCCCCCCCCACTCTTATATGAAGATGAATGGGAAAATGTCCTCAGGTGAGGATTAAAAAAAAAAAAAAAGTAAGTGTCTGGGACTCCAGCAGCCTCTGTCTCACTGAGCCACAATTCCCCCTCTGGTTTTTACAGCCAGGGTTATGCGAACTTCTCTTCCAGGTACTGGAACCCTGGGCTGGGGGCTCTGGTATGGGCTGGGTAGGGGGTTCTGTAGCCAAGATATCCCTCCAGGTTTTATTTTACTTTTTTATTTTTAAAATATTTCTGCCCTGGCCTTGGCCAGTTTTGCTCAGTGGTTAGAGCATCGACCTGCGGTCCTGAGAGACACGGGTTCGATTCCCGGTAAGGGCGCGTACCTTGGTTGAGGTTGCAGTTTGTCCCCAGCCCTGGTTGGGTCGTGTGTGCGGGAGGCAGCCACTCTGTGTCCCTTTTGAGTCGATGTTTCTCTCTCTCTCTTCCTCTCTCTTTCTCTCTCCCCCTCCACTCTATCTGAACAAAATATGGAAAAATGTCCTCGGGTGAGGGTTAAATAAAAATAAAAATAAAATAATAAAAAAATTTTTGCCCTGGCCAGTTTGGCTCAGCAGTTGAGTGGTCGGCCTGTGGACCAGAGAGTCCCAGGTTCGGTTCCCACTAGGGGCACGTACCACAAAAAAAATAATTTCTTACTGATTTTTGGAGAGAGAGGAAGATTACTGTGAGAGTGGAACATCAGTTGCCTGCCTCCTACACGCCCCCTATCGGGGATTGAACCCACAACCCAGGCATTTGCCCTGACCAGGAATCAAACCTTTCAGTGCATAGGGATGACGCCTAACCAACTGAGCCACACCAGCCAGGGCTCCCTCCTGATCTTAAATTCCCAAACATGGGTGTGAGACCAGCCTGTTCTGTGCCTGCCGCTCCTACCAGTCTCAATGTGGGTTCTTCTTTAAATCTCTAGTTGTAGGACTTCCATTCAGCTAGATTTCAGGTAGTTCTGAATGATGGTTGTTCTGTAGTTTAGTTTTATTTTGATGTGGTTGTAGGAGGATTAGAGCACCAGATTTACCTACATTAACATCTTGACCGGACATCTCCAAATTTTTTTACCTGAGCTTAATAGGTGGAACATTTAACAAACTAACGACAGATTTAGGTTTTTTTTCCTCTTCTTGTTCAAAGGCTTCCAAACACTAAAGAATCTATCCCTAGGGGCTTTCCCATTCTGTTCCCTATTCCCAAAGCCCTTCTCTGGCCTCTTATTACTGCCAGTGTTACTCCAGTTTACTCCTGCCCATCCTGTATGACCAGTTTAAACACCACCTTTTCCTGCAAGTCCTCCCCTGATGCCTTGGAGAGATCAGATCCCCTGGTTTAAACTATTATTGTTCTTGCACCATCCAGCCCCAGCCCACCTCCCTGCTGTCATCCCTTCACTCCTCCCCTTGCTTACTCTGTTCCAGCTACATGGGCCTTCTTGCTGTTCCTTGAACATGCCAAGTAAATTGTTGCCCAAGGCCTTTGCTCTCAGCCTGGATCACCCAGATCTCTCCATAGCTCCTTCCACCACTTCCTCCAGAGTTACCTCCTAGGAAGACCCTCTCAGACCTTCTGTCCCCTAATTTTACATAATTCCTTTGTGGCTCAAAGTACTATCCCATATCACACTGTGTGTTTACTTGTTGATATGAGCCCCACAAAGGAAGGGACAGACCATCAATGCTTTAGTCACTGCTATGTTCTCAGAACCTAAGACAGTGCCTGGTGCACAGCTGGCACCCACTAAACATATGTCGAATAAATGACTGACCAGTGGGCAGTGAGCGGACCCTTTCGGATTTTCTCCCCAGGTCAGATTCAGAGGAAGACCAGTGGCAGCGGCGGGGAAGGCAGAGCCGGAGCCCACAACCACCTCGATGGCGCTCACAGGACCGGTCCTCTCAGTCCGACTCAGGCAATGAACGGCAGTGGCGGCAGCAGGGCCGCTTGGCCTGCCACCGGCGGACACGCTCTTGCTCCTCCTCATCCAGCTCTGCATCCCCAGACCACAACCAGAGTCCAAGGGAGGTGGCCGCAGCCCTGAGCCAGCAACAGAGCTTGCAGGAGCGGCTGCGGCTACGCGAGGAGCGGAAGCAGCAGGAGGAGCTAATGAAGGCCTTCGAGACGCCTGAGGAGAAACGGGCCCGGCGGCTGGCCAAGAAGGAGGCCAAGGAGAGGAAGAAGCGGGAGAAGATGGGCTGGGGCGAGGAATACATGGGCTACACCAACACCGATAACCCCTTCGGTGACAACAACCTTTTGGGCACTTTCATCTGGAACAAGGTGAGCCAGCCTTAGCCATGAAATGCTTGGTGATTAGTTCTGTGTTTGTGCCATTCGCAACTTTTCCTACCTTTCTAATAATTTTTACTTTATATACTTTTTCTTTATTGATTTGAGAGGGAGAGGGCGAGAGAGAAACATCGATGAGAGAAAACATCAGTTGGCTGCCTCCTGTATGCCCTACTCTGGGGATTGGGCCCACAACCTGGGCATGTGCCCTGACCGGAAATCGAACCAATGACCTCTTGGTGCATAGATCAATGCTCACCCACTGAGCCACACCAGCCGGGCTTTACTTTATATACTTTTTACAACTTCTATTTCAAGAGATATTATTTAGCACTCACAGCACACATTCCAGACTGCACTTTGCCATGCAGAGTTTATCTTATACAAACATACATAAGCATGCACACACACACTGGTTTTGCCAGGTTTTCTCTGTTAACTGTCTCTTGCAGTATAACGTTTTAGGTATGCTTTGCCCCCAAAACCAGCCTAACCTCAATGTGACTGGAGACCAAGTTCTTAGTGTCACATTCTCAAGATGGGATTCCACAGTTATATTCTGTCAGCTTAGAGCTATCATATCATCCTTGAGATGAAAATTACACACTGACCACTTACCTGCATTCATGGCCTTGGGCACATAGCTGAAAATCACAGAATTTCTCTTAGAGTTCTAGAGGCCAGAAGTCTGAAATGAAGGTGTCAGCAGGACCATCCTCCCTTTGGAGGATCCTTCCAGCTTCTGGTGGTTGCTGGCAACCCACAGCTTGTGGCTGTATCACTCTAGTCTCTGCCTCTGTTGTCACGTAACTGTCTTCTCTCTGTGTCTGTGTCTAAATTTCCCTCTCCCTATAAGAACACCAGTCATTGGATTAGGGCCCTGCCTAATCCAGTATGACCTCATCCTAACTGATTATATCTCCAGAGACTCTGTTTCCAAATAAGGTCACATCATGGCTTCCAGGTGTGGAGACATGGACATATTTTTTGGGAGATACAGTTCAACCCAACACAACACTCATTGGTGGTGGGGGATTTGGAAGCTAGGGCATCTCCACCACTTATCACCCACACTTCAGGGATGAGTTCTTGTCACTACCTTGAACACACGGCCCATTTCACCTCGGCCTTTGTACTCGCCATTCCTCTGCCTTAGAACACTCCATACCTCTCTGTGGGTGTTCTTTCTCATCCTTCAGATCTCAGCTGACTTGGTTTCTCTTCTGAGAGGCCCTCCTGGTCCCCTTGGTCCCCCAGGTTACCCTGGTATTCTTTTTTTTAATATTTTTTTTTCTTTATTCATTTTAGAGAGAGAGGAAGAGAGAGATAGAAACATCAATGAGAGAGAACATCGATTGGCTACCTCCTGCATGCTCCCTACTGGGAATTTGACCCACAACCTGGGCATGTGCCCTGACCAAGAATTGAACCAGAGACCTCTTGGTGCATGGGTCAATGCTCAACCACTGAGCCACACCAGCCAGGATTTTAAAATATATTTTTATTGATGTTTTTAGAGTGAATGATAGAAACATCGATGCAAACTGGTCATGTGCCCTGACCGGGAATCAAACTGGGACCTCTCAGTTTATGGGACAGCACTCAATCCACTGAGCCATACTGTCAGGGCAACCCCTGCTATTCTTTATCAGGGCATGCCCCTGCAATTTTAGCACCTTACTAACAAACTTATATTGTGCATCTGCCAGGTGCTAGATACTGTGTGGACCCTAGGCACACATACACAAGTAAGGGAGACAAAGATCACTATCCCTGTGGGACTAGCATTCTTGTAGGAGGGAGACGAACCATAATAAGTAAGTTAACAAAGTACATAGAGGAGAGAAAGAAGGCAGGTGTTGGGGTGCAGCAGCAACCACAGTTAATAAGCAGGCCCAGAAAGTTCTCATTGTAAAGGTATTTTTAAGTATACATCCTAATTTATAATGCATAGTTCCTGCCAAACTGAGCTCCACAGGGCAAGCTCTGGTACACAGTAGGCACTCAATAAATGCAAATGAACGAGCTTGCTATAGTTTGGTTGGTGTGTACACATACATGCCTAGGGACAGGTCGCTTCTCTTAACTTTACTCTCATCTGCAGAGCATATGCTGTGGTCCTTTCATTTCAGTCTTATACACGAGTATATCAAAGCTTCCTCATGGGAGGTTCCAGGGAGGGTAATGGGAGGGAGGCACTTCTGCTCAGCAGGCCTTTGGTTGATCCTTCCAGGCCCTGGAGAAGAAGGGGATCAGCCACCTGGAGGAGAAGGAGCTGAAGGAGCGGAACAAGAGGATCCAGGAAGACAATCGACTGGAGCTGCAAAAGGTGGGAGTACCCTTGGCATGTCCACATGGGGTCAGGAGGCCTTCCCTCATAGGGGCCCAAAGGCTGGTTTGCCTTTTGTTTAAGTCAAACAGGACCTGATTGGCTTACGTGGAAAGTCTAGGGGATGCTGGCTTTAGGCACAGCTGGATCCAGGGGCTCAGGCACTGTCTCCAGTGAGTTGCTTCTCTCCACATTGTCTCTGCTAGCCTCTAGGCTTTACTTCCAGATGCTCCTCTCAGGGTGGCCAAAGTGGTCCTTCCAGTTCCAGGCTGCTGTGTCTCTAGTAGAATGAAGGCCTCTCCTTTCCCAGGGTCTGTCTGAAACCTCAGGCATTCCTGGACCAATCCCTGTGTCCAGGGTTGGTGGACTGGGGCCAGGCCTTGGTTATAGTCCTAGCCCTGACCCTAGGAGATTTGATGGCCTGAGAGGGCACAGGGCAGGCCACATGAGACCCCTATCATCTAGCTGTCCAGCCCCCGTCATCCTTCCTGTGCACCCCCCCAGGTGAAGCAGCTGAGGCTGGAGCGGGAGCGGGAAAAGGCCATGCGTGAGCAGGAGCTGGAGATGCTGCAGCGGGAGAAGGAGGCAGAGCACTTCAAGACATGGGAGGAACAGGAGGACAACTTCCACCTCCAACAGGCCAAACTTCGGTGCAGTGCGTGGGTGGGGAGGGGGGCTGCCCACCGCCACCCTGCATCCCCTCCCTTCACCTAGCAACCTGCTTCTGAACTCAAACACATGGAGCCTGTTTCTGCCCCTGGGCCTTAGCACATGCTATTCACCCTTCCTAGAACCCACTCTCCCAGCTGCTCCCCTTCACCCTTTGGGGGTTTTTTTGTTTGTTTTTTGTTTTGTTTTTTTATCCTCACCTGAGGATATTTTTCCATTTTTTGTACAGATAGAGTGGGAGGGAGAGAGAGGAAGGGAGAGAGAGAGGAACATCGACGTGAAGGGACACATCGAGTGGCTGCCACCCGCACGACCAACCAGGGCCGGGGACAAACCGCAACCGAAGTACGTGCCCTCAGCGGGAACCGAACCAGGGTCTCTCCAGACCGCAGGCCGACGCTCTAACCGCTGAGCCAAACTGGCCAGGGCGTCACCCTTTGGGTTTTTGCCTATTGTGTCCTTGGGGGGGCCCTCCCCAGCCCCCTTGCTGGCACTAGCCCTTGCTTTGCGTGCACACCTGTTGCTGGTGCACTCACATCTCCCCCATTGGGCAGAGTGCAGAGGAGACCTGTGAATACACTGGTTCCATGTGACAGAGCTGCACAAGCTAAGTGGAGTGTGCTGGGCCCTGGACCACGCTGACTGTGCTAGTCCCTCCACTTGTAGCCCACGGGGGTGTTTGCTCATTGGCTGCATTTATAGACAAGGAAAAGAAGGCTTCTGGGGGTTGTGAGTTGTCTGAGGCCATACGGGTATCTGAGCCTGTGGCCTTGCATTTGTGCACCTGGAACCCACCCCTCACTTCCCTCCTCACCCTTCTCTCTGCTGGCCACACAAATTCTGGCCAGGGGCCACCCTCAGATTAGACAGCACTGAGGCTCTAGATCTTCCAGCCCGGACAGCTATCCTTTGAAAAGTGGTCCTCTGCACCTCAGGCTCCACTCTTAACTGGCTGCTCACTCCTGTCCCAGCCTGTGCCTCCTGGCTAACCTATCTTATTTCTCTGCCTGATACCTTCTCTTTCAGGAAGCCTTCCCTGACCACCACCCCCTGCAGGCCCGGCTCCTCCCCCTGGCTCCCACATTGGTTGCCCCAATGGACAAGATTATAGGAGGGAGGTTGCAACCTGGGCTCTGACACCACTGCCTGCTCCCTGCAGCTCCAAGATTCGAATCCGGGATGGACGGGCCAAGCCCATTGACCTGCTGGCCAAGTACATCAGCGCTGAGGACGATGACCTGGCTGTGGAGATGCACGAGCCTTATACCTTCCTCAATGGCCTCACAGTGGCTGACATGGAGGACCTGCTGGAGGATATCCAGGTACAGCCTGTCCCCACCACCCACACCCTGGTCTTCCCAAGATGTGCCTTCACCCCACCCCTCTGTGCCTCTGCCTTCAGGTATACATGGAACTTGAGCAGGGCAAGAATGTGGACTTCTGGAGGGACATGACCATCATCACAGAGGATGAGATCTCTAAGCTCCGCAAGCTGGAGGCCTCAGGCAAGGGCCCAGGTAACCCAGGGTGTGCTCTTGGGGACACATATCTACACCAAGGGCTGGATGGTTTCACCGGACGCTAGCCTCAGGGGCTCTGTGGGCCTCATTCTCTTCCTCTGGGCTCTCCACGGCCCTCTGGAGGCCTCTGAGAGCCACCAGGGGGCAGCACTGAGCATTGGGAACCCCAGGTTCTGGGCAAGGGACTCTCCAGAGGGGTGGGGGGTTTCCTTTATGATCACTCATCAGTGCTGGGCTTCCCTAGGAGCAGTGCCAATGGGGGCTTTTTGTTTGGGTTTCAAGTTTTCTGTGGAGATTCAGTTTGTGTGAGAGCAGGACCCAGCTCTGCTTGGCTGGAAACTCCATGCAACCCGTCTGTTCAACTTGGCATTCTTTTTTAACTCAATTTTCTTCTTATCAGAATGATCACATGCGTACATTCACAAGGGAAATGAACTCCCCAGACATGGTCCATTGTCCCCTGGGGGCAGAATCACTCCATTTGAGAACCACAGCTCTAAAAGCTCTTTACCACTCTGGCCAGTTTGGTTCAGTGGTTAGAGCACCGACCCTGGGACCAAAGAGTCGGTTCAATTCTGGTCAAGGGCACATACCTCAGTTGCAGTTCAGTCCCCAACCCTGGTTGTGCGGGAGACAGCCAATCAATGTCTCTCTCTCACATTGATGTTTCTCTCTCTCTCCCCTCCTCTCCTTCTCCCCCCTCTCTGTTCTGAAGATAAAATTGAAAAATATCCTCATGTGAGGATTGATAATAAAAATTAAAAGATAAAAGCTCATGACCAACCACAATAGGCCTGTCCCTTCAGCCCCCTAAAGCCACCAGTTTTAATGATTCCAGCTTCTGTGGGCCTTGTGTCCCTGTTGCCAAGCTTTATTCTTCATCACCCACTTCTAGTGGCTGAGGACATGAACCATCCCCTCCCCCACACTTGTGTGAATGTCATTTGCGTGCAGTTCAGATGTGGGTCGGGACAGTTTCCTTCCTCGTGAAACAAGACGAATATCCTTTATTTTTGTAAATAGAGTTTTGTTTCTCATGTCCTGTTAGCAATTACATCCTGCAGTAACTTCCGGAGAAAGGAAGAGAAACTCTTCATTGTCAGAAAGGAAATGTCCTTTGGTGGCAGTGGGCCTGGGTGTAGAACTTGTTGGAAGTGTATTGTGGAGCCGGTGGACAGAGTAACAGTTACGAGCATGGCTCTGGGTGCAAATCCAGGCCACCAAGGAGCTCAGTGACCTTAGCTGATCGGCTGTCTCCTGGATGCTTAGTTGTCCCTTTAATTGCATGGGGAAGATAAATTCCCTCCAGGTGGATTGAATGAAGAGAAATGAGTAAGAAGTGTCAAACACTGGAAACAGCACGTAGGTGTATGATGGGGACTGTCCACCACTGACCCCAGCCTTCCAGCTGAACCTTGGAAGTACTCAGACACATCAAGAAGTCCATCAGACCTTTTTCTTATCCCCGGGCCCTTTCTCTCCCACCCCCCCAACACAGTGGGTTGGCCTCTACCACCCTCCTGGGGCTCCTTTCTTCAGTGAGGGAGCCCCTCTTTCTAGGACCCTACATCTCCCTTTTTTGTGGTTTGTGCCCTCATGTTGGTGGGGCACATCCTGCCGTAGCTTCTGTTGGAAGGCAGGTAGTTCTTTGATGTCCTGTGTGTCAGAAATTATTTCTCTCTTCCTGTGGTTGGTGGCAGAAGGGCTGGATATAGACTTTGAGAGCAGGGTGTTTTCTTTAGAGGCTAAAGACCCTGCCCCACTGGCTGAAGGGACAGCCCACGTCTGTCCACTTCCAAAGCTCTACCAGTGGATGTTTGGGTGGTATCCAGGCCCAAGACATGGTTTCCTTTATCAGCTCTTGGCTTCCTTGGGAACAGCACCAGCAGGGCTGTCTGGGTTGTAAGTTTTCACTGGTGGCTCCATCTGAGTGCAGGACTTGGTTCCACTTGGCCTGGTATGGGGATTGTTACCAAATTCAGTTTGGGTCCTGTTTCTGGGCCTGTCAAAGACCAAGGCCAGCCTATTGGCTTGTAGGTTGACCACTGAGTCCAGCACTGTTGAGGGCCACTTGGGTACACAACAAAGGGACTGAGTGTCTAGATGCTGATTCTGGTGTCCGAGGTTGGTTGGCTACAGGGACTTGGGTCCCTCTCGATCCTGTTCAATCAACTGTGTCCAGTGGCAGGGGTTCTCGAATTTTGCTTTTGAGCAGGAAGCATGAGCTTGTTTCCCACTTTTTTTTTCACCCAGCAGCTGCATACAGGGCTCCCTGTGGGCCCAGCCCAATGCTAGGGAAATAACAGTGGGAAGGCCAGGGAGTAATCTGGTAGGGAAGGCTTCCTAGGAGAAAGGTATATCTTTGCTAAGTTCTGAGGATAGGTGTTGATGGAGTACCACATGTGCAAAGGACCTAGGGCAGGGCCTGGGTTTGACATCTTTGGTAAGCAACAAGGAAGCTGATCTACCATAGCACATAGGGTCAGGCAGTATCTAGCCCTGATCTTGGGGGCCTCTTAGTCTAGAGGGAAGGGATGTGTCTTTGGGCACTCCGTCCATGATAGATATTGGGACAGACTTTCTTGCAGGACAGAGGGGCCTGTTTGTCTTGGGCAGTGTCAGAACTTCCCGTGGTGCCTGGGAGATGAGCAACTCTTTCTGCTGTGGAATGCCCTCTGTGCCAGGCACAACACAGCGCTCTCATTCATGGTCTCATCGGGCTTCGTAGAGGAGAAAACTGAGACCCAGAGAGAGTGAGTCACTTGCCCAAGATCACACAGCTGGGACTGGCATAGCAGGGTCCGAATTCCAAACAGTTTGGCTATTGGGCAAATTCTCCTGGCTCTTGTGATTTGGGAAGGTAGTGGTGGGCCAGATTGGCAGACTGAGCACCTGGGTCCTAGCCTGGTGCTGACTGACCCCCATGTCACTGCAGGTGAGCGGCGAGAGGGCGTTAACACCTCGGTCAGCTCTGATGTGCAGTCGGTCTTCAAAGGGAAGACGTACAGCCAGCTGCAAGTCATCTTCCAGGGTATTGAGGGCAAGATTCGGGCTGGGGGCCCCAACCTGGACATGGGATACTGGGAGAGCCTACTGCAGCAGCTGCGTGCCCACATGGCGCGTGCCAGGTGAGTGGGCAGTGGGCCTCAGTCACCTCAGCCGGGTACTGTCCTGGGTGGGTCTCATCCCTCTTAGGATCTCGCCTGGGGGGACAGGAGCCATCTTCATCAGGCCTGCTGGGTGGGTCTGGCCCCTAAGTAACCTTGGGGGCCATAGGCCAGTGCCCTGGCCAAAGCCCTCACTATTCTCCCATACTCCACCTGGAGTTGGGCCCCGAGAGTCAGGCAGAGCCTCCCACAGTGGCATGCCTTTCTCACAGCCTTTACTGAGTACCTAGCCTTTGTTTCAAATAGGGTCAGCCGGCATCACAAGAAGCCCCCGGCTGCCTGTCCTGCCTTCCACTGGCCCCACACACCCTGTGTACAAATTCTCAGCGTGCTTGGCACCGCTATGTAAACACAGCGCCTGCCTGTCCCTGTGTACTGGCCTCTAAATTTATCTTTGCCTGCTCCGCCTCTCTTTCCAGCCCAGCCTTGCTGTTAGGTTACACCCACATGTGAATACCATGGGATAGTTCTCAGGGGTTCCTGACTTCAAGTCCCATTTTTTTCATGGCCAAAGCCTTGACCCTGAAATGGCCATGCTGGGCTGGAGCCCCAGCCTGTGTTGTACCCACTAACTGCTCTCTCAAACTCTGTGTCCTAGCAGCGAAAGGGGCCATCATGATAAAGCCTGAGGGAGGACAGGGCCCCCTCCCCAATTCTATTCAGGTGACCCCTCAGCCACTTTCTAGGCTTCGCGAGCGGCACCAAGATGTACTGCGGCAGAAGCTCTACAAGCTGAAGCAGGAGCAGGGCGTGGAGAGCGAGCCGCTATTCCCCATCCTCAAGCAGGAGCCCCAGTCTCCTGGCCACAGGTAGGCCCAGCCTGGAAGTTCCCATTCCTCACCTGGGGGACCAGGATGATCTCCCACTCCAAGGGGCCCACCTACCTCTGGAGGGGTCAGGGCAGCCACCCTCTCAGCCCAGCCCTAGCCCTTTCTTCTCTCCTCAAAGCCTGGAGCCTGAGGACCAGGCCCTGACCCCACCTGGGCCCTCCTTGGAGGGCGGTCCTGTGGAGTCTGAGGCAGAGGGGGCGACACCAGCAGAGGGCGAAGCAGAGGGGGAGGCTGTGCTCATGGAGGAGGACCTGATCCAGCAGAGCCTGGATGACTACGACGCTGGCAAGTACAGCCCCCGGCTGCTCACAGCCCATGAGCTGCCACTGGACGCCCACGTGCTAGAGCCCGACGAGGACCTGCAGCGCTTGCATCTGTCTCGGCAGCAGCTCCAGGTCACAGGTGTGCACCAGGGGTGAATAAGGCCATCCTCTGGGTGTGGGTGGTGGGATGGTTAGGGCAAGAGGCTGCTGGGGCCAGGGCCAACCGGGGGCTTGATGGTGAACCTGTTTCTGTCCCCCTCCCTCTCTGTCTCTGAGCATCCATTCATTTGTCCACTTACTCATCCATTCAGTTGGGCTCAGTGACCAGCTGGCCCCAAGGGCAGAGGGATGGTCATTTTTACATCCTGTGCCTGGCCCTGTGTGAGCTCCTTATGCTACTTGATGCGGGGGGCACTTCAGCCTCCCTGAAATACTGTAGTCCTGGGTACAGAAGAGAAACAGCCTCAGAAAGGCCCCTGCCTGGGGTCCCCTGACAGGTCTCTAACCGTCAGGCTCTCTGGACACTCAGCAGGGGACACATGGTGTTTAGTGTCCATACTGGGAGACAGTGAGCATAGGTGGCCCAGGATAGGGGCAGTGGGAGGCAGGGAAAATTAGAAGCCGGGGCCTGCCCTTCCCTGTGCCTTTACCCTGAGCCTGTTTTTCTGTGAGAGGCCTGGTAGGCTCAGGTAGGCTCGGGCTGCCCTTCACACCACCCTGGGAGGGAGGGTAGCCTCCTGGTGATAGGGGTAAACAACTTCAGTGGTAGGTCAGCCCCAGATAATGGCCACCCCACCCGCAGGCGATGCGAGTGAGAGCGCGGAGGACATCTTCTTCCGGCGGGCCAAGGAGGGCATGGGCCAGGATGAAGCGCAGTTCAGTGTGGAGATGCCACTGACGGGCAAGGCCTACCTGTGGGCGGACAAGTACCGGCCACGCAAACCACGCTTCTTCAACCGTGTGCACACGGGCTTCGAGTGGAACAAGTACAATCAGACGCACTACGACTTCGACAACCCTCCTCCCAAGATCGTGCAGGGCTACAAGTTCAACATTTTCTATCCTGACCTCATTGACAAGCGCTCCACCCCCGAGTACTTTCTGGAGGCCTGCCCCGACAACAAGGACTTTGCCACCCTGCGCTTCCACGCTGGGCCGCCCTATGAGGACATTGCCTTCAAGATTGTCAACCGCGAGTGGGAATATTCGCACCGCCACGGCTTTCGCTGCCAGTTCGCCAATGGCATCTTCCAGCTCTGGTTCCACTTCAAGCGCTACCGTTACCGGCGGTGATGGCCCTGCGTTCCTCCCGGACCACCTGACAAGAGTGGCCCAGCTGGCAGTTGTCCCTGTTTGGTTCACAGCCCACCTCCAGCTGGGCCTTCCCCTCGCCAGCCTCACTTTCTCTGTGTGAACAGCAAGTCACAGTGGAACTGCCTTGGAGGGTAGAGGGGATGACTAGGGCAGGCTGGCCCAGGATTCTGACATGCAAGTGGGGCCGCGAGTGGGATGCTTTGAGCCCAGGGAACCCAGCAGGTGTCAACCTCACTGTCCACATGGGCGAACTGAGGCACATCCCCGTGTTATACAAGCCCTGTGGTACAGGCCTTGAGCTGGGGCCAGCATGGGGCCCAGATGTGTGGTACTAAGCTTTTGAGGGGCAGGAAACCCAAGTTCAGGGCACTGATTGGTCCTCAGACACAGCCAGCTGCAGGACCCACAGCCCTGGCCCTCTCCCAGCCAGCCTCCCTCACTGCCCACTCCAGTGGAACCTAGACCCTGCTGTGCCTGATCCACAGGAGACTTTGAGGGACGTCCCAGTCACCTCGCCCCTAGTGCTGGTTGTGGGCTCAGCCTACCCCCAAGTGGACATGAAGGACACGTCATCCACCATCAGTTCCAGAAACCAAGGGTCACTGAGAAGTCTTTCTGTAGCCACTGGGCAAAGGAGCACCCAGGTGCGCAGCCTCCTTGGGTACAGCTGCAGTGACCCCATCTTGCCTGCGTGTTGCCCTCACCTCAGAACAGATGTGTTCTTTGTGGCCACCTCCCAGCCACCCCAAAGCTGCCCTCCTTGTTCCTGTGTCAGACGGGGACAGTCGAGACACCGATAGGTACACTCACCCAGAGTCACTGACTGTCTATGATACACCAGGCTTATGGACCCCAGAAACATTTCTTTCAGTAATCTATTATGAAGACATTTTCAGCCTACACCAAACCCTGAAGTGCCACCTCCCCAGCTCCTTGGACAGCCCCGCCCAATACTTGATTTCATCTTAGATTGTTTCTCTAAAAAGACTTTTTTAGGTGGGGAGGGAAAATCTTGTTTATTTTCATTTAATTAATAAACGCTTTATTTTAGAATAATTTTAGATTTTCAGAAATACTGGAAAGATAGCCCCGAGCTTCTATACCCACATGCAGCTGTCCCCATAGTTAATGTCTCATGTAACCATGACACATTTGTCACAACTAAGACATGAAACCCAACCAAGGAAACCTTTTAAAAACAACCACAACACCTAAAAATAGCCAATAGTTTCTTAGGAAACTTCTTACAGTTAGTGGATTTCCTCCATGTCTACCTCCAGCCCATCAGCCTCTCCTTCCATTAGGAGGCTGTAATCATAAGCACTCCAGACTGACTGTGGATGGTGGGAGGTGAGGAGCTGCTCGCCTAGGCCAGGGATGACTTGGGAAAGTCATCTGGTCAGGTGGCACCCTCTGCACACTGCAGACCCTGGCCCACCCACCCAACCTGGTCCAGGATGAAGAAGATCCATATGGCAACACAAGGACCATTCTGTCCCCTTCAGAACCCTTGGCAGACATCACTGATCAGTCACTAATTGCCAGAGCAACCTTAGAATCCCTGAGCCAGCAGCCACTACCAAATGATCTGTGGCCTGTAAGTGTAGGGCAGAGCCCTGGGAGCAGGTTGTCCGGGGCAGACCCTGGAGGCACTTCTGTGTCGGCTCAGGGCTTGGTCATGGCATGAGTAAGGCTCCATTCTGTTCTCAGTGTGGGCCATGTGTGGCCGCTGCAGCCCAACCATGACCTCACAGCAGCTCCACACGACAGGATTTATGTCCATTTGTGGAAACGGGCTCACGGAGGCCCACATTTTCAACCCTAGGAAGTGGCAGGGTTTTAACCTGGATTTCTCCAACTTGGAGAACCCTACCTCCAAAGCTACCAGCCATGCCCCAGCCTCAGTTTCTTCACCTGCCCCCAGAGGAGTCCTCCCAACCTGTGTCTAGTTCCTTCTCACGTTTTCCCTGTAGTTCAGGCACTGTATCTACCCATAGGGACAAGGTGGCCGCCGTCTGATTTGATTGATGTGTTTAGCCAGGAGCCTTTATTCTGGAGGGAGGAGAGCTGGGCTCATTCGCCAGCAGCCCAAGGAGTCGGGCTGGGGCAGAGGGAAGACACTGGGTCTAAGGGACCCCAGAAGGACACTGAAGGCTTCCTGGAGGAGGGTGCTGGGCAGAGAAGGAGGGTGGAGCCTGCCTCCAGCGGTGAACTTGCAGGGGTGAATGCAAGCCCAGGAGGTGGGAGCTCCCCATGGGAACCATACAGGGTGAATGAGCTGGGCAGGGACATGAGCTGAGTGTCAAGGAGACCTCTCAGGTAGACTGGAGGCATAGTACCCATCTAGCTGCCCCATCACCCCTACTGTCGCCCCAGGTCCACCCAGTGTTTCTTTTGCTTGTTTTTTAAAAGCAGACATTGGATTTTAATTTTTTTAATTGAATTTAGAGAGAGAAACATCGATGAGAGAGAACATCGATTGGCCACCTCCTGCATGTCCCCCACTGGGGTTTTGGCCCACAACCTGGGCTTGTGCCCCAACCAGGAAATGAACCGGCGACCTCTTGGTGCATGGATCGACACTCAACTAATGAGCCACACAGGCCGGGCCACCTAGTGCTGCTTTTATTTCCTCACTGGAGGATTTTTTTATTTTTTTCCCCATTTATTATCAGAGGGAGAGAGAGACAGAGAGAAACATCAATGTGATAGAACCACATCGAGTGGTTGCCACCTACACGACCCCAACTGGGGCCGGGGACAAGTTGCAACCAAGGTACGTACCCTTAGTGGAATTAAACCCCGGGACGCTCTGGTCCGCAGGCCGACACTCCAACCACTGAGCCAAATCGGCCAGGGCCACCCAGTGTTTCTTAAGCTGTCCCTAAACCCAACCCCCACCCCAGTTTCTTCCTGCCTTTGGCTTTGTCCAAATCTAAGAATAGATGCTCCCTGCCTGTCCCCCACCGGAAACCACAGCCACAGGGGGCACATCCTGAGCCTAGTCTCTGCTCCCACCATATGCCTCCCCCCCAGGCCATCTCAATGTTTCCCAAGCCTCCCATGTGTCCATTGAGCTAGGAGGAGGTAAACAGAGGCCTGAATATCTCCAGCCACCAGCCCAGGAGGTGGAGGAAGTCCAGAACTCAAGTTCAAATCCCACCCACATGTGCCCTTGGCCATGTCATTTCCTTCCTCTGGGCCTCAGTTTCCCCACTTACAAAATGAACATCTTTACCTCGTGCATTGCAGAAATGCAGTGAGACCCAGACCAGACTAAATGCAAGTCAAGTGCGAATCTCTGACCCCTGCCCTGACTGTTTCCCAGAAGGAGCAGTGTCCTTATCTCTAGGCAGAGGAAGTGGGAATGGAAGAGTCTCCCTCCATCTCTCCCCCGACATCTGGAGCCCCAGCCCCACATCCTCTTCCCACATCTGCCCTCACTGCAAAGCCTCATGCTTTCTTGCCTCTGAAGTCTTGCACATGTGATTTCTGCCATGTTTCTTGCACCTGGAAACTCCTACTCAGCTCACAAAGCCCCAGTTCTTATGCCTTCGCCAAGCCCCAGGATGCCTTCCTGGCTCACCTTCTGGGCTCCCCTATGCCCCATTACTTCCTCTGGCCCAGCCATGACTGCAGGTAATTAGGACTGTCTGTGTCCAGCTCTCTTTCTCCAGACTGGAGGGTTCTCGAGAGTAGGTCTTGTTTCCAGTCCTACTTGGGGCTCATAATTGTCCCACCACATGGGCCAGACACAGAGTTGGGATTAAAGTGGAATAAGAAAAAAAAGGGGGCGCCCTGGCCGGTTTGGCTCAGCGGTTAGAGCGTCGGCCTGCGGTACAGAGAGACCCGGGTTCGGTTCCCGCTGAGGGCATGTACCTCGGTTGCAGTTTGTCCCCGGCCCTGGTTGGTCGTGCGGGTGGCAGCCACTCGATGTGTCCCTTCACGTCGATGTTTCTCTCTCTCTCTCTTCCTCTCTCTCCCTCCTGCTCTATCTGAACAAAAAATGGAAAAATGTCCTCGGGTGAGGATTAAAAGAAAAAAGAAAAAAAAGGGGGGTACAAGACTGCCTGGGAGATCAAGGCTTTACAGAGGAGGGGCCTTGAAGCCAGGGCTCTGCCAGATGCATAGGAGTTGGGAGACTCCTTGCCAATCGAGAAGTTAGGGTGAGCCCTGGCTGGTGTGGCTCAGTTGGTTGAGCGCTGTCCTGTGCATGGTAAGGTCCCCTATTCAATTCCAGGACAGGGCCCATATCCAAGTTGTGGGTTTGATCCCTGGTCAGGGTGTGAGCGGGAGGCAGCGGATCAATATTTTTCACACTGATGTTTCTCTCTCCCTCCCTCCCTTCCTCCCTCTCTGTTCCTCTCCAAAAATCAATAAAAATATTTTAAAAAGGGGAGAGAGAGAGAAGTTAGGGTTAAATGGGTCTGAGACTCAGACAATGGGATGAAGCAGGGGAGGGGCCATCTGGAGGGATGGGGAGTGTGAGCCAAGGCCTGGAGACCGGAAAGATGGTGGGCGGGGAAGCCAGGGAAGGGGCTTCCGGACAGAGCCTCTCCAGGGCTAAAATCCATCTTCACTCAGAGCTTGTACTTGTGTGCCCCTCCCAGGCCCCCAGGACTGAGTGGGGTGGGCTCAAGGCCAAGCCAGCTAGGTCCTCACTCTGGGTCAACAAGGCCCAAGGACACCCCTCCATGCCCGGGCCCCTGGACCCTCTCCACCCACCTGAGACCCCAGGACTGTGGGCAGGAAGGGCCTTCAAGAAGCCTTTCACTTTCCTGCTGCACAGTCCGGTCACCTTCCTTTGCTCTAGCAGTGCCCAGCCTGGTCACTTTGGGCTGATGAGACCCTGGCCCAGAGCCCCAAGTGTGTCTGGGGGCTTTCAAGGAAGTGAACCCTGCCTTGGAAGATCATTCCAGAGCCCCAGTTCCTGCTCCTGGGCCTCAACCTCTGAATCATTCCCGAAGTGACAGACTCCAGGCCTTCTCTACCCTGCACTGGGGGGAGGGAGGAAAGCAACTTCCCCACCCTTACTGCAGGCTTTCCCACCCCTGGCCCCAGTGTTACCTCTCAGTCTTTCTCACTGCCCCTCCCCAGAAATGCACTCACCCTGGTCACCCACAGCCCTCTGCTCACCTGCTCCACGGAAGCCTGTCTCAGAGGGCTGCCCACCAAGCTTCTGGCTGGAGAGTTTAGCTGTCTCCCCTCCCCTCCAAACACCCTGCACCCTCAACCCCCAGGCCTGGAAGGGCCCTCAAACCCAGGGGGTTCACCAGCACACAGCCCTGGGACCAAGGGTGGGGGTCTGGGCACCTTCCCGAGCTGACCCTGCCTTGCCCAAAACCTGCCCCTCCCCCTCCGGGCCTCTGGTGCTGCCCGGACGGTGAATAATACCCAAGGAGCTCCTGGGGGGCCCAGCTGGGGCCGGCCGTTGGTGGGGCCCATGAACTGTGCTGGCCACCCTGGCTACTACACCCCTGCCCCTGAGGCCTGGTGTGCCTCAGGTGTCTCTCCAGGAGGCTGCCCAATCTCCCCGGCCGGCTGGGGGTTGCCCGCTGACCCCCATCAGTCAAGCTGGGGCCTGAGGGGCGTGGCCACTGCAGGGGGAGGGACTGATGAGAGACAGACAGACAGAAAGAAAGACCGAAAGAGTCGTGGCTGGAGACCGGCAGGGTGCTGTCTGCAGAGCGTAGCCCCCACCCTGGCTATTTTTAGCCCCAAGGACCCACCCCTTCAGCACCAGAGGGGCCCTAGCCCCTCTTGCCTCCCTGGACCACGCGCACTGGGGCGTCCTGTGCCGCTGGCGACGTGGCAGCTCCTGGGTCCTCTGTGGGCCCACCCCGGCCGTGCCTCGGTTTCCCCAGGAGCCCCGGGAGGCCGGTCACCCAGCTCCGTTCACCCCACCCCCACGCCGGGCCCGGACTAGCGCCCGCAAGTCCGCAGGGCTCTGGTTCCTGGATAGCGGTGACCCCAGCTGTCCCATCCATTCATCAACGCCAGGTGAGGAGGCAGCCGGCCAGGTGAGGGGCGGGCTTGCCAGTGGGCAGGTGTTGCTGGGGTGTTTCCTGTAGTGACCTGCTCTGCTGTGGGTGTGTCACTCTGGGCAGTGACAACAGCCAGGTGCTGTGTGTCCTGGAGCATTGGTGAGACCAGGTCCGCCCGCAGAGTGGCGTTGCACTTCTGCTGCCTGCCCTGGTCAGTGGCCATGTGTAGTCGGGGATGTGCTTGTGTGTGGGTTTCTCTGAGTCTGTGTGGGACCACTCAGGATCCTGTGGTGCCACAGGAAGGGTGTGGCTGGGAGCGAGTGTTTACGTGTGCATTGCAATGATGGGTTCATATGATCACAGTAACTCTGTGTCCATTTTAACTACCTGCCAGATGGCCTGGTTCCCCTTCTGTCATCTCCCACCTGCCCCTGTGGCCCTCCTGGCAGCCCTGAGCAGTGAGCGCTTTGACGATGCCTATTAAACAGATAAGAAACAGCCCTGGCCGGTTTGGCTCAGCAGTTAGAGCGTCAGCCTGTGGACCAGAGAGTCCCGGATTCAGTTCCCGCTAAGGGCATGTACCTTGGTTGCAGTTTGTCCCCGGCCACAGTTGGAGTTGTGTGGGTGGCAACCACTCGATGTGTCTCTCTCACATTGATCTTCCTCCCTCTCTCCCTCCCGCTCTATCTGAAGATAAATGCAAAAACGTCCTCTGGTGAGGATAAAAAATAAAAACAGATAAGAAACAGGCTGAGGGACCAAATGAGTCTGAGCCGAGGTTCAGCTCCAACCTAGTCAGGCTGACTGTGGAGTCCCCAGTCTACATCTTCTGTGGTGGAGGCCTGGTTAGTGTCAAAAACAGGAAAAGTTCTCCGAAACTGAGCCTGTGGTGAGGGGAGGTGGGTGTGGCCTTGCTTTTTATGTAGGTGTGTCTGTGGCCCCACAGGGGCGTGGAGGGGGGCCCTATGGGCTACTGGGTGTACTGGGCTGGAAGTGACTGATGCAGGGGCTGGCCTGGACCCGGCATGTTCATGCCAAAGGGTGTCGTCACTGGTCTCCTGGACTGCCCAACAGTTAGAGGACAGGAAACATGGGAAACAAGCTGAGGGGCTGGGCCAGCCAGGGTCACGCACAGTATCAGGGCTCCTGCCTGGCTGCCCCTGTGCATCTGGCGTGTCTCCTGGCCAGGTGCAGGAAAGACACACAAGGCAGGAGCCAAGCCGGCTTGTGAAAAGCAGCCAGAATGCCAACAGGCAAGTTGGTATCTTTGTTATTCCCATTTCACAGAGAGGGAAAACTGAAACTTGGCAATGTTGAGCCCCCAACTTGGCAGTGACAGATCAGGCACTTCAATCTGAGCTTGTCTGAGGTCAGCATCAGGCCAGCTGGACAGGCCAAGGACTCTTTGAGAGATGGATGGCTCAATGCAAGAGGAAAGAGAGTGGGCAGGCAATGACAAATGATCAGGCAGAGACAGGGCCTGGCACCTGGCAACCAAAGAATCACATCCCACTGGACAGTGGGAGAGCCCTGCCCATTGTCTAGCCTCCAGTAAGGCCAGTTGCTGAGACAGATTTCTGGAACCCAGGACCCAGGCAAACTCCTGTCAAAGTTCTGAAACCTCAGCCCTTTGGAATTCTAGACTTGGGAGGCCTTGCAGTTTCCAGAACTCGGAGCTCATTCGAATTTCAGAACCATGGATCTTCAAAGTCTAAACCTCCCCTCTCTCGGGCCATGGAATTCTGGATTTGTCTAGCAAATCTGGCTTGGAAATCTGGAGTCCACGCCTCCCATGAGACACAGAGAGGGAGATGGGTTATCCCAAGGGCCACATAGTGCTGCTTCTGGACCTGGGGCTGGGATGAGAATGATCCCCTGTAGGTTAGGGGCACTGCCAGCTCTCCTGGCCAATGTGGGAGGGGAGGCCTTGCCTGGGAAACCTGAGACAGCAGCTATCACCTGAACCCACGGGAGGGGGCACGGAAACCTCAGGCTGTGGCCAGAGGGAGTCATGCCAGTTTCCAGTCATCCCCAGGCCACTGGCTCTGGGACACAAGTTAGTTCCCAGACGAGGGCAATATGAGGATATCTTAGGGGTGTGTTCTGGGTGAGTGAGTGGTGCAGCAGCTCCCACAGGAAAGTGAGGACAAGGGGACCATGAGACCCAAGAGGGGCTGGCAGTCATTCCAGATGGAGGCCAGGGCAGTGGCTGCAGGCGCAGCCCAAGTCCCCAGGAATGTTCAGAAACGGCACATACCAGCTCTGGAGGGAGGGAGTGCCTTGTCCCAGGAGGAATTCAAGTTCAGGTCAAATCTGAGATGGCAAAGAGCACACCCCTGAGCCAGAGTGGAGGACTGAGGTCGCCAGTCACCATGGAAAGCACCCCCTCTGCCCGCCCCACCACCCCAGGCCTTAGTTTCCCCACTTGAGGCCCCACCACCACTGAAGTGGTAGTGGCCTTGGCACTGGGCCTGGGAGGGAAGCTCGGGGCAGCTGTCAGGAGCTAGATAATTTATGAGACTAGATAAGGAGCCGTGGAGTCTGAGGGGCTGGGCCAAGGCGCCAGTTGTGGAGATGAGAGTGAGGGCTAGTGGCCACCTGCTGGGCACCTCCACAGGAACTGAGCACCTACAATATGCTAAGCCCTGGACCCAAATGAACTCATTCCCACCACGAACCCCATTTTATAGGAAGGGAAACTGAGGCTCAGAGTAGGGACATGCGGAGCCCAAGGGCAGTGAGAGACTATGTGGCAAAGGCAGGATTTGAATCTGGGCTGATCCGCTTTTTAGAAAAGTTTATCCTTCCTTAGAGAAAATTTCAATGATTGTGCACCCTCATACCCACCTGGCACCAGCCTCCATCCAATGGGCAGAATTTTGAATCACTAACACATTATATGTAATGATGCCCGAGTTTAAATTTCAAATCAGCTTGGGCTGGGCTGTGTGACCTTGAACAATTAGTTAACCTCTCTGTGCCTCAGTTTGCCACCTCTGTAAAAAGCAGATCATCGCCCTGGCCAGTTGGGCTCAGTGGTTACAGCATCGGCCTGCAGACCAGAGAGTCCTGGGTCCAGTTTCCGCTAAGAGCATGTACCTTGGTTACAATTTGTCCCCGGCCCTGATTGGGGTCGTGTGGATGGCAACCACTCGATGTGTCTCTCTCACATCAATGTTTCTCTCTCTCTTCCCCCATCTCTCTCTTCCACTCTATCTGAAGATAAATGCAAAAAAAAAAAAAAAAATCCTCAGGTGAGGATAAAAAAAAAAACCATATCATCATAGGACTTTCATGAACTTTAACTGCCTGGATCCTCCATTCCTGTTCCTCCCATGCCCCCTCCCCCCCACCTTTGCCCACTCTGATCCCTCCACTGGGTGCACCCTTCACTATCAATACTAGGATGACTTGTGGTATGTGCCTAGGGCAGAAGGCCGGGGACCTGGGTGCTAGCCCCAGCTCCATGCATGGCTTTATATCTTCCCTGGTGTGTCCTTTTAGGGAACTGGGAACTATTTTATTCTGGTCTGCGGGCCGACGTTCTAACCGCTGAGCCAAACTGACCAGGGTGGGAACTATTTTTTTAATGTTCTCATTTTATTGTTACTTGGCATCCCCACATCTGGCTGATTTTTTCACACTTGCATTAGCCAAGTCCAGATGTTTCTCCAGTTTTCTCCCCCAGCCCCACGCTGAATAATGGTTCCCTCTCATTGCCTTTTATAGCCCATCTCTTGAAAACCTGTCGCTCCAAATGAGCTGGTTTTGGTTCCCAGAATGGAACTGGATTTCTGGGTTTATTTCTTATTATAAAAGCAATGCCATGAATTGGGGGTGGGGCTAATCCCCATGATTTCAAAAAATTAAGGAATAATTTTTTAAAAAATCATTCAGTCCTGGTCGGTATGGCTCAGCAGTAAGAGCATCACCCGCAGACCAAAGAGCCCTGGGTTATATTCCAGCCAAGGACATGTATCTTGGTTCCAGTTTGTCCCTAGCCCCGGCTGGGTTGTGCGGGAGGCAACCAATTGATGTGTCTCTCTCTCCCTCCCTCTCTCCCTCCAGCTCTATCTGAAGATGAATGTAAAAAATTTCCCCGGGTGAGGATTAAAAAAAAAAAAAGTAATCCACACGATTTTAATATAAGGAAGGATCTCCCTAAAATACCAGTGGGGTGAGGACTCAGCCTCATGCATTCACAAGAAATTGCCGGCAACCTCTGGCCGACAACCAGGCTGGCTCTTCGCACTGGATGCATCCTGTCTCAGTGCGCTGAAATCTGTCCTGCACGCTGCAGTCTGACAAGTGCTGAGATGGGAGACCAGCAGGGAAACAAGCTCAGAGAGAAGAAATCACTTGCCTGGGGTCGTGCAGTAGGCACCAGGGCTGGAGTTTAAACCTGGGGTTTCTCAGCCCTTCTCCTTAACCCAACAGATACTAATTGGCCTCCTTCAGGGATCCCAGAGAAGACAGCACTGGTCCTCACCCTTGAAGGTCACTGATTCTGGGGCAGGACAGAGCTGGAGGTAGTTGTAATAGTAAAACCTGTGAGTGCAGAGTAAGATAAGTCAGGAAAGGCATCCTTAAGGAGGGGTTATTTGAGTCAGGGCATTGAAAGTTGTATAGGAGTTCACCAGGGCCACTCAGATTAAATGCAGAATGAATCACCAGCAAATCATCTCTCTGCCTCACCAGGTGTGCCAGCGCCAGTGCCAGCCGACCCTACCTACAGCCTCAGCTCAATGGGGTGGTGACCCTCCCAACTCTGCTCTACTGCCATGTGGCCCAATGTCAGTTCTCTGGGACCCTGTTTCCGGCCAACAAACATCACGATGGAGGAGCGGCGCCTGATCGCCTCTCCCTGGTTTGCCGCCTCCTTCTGCCTGGTGGGCCTGGCCTCCAACCTCCTGGCGCTGAGAGTGCTGGCAGGCGCCCGGCAGGGCAGCTCGCACTCGCGGTCTTCCTTCCTCACCTTCCTCTGTGGCCTGGTCCTCACCGACTTCATGGGGCTGCTGATCACTGGTGCCATCGTGGTGTCCCAGCATGCCATCCTCAACTGGCACGCCGTGGACCCCAGCTGCCGCCTCTGCCGCTTCATGGGTGTTGTGATGGTCTTCTTTGGCCTGTGCCCGCTGCTGCTGGGGGCCGCCATGGCCTCGGAGCGCTACCTGGGTATCACGCGGCCCTTCTCGCGCCCTGCGGCCGCCTCACAGCGCCGTGCCTGGACCACTGTGGGGCTGGTGTGGGCCACGGCGCTGGCGCTGGGCCTGCTGCCCCTGCTGGGCGTGGGCCGCTACACTGTGCAGTACCCGGGCTCCTGGTGCTTCCTCACGCTGGGCCCCGAGCCTGGAGATGTGGCCTTCGGCCTGCTGTTTGCTCTTCTTGGCAGCTTCTCGGTGGGGCTGTCCTTCCTGCTCAACACCATCAGTGTCGCCACTCTGTGCCACGTCTACCATGGGCAGGAGGCTGCCCAGCAGCGCCCACGAGACTGCGAGGTTGAGATGATGGCTCAGCTCACGGGCATCATGGTGGTGGCCAGCGTCTGCTGGATGCCGCTGCTGGTGAGTGGCTGGTGCAGGGTCTGCCCTGGGTTTCCACCATCCTTGGTGACTGGGCCTCAGTTGAACCAGAATGGATTTCAGGTTCTCGTCCATCTGAGAAAATGTGGGCACAGATCCCAGTGTTTAGGTGTCCTTCCTTAAGGAGCTTGTGAGCAAGACACAGATAACCCCAAAACTGGCGCAGGACTGAGTGTCGTGTCCGTGGCAGTGTTCCCAGCCTTGCCCAGCACACAGCAGTGCTCAGGAAACCATTTTAATAGCATTTTCATATAATGCTTTTATTACAATATAAATTATAATTATATCTAGCATAATATAATTTTAATCTTAATTATAAAATATATTATAATTCGCCCTGGCTGGTTTGGCTCAGCGGTTAGAGTGTCGGCCTGTGGTCCAGAGAGACCCGGGTTCAGTTCTCGCTAGGGGCGCGTACCTCAGTTGTAGTTTGTCCCCGGCCCTGGTTGGTCGTGCGGGTGGCAACCACTCGATGTGTCCCTTTCACATTGATGTTTCTCTCTCTCTGTTCCTCTCTCTTCTTCCCACTCTACCTGAACAAAAAATGGAAAAATGTCCTTGGGTGAGGATAAAAATATATATATATAAAAAATAATTTATTATATTATAATTAATTATATAAATTATTATATAATATGTAATTATATTATATAATTGTTAAGTACTATATAATATATAACTAACTATATATTATTAAATAATACTTAATAGTCATATCAATTATTTATTATATAATACATCATTATATAATTATAATTATATAAGTATACAAAAATTTTAACTATGATATATAACTAATTATAATTAACAATATATTAATTATTAGATAATTATATTGTATTACATTTGTAAATAGTGTGATATATTATGTAATATTAAATGTAGATATAAATATTTTATATATTAAAATAATTTAATCTAAGAATTTAATATAAAATTGTCATAAAATTTTATAAAACATAATTTTAATATAGAAAATCCTTTAAAATAAACTATATAATATAAAATAAGTTATTTCATATACAATTTTATAATATACTTTTTTTTTTTTTAATTTTTTTTTTTAATCCTCACCCGAGGACACTTTTTTGTTCAGGTAGAGTGGGAGGGAGAGAGAGGAAGAGAGAGAGAGAGAGAGAGAGAGAGAGAAACATCGATGTGAAAGGGACACATCGAGTGGCTGCCACCCGCACGACCGACCAGGGCCCCTGGTTGGTCCGGGGACACACTGCAACCGAGGTACATGCCCTTAGCGGGAACCGAACCCGGGTCTCTCAGGACCGCAGGCGGACGCTCTAACCGCTGAGCCAAACCGGCCAGGGCTATAATATACTTTTATAATATTTTAAGATGTTTATAAAATATAAAATATTTAATAGAATAACAATGCTGGCTGTAACAGTAATTCCAACTGTTTGCACCTGCAAGTCTTCTTTTCCACCACATTTAATTGTGCCCAGGAGAGGAGCAGGAAAGGTGTGCTATTTTGTGGCCACATCGACTGAATCTCAGAGAAGTCAGGCAGCTCTCTCAAGGTCACACAGCAAAGCAGTGACAGAGTCAGTACTCAATCTCGAGGGCCTGCAGGTGCTGGTGGAGGGGCAGGGCTGGAAGCTGGCCTGAAGGCCTGACTCCTGGCTAACTACTCTGGCCCTTGACAGGTCTTCATCGCCCAGACAGTGCTGCGGAGCCCACCAGCCATGAACTCAAGCGGGCAGCTGTCCCGAGCCACGGAGAAACAGCTACTCATTTACCTGCGCGTGGCCACCTGGAACCAGATCCTGGACCCCTGGGTGTACATCCTGTTCCGCCGGGCTGTGATCCGGCGCCTCTATCCTGGCCTCGGTGCCCAGTCCAGGTCACTCTCTCTGCAGCCCCGGCTCACCCGGAGGCCCACGATGGCATAGGGCTGGGGTAGACATCAGTGGTGGCGCTGGAAAGACAGCTGCACATCCAACCTCGATCCTCCCTTACAGACGGCCACATCCACCCATTCTGAAGTCCGGGAGATGGGAGTGCAGGATGAATCAAGAGTTTGAGTGGCAGGATTTTGAGCTGTCTCCCATCAGCCTGGGAAACCCCACAAGTCTTCCCTGACCCCCTTATCCAAGGCCTTTCTCTTCTCTCAGGCCCCTCCCATCCCCAGGATGGGTGAGTGGGGGTGTAGGGAGGGTGTCTGGAGTCAATTAAACTTGTAAGCCTCTCCTTCCAGAAGTCCTCAGGAAACTGGGGATTCTGCCCACTGAATATGACCTATTCTCTGAGGTACAACAGTTGATACCCTTTGACACCACAACCCAAGAAGGCTCTGTCTAGAAAAGTTTGAATATAAATGGGTCCTTCTCTTGCCAAAATATATCTCAGCCCAGCTTTATTTTCCTTTGGGTCTGGAAGTCAGTCATCATTTGTTGAAGTTTGGTGCATCAGACTATTATCCAACCATGTGACAGCCAAGAACAAGGTGGGGGAAGGGCAGAGGGGATGAGACTGGGTTTTGGCTCCTCTTCCCACTTCCTTTATTGGATCAGATCTCCTGGAATCCTTCCAACAGCCCCTAGAGAGGGTTCTGGTATTAAACCCATTTTGCAGATGAGGAAAAGAGAGGGAGACACACACACAAGACCATGGAGTGATGCCTGCTTCCTCCATTCTAGATGGAGTCATTTCTACATAAGCTTATTGTTTAGCCTTTCATCCACTTAATCTCAGACTCCCAGTGTCTTGAACAAACAGCACCTGGTCCATAGTAGGTGCTCAAAAAAGATTGATTGAATGGACAAATGACTGAGGTTTTGAGGAACGCTGTGTATGTGCAAGTACATGAACACGTGTACAATGAGTACTTGTAAAGCACCTGGCACATAGTAGGTGCTTGAGAAGCAGCTAGTGTTGTCATAGTCCTCCAGTCCTCATGCCTGCCCCTTCCTCTGCTCTCCCCCAAACTCCTTCAAAAACAACACACCTGGCTGCAGGGGTGGGATGTGCCTTTATTCCCCATGAGCCCTCCAGGTACAGGAAGAGCAAAACATCCCCTGCCCCCCACTTCCCCCTCCACAGACATGGGATCTGCTTACACCTCCCAGAGGCAGGCCCAATGAAACTGAAGACCGTTTCCATTCTCCCTCCCCACACCTGTGTCGAAATGAGGTCACCTGCTGCTTCTGGGGGACCAGAGCTGGGAGGGGAAGGAGAGGGGATGGGGCCCACCAAGGGCAAAAAGTGTGTCACTCGCAAGCTACAGCTCCCTGTGGTGGGGGAGGGGCTCTGACCCTTATGGAGCAGTTCCTGACTCCCTGAGCTTGGGGGAGGGGCTAGGCTCCTGAGCTGGGGGTTTAGGGAGCTGGGACTTCAGTAGGGCCACCCTGGAGGCAGAACTAGGGATGTCAGATATGGTAGGTGGAATGGACTTATGGGGTCCTATCTGGGGCTTGGGGAAAAGGGCTGGTTTCTGGGGAGCCAAGGGGGCCTGTGGCTTTGAGGCCAGGTGGGAAGTTGTTAGGCTTCTTCCCGGGCCAGTATTGACCTGGGTTCCATGTACCAGATCATGGGGCTGGGGTTGAGGCTGAGAGACTTTGCTAGGGGCTCTTGGTAGTGGGCCTGGGGGCTGAGAGCGGGGTGGGGTAGTGGGATCAGGCTGGGTTCTAGGGTCAAGGCCAGGGGTCTGTGGACGAAGACCATTTCTAGAGCTCAGCTGGATTCTTAAGCCAGTCTGGGTTCTGGAGCTGGATTGGATTTCAGAAACAGGCTGAGTTCTGGAACTGAGGTAGGTTCCAGAGCTGGGCTGTATTCTTGAACTGGTCTGAGTTTCAGAGCTGGGCTGGGTCTCAGAGCTGAACTGAATTCTAGAGCTGGGCTGGGCTCCAGAGCTGGGCTGAATTCTTGCACTGGTCTGGGTTCCTGAGCTGGACTGGGTCTCAGAGCTGAACTGAATTCTAGAACTGGGCTGGGTTCCAGATCTGGACTGGGTCTCAGATCTGAGCTGGGTTCCAAAACTGGTCAGGGTTCTGGAACTGGTTTCGGTTCCAGAAACAGGCTGGGTTATGGAACTGGTTTGAGTTTCAGAAACAGGCTGGGCTTTGGAACTGAGGTGGGTTCCAGAGCTGGGTTGTATTCTTGAACTGGTCTGCGTTTCAGAGCTGGACTGAGTCTCAGAGCTGAACTGAATTCTAGAGCTGGGCTGGGTTCCAGAGCTGGGCTGGGTTCCAGATCTGGACTGGGTCTCAGATCTGAGCTGGGTTCCAAAACTGGTCATGGTTCTGGAACTGGTTTGGGTTCCAGAAACAGGCTGGGTTCTGGAACTGAGGTGGGTTCCAGAGTTAGGCTGCATGGTTGAACTGGTTTGGGTTCCAGAGCTGGGCTGAGTCTCAGAGCTAAACTGAATCTTGGTACTAAACTGGGTTCTGGAGCTGAGCTGGGTTTCAGAGCTGGACTGGGTTCTAGAGCTGAGCTGGGCTCCAGAGCTGGGTTTAATTCTTGTACTGGTCTGGACCCCAGCACTGGGCTGGGTCTCAGAGCCGAGCTCAGTTCCAGAACTTGTCTGGGTTCTGAAGCTGGGTTGAGTTCCAAAAACAGGCTGGGTTCTAGAACCAAGGTGGGTTCCAGAGCTGGGCTGTATTCTTGAACTGGTGTGGGTTTCAGAGCTGAGTTGAGTCTCAGAGCTAAACTGGACTCTAGAGATGAGCTGAGTTGCAGCATTGGTCTGCTTTGCAAAGTCCTGCTCAAGACCAGAGCTGTCTTGGGTTGTGGCCTGGGGGGTTTCCAACATGAGCTGAGTCCCAGAAGTTGATTGAGCCATGCAGGGCTGGGTCCTGGAGCTGGGCCTGCTCTTGGAGCTAGACAGAGTTGTGGAGCTTAAGTCTGTTGCTTCATTGGTCTGGGTCCCAGGACTAGATTGGATTCCAGGGTTTAGCTGGATTCTGGAACTCAGGTGGGTATCAGCAACTGACTGTGTTTTGGAGCTGGATGAGATTTTAGAGCCAGTCTGTGCTCCAGAACTGAGCTGATTTCTAGAGCTGAATTGGGTGCTTGATTTGGATTGAACTCTGGAAATTGGCCAGTCCTTGAGGTTAGTCTGAGTCCCAGAGTCGGATGGCATTCTAGAGCTGGTCTTTGTACTGAAGTGAGAGTGGCACTCAGCGTCAAACTGAGCTGTGGAGACAGGCCTTATCTTAGAGAGAGATGAGGTTCCAGGACTTGTCTGAATTGTGGAGGTGGGCCTGGTTGTAGCACTAGGCTGTGAACTAGAGCTGAGCTCAGTTTCTGAGCTGGTCTCATCACTGGAGCTGGACTGGGCCCCAGAGTGGGGGTGAGTACTTGAGTGAAACTGGGTATTAGAGCAGAGTTGGGGTCTGGATCTGGGCTGAGCTGCCACATGCATCTGGGTTCCTGAGCTGGTCTGGTTTCGTGAATAGGGTTGAGTTTGGGAACTGTCTTTGAATCCTAAGCTGGACAGGCTTCTGTAGCTGGGCTGCTTCTTGAGTCTCACCTGGGTTTCAGGACTAGCTGGTGTTCCTGAGCTAGACTGGCTGTCCAGGTATGGTTGTGTCATGGAGCTGTCTTGTGTTCCAGAGTCAAGTTGAGTTTTATGGCAGGGCTTGGTCAAAGAGCTGTGCTCACTTTGGAAACTGGCATTGGTCACAGAGCTGGGTTGGGTCTTAAAACTTGTCTGGGTTCCAGAATTTGACTTAATGCCAGAGCTCAGCTTGGCCTCAGAGCTGTCCTGCGTTCTAGAGGAGGGCTGGGTTTGGGTACAGGGCTGAATTCTGGAGCTAGGTTGGGTCTCAGAACTGGATTGTGTTCTAGAGGTGAACTTAGTTTCAGAGCTGGTTTGAGGTCTAGAACAGAGCTTGGTCTCAGAGCTGGGCTTGGTCTCAGAACTGAGCTTGGTTCTAGAGTTGGGTTTGGTCTCAGAGCTGGGCTTGGTCTCAAAACTGGTATGGGTTCTAGAGTTGAACTTGGTCTCAGAGATTGCCTGGGTTCTAGAGGAGGTCTGAGTTTTAGAGCTTGGTTGGGTCTCAGAACTAGATGAAGTTCTAGAGATGAACTTGGCCTCAGAGCTGGGTTGGAGTCTAGAGCAGGGCTTGGTCTCGGAACTGGTATGGGTTCTAGAAGTGATCTTGGTCTCAGAGATGACCTGGGCTCTCGAGGTGGATTGGATCTCAGATCTGAGCTGGGCTCTGGAGCAAGGCTGAGCCTCGGGAACTGGCCTGCAGGGCTGGGGCAGGGGACTGGGCTCCGGACTAGGGCTGCGCTCAGCCCCAGAGCAGACTAGCCACAGGCCTCCCTGGCCTCGCCAATGGCGGCCCACACCTCCACCACAAACTCGTCCGGGAAGGCGAACTCGCCCAAGACGGAGTCTAAACGGCGTGCAAACTCCTGAACGCTCACTGTCTTCTTGGATGTCTCCACCATGGTGGACGCTGCCGGAGTGGGAGGGGAAGTGGGTAAAGGTGCTCTGGGGCCCCAACTTCCCCTTGGGACCCCTACCTCCTCCCTGTGGGCTGGCCTCCCCCCAGGGTCCAATGGCTTACCCTGGCCCCTTACCCAGCTCTGGGTCCCGAATGCCCATGTAACTCTCCAGCAGGTCATCCACCCTCCGAGACGCTTCCTCCTCAAATTCACTGGGCTGGGGGCATAGGAGGACAAAACAGAGGGTCAAAATCTCAGATCCCTCCAGCCCAGCCCCCTCCCAGGGCCCCACCCCTTGGGTGACAGTAGGCTGGGACCTCATGTGTCAATGCTTCTGTACAACGACTATTGCCCTGCCTCACCATGAAGATCTATTTTGCAGGTGGGGAAACTGAGGCTGGGTGAAGGAGGTCTTACCCAAGGTCACATGATGCTTACTCAGAGGTGGAGCTCTAGGTGTAAGAGCCCCTTCACTCACCACTTCCTCTACTGTGGCAGCCCCCCCAGAACGAAGCCGCAGTGTCTCCCGCCCACTGGTCACTTTAGCTTCCATGGGGCATTTGCTGCTCCGGCTCCTCTGGCTGATCATATCTAGAGGGGACAGAGTGGTGGAGGGGCATGTGTTCTGGGTGGATCCACTCTTTGTAAACACTGGGAAACCACCAGCAGAGTCTTTAAGAACTTTCTTATCCTTCAAAGGCCTCTTTGGCAGCACTTTAAAAGCTCCTAGCCAGGTGACAAAATAGATTTAAATACCTCCTCATCCCTTTCTCCATTTCCCCAATTTTCCCCCTAGCCCCAGATAGACTATAACAATATAGAAACTACCTATCTGTTCCCAATACAGTGGCAGAAATTTCCTGTCATATCACCAGAGGCATCTAGAACCTTCCATCCTGTCCCATCCCCCCACCTTCCACTGTCCTCGGCATCCAAAGAACCCAGTTCCCCAAGAGCTTCCCCTACCCCACCCGCTTGCCCCCAAGGCCACAGGTGGCCCTCACCGAAGGCTCTCTTGGGCTGTACCAGGCGCAGGGTGAAGGGCTGGGCCTTGGGCAGCTCACGGAGCATCTTGGCCACTTCATAGTGACGGCAGCCAACGATAGAGTGATCGTTGATGGCTTCGATGCTATCGCCCACACACACAGCTTCGATCCTGTTGATGATGCTGCCCTCCTTGATCCTCTGCAGGGACCCAGAGTCACTCAAGGGACCACCCCCACTGAACCCATTTAGACTAGACAGGGGCACCCGGAAGTCGCCCCCCTCCACCGTGGGCACCTTGATGAAGGCGTATCCGGCCCCGTTGTCTGTGATCGTCAGCCCCAGGGCATCCTCCGTCTTAGTGACCTCCACCTCCTTGGTCTCGCCGCGCACATGTGCAAAGATAAAGTCCTCCAACCCTATCTGACCGCCCAGGAGTTTCTGCATGTCCACTTTATGGCTGTTTAGGGTGCAGAATAAGATCTGTCCCGAGGGGAGGAGGAGCCCAGAATTAATGACCGCGCTCATTCCCCACTGTCTGCGCAGAACTACCAGAGGGGATGGGCTCATGGGCCTGATAGGAAAACTGAGGCGCAAAGAGGCATAAAACTGGCTGTCACCTGGTGCCCAGGATCCAAGCCCACAGGAACTTCAGAATGGGGTTGGGAGTGAGAAGGAGACAGACCCTCAGAATGAGAAGACGGATGAGAAGGAGGCTGTGGACAGGAAGAAACCCCCCTTTCCCACTCCCAGATTCCAGTTTTAACCCTTTGGTGCCCTGAATTCCCCCTCTCCCCACCATCTTTTTCGTGGCGTTCTGCGTCCGCTGGTGCCCCCTGGGGGCTACAAGGTGCACCGCTCTGCAGCCCAGCCTATAGTCCAGGCAGCCTCCGACGTATCACCTGTAAAGGGGCTTCCTGGAACCCCAGCCCTCAGACGCTCTCAGGAACCACAGATGAGCTTCCCTGAGGGCTGGTATACACCTTAGCTGGCTGGGTGAAGTGGGTTCCCGGACGATCTAGGGACTCAATAACCCCTTAGACCTGCTCATCTTTTGTGCAGGCAGCTCAGAGGGGGCGTCCCCAAGGTATGGGCACCTTTAGATCTAAGTGGTGTCTCCGTGATCTGGAAATCGGGTCCCTCCATCCCCGAGTGGGGGGTCTGGGGGCCCCCAGTTCAGGGATCCAAACTCCACCTTACCCCTGGTTCAGCCCGGTGGGCCTCGGGCGCTGGGGGTCCACGGTCCTCACCTCTGTGGGCGCGATCCCGAAAGCCTCGGCGATCTTGGCGTAGAGCTCGCGGACGTTGGTGAAACCCTCGATCTTGCCGGTGGGGCTGCCGTGCGCCAGCTGCGTGCGGAAGACAAGACGCGGGCGGGCGCGGGGCGCCGCAGGGGGCTCGGAGGGCGAGGGTGGGGACGCCGGCGGGTGCGGGGCCTCGGCACCCCGGGCCTCACGGGTCGCTGCGCTCTCCATGGCCCGAGGAGCTAGGCGATCCGGGCCACCGCCTCCGCCACTGCGGGATCCGCTGCTTCCTGCGGCCTCCCCTCCCCCGGTTCAGGGCGCGACAGCCGAGCTGCCCGGGTAAGGGGATCCAGGAACCCGAGCTGCCCAGGAAGGCGACACCACAGGTTGCGGAGAGGAGGGGCGGCCCCAGGTGTCCGAGCCCTGCCAGGGCCAGCTGCGCGCTCCCCCGGGACGCTGGGAGGTCTGCGGGGGACCCGAGCTGTGGCGCGGGAAAAACATGGATCACAAAAAAGTACTAGGACAGCTGAGCGCGCCCCAGAGCTCACTTTGCAAGACGCGCTAATTTAATTCTTGCAACGGCCCTAAGAGATAGGAATTAGTTTACCCTGGTATAACCTGAGCCACATCTTGTCCCTCCTCTGCCCACAGCCCTCTGGGACTCCGAACTCCCTCATGGTAAAAGCCTGATGTTTTCCGTGGCCCATATGGTCCTGCACAACCGTCTCCCATTTCATTCCTGTCCTACCTCTTCCCACTCTCCCCACTGCTCACTGTGCTTTCCAGTCATAGGGTCCTCAGCTGTTTCCCCAACAAGCCAGGCTCGGTCCTGCCCCAGGGCCTTTGCGTGTGTTATTCCCTCTGCCTGGAACACCTTCTCCTAGATCTCCAAGTGGTTCCTTCCCTCACTTCCTTCAGCTCTTTGCTCAAATGTCACCCCTCTAACTTTCTCCAATCTCTTTTTCCAGCTTTCCTTTTCTCCCTAGCATTGAGCACCACTTCATAAATCACATGTTTTTACTTATCCATCTTGTGTCCTGTCTGTTTCCCCAGGGGTTCTAGTCTCTTGCTCCCCTGCTGTATCTGGGTGCCCAGTGTCTGGCACACAGTGAGCAGGCATCCAGGCAATATTTGATGAGGGAATAAATGGACCCCAGGTTACAGGTGAAGAAGGAGGCTCCAGCACCAGGAGGCCTCTGTAAGAATCCCCCGAGAATAGAACACTAGGCACCAGGAAGTTTGGCTCAGTAGACAGCAGTGGAATGCCAAACCCAGCAGAAGCATAAAGGGGCCTCCCAACTTGGAATAATTTCAGAATCCAGACAGTGATGGGAAAAGGCTTTGGACAATATAAGAAAACGTGTTTAAAGCCTACAAAACATGACACACACCGCAACATGGGTGAGCCTTGAACACATGATGCTCAGTGAAGGAAGCCAGACACAAAAGGCCACAGTGTGTGATTCTATGTGAAATGTCCAGAACAGGCAAATATTAAGAGACAGTAAGTAGATTTGTAGAGAGGGGATAGACTGCTAAGTGACACAGGGCTCCTTTATGGAGTGATGGAACATTCTGGAATTAGATTGTGGCAATGGCTGCACAACTTTGTGAATACACTAGAAACCACAAAATTGTACTCATTAAAACCTATTAAAAAGAAAAAGAAAAAAAAAAAACATCAAAATGGTACTCTTCCAGAAAGACATACTCATGCACTAAAAGTATGTAAAGACCTACCCAGGATGGCCCTGGCAGGTTTGGCTCAGTGGTTGGAGTGTCGCCACGGACCAGAGAGTCCCAGGTTCAGTTCCCACTAAGGGCACAAACCTCCGTTGCAGTTAGTCCCGCCCTGGTTGGGGTTGTGTGGGTGGCAACCACTGGATGTGTCTTCCACATGGATGTTTCTCTCTTCCTCCCTTCCTCCCTCCAGCTCTAAATGCAAAAATGTTGTTGGGTGGGGATAAAAAAAGCAAAAGCAAAGAAAAAATCTTAAAAAAATAAAATAACAGGGGGCAAGTGCAAGCTGGATGGGCACTGGGTGATTGTGTGCTCACTGAGGAAAAGTAATTAATCATGAGCAAAGGAGATCCTAAGAGGCTGAGAGGCAAAACGTCATCATATGCTTTCTTTGTGCAAACTTACCAGGAGGAGCACAAGAAGAAGCACCCAGATGCTTCAGTCAACTTCTCGGAGTTTTCTAAAAAGCGCTCAGAGGAAGGAATTTGAAGACATGGCAAAGGCAGACGAGGCCCGTTATGAAAGAGAAAGGAAAACTTATATCCTCCCAAAGGGGAAACAAAAAGGAAATTCAAGGATCCCAGCGCACCCAAGAGGCCTCCTTCGGCCTTTTTCTTGTATTGTTCCGAGTATCGCCCAAAAATCAAAGGAGAGCATCCCGGTCTATCCGTTGGTGATGTTGCAAAGAAGCTGGGAGAGATGTGGAATAACACTGCTGCGGATGACAAGCAGCCTTATGAGAAGGCTGCTAAGCTGAAAGAGAAATACGAAAAGGATATTGCTGCATACTGAGCTAAAGGAAAGCCTGATGGCTAAAAAGGCTGAAAAAGCAAGAAAAAGAAGGAAGATGAAGAAAATGAAGATGAAGATGATGATGATGATGAACAAGTTGGTTCTAGCGCAGTTTTTTTTTTTCTTGTCTATAAAGCATTTAACCCTTCTGTACACAACTCACTCCATTTAAAGAAAAAAATTGAAATGTAAGGCTATGTAAGATTTTTTAAATTGTACAGTGTCTTTTTTTGTATAGTTCACACACTACTGAATGTATCTTTAGATAGCCCTGTTCTGGCAGTATTTTCAATAGCCACGAACCTTGCCTGGTATAGTATGGGGGGTTGTAAATTGGCATGGAAATTTAAAGCAGGTTCTTGGTGCACAGAACAAATTAGTTATATATGAGGATGGTGGTTTTTTCATCTTCAGTTGTCTCTGATGCAGCTTATACAAAATAATTGTTCTGTTATCTGAATACCACTCTGTAATTACAAAAAAAAAAAAAAAAAAGATGCAGCTGTTTTGTTGACATTCTGAATGCTTCTAAATGCAATTTTATTTAAAAAACAAACAAAAAAAAACAGGTGCTCAAACAAAAACCTGTACACGCATGTTCACAGCAGTGCAATTCACAACTGCCAAGAGGTAGAAACAGCTCCAATGTCCATCAGTGGATAAATACAATGTATCCATCCACACAGTGGAATATTACAGTCAGAAAAGAAGTGAGCACTGACACTCACTACAATGTGCATGGACCTTGAAAACAGATGCTCAGTGAGAGAAACCAGACACAAAAGTTCAGAATGTGTGATCCCATTCATGTGAAATGTCCAGAACAGGCAAATCCACCAAAACAGGAAGTGGATTCCTGGTTGTCAGGGGCTGGTGGAAGGCAGGCCTGGGAGCCCAAGCAGGGGTATCTTGGTGGGGTCTTGGGCACATCTTCAGGCCCAATCCCCTACAAAAAAACACTCACAATTTGGTGAAATTCAAATTCCACTTTATTTTTAAATTTAAAAGTCCAGATTAAGCAGTGGCAAAGGGGCCACCTTCATGACGGTCCCTTAGCTGGACAAGGGTGGGTGCAGGAATTCGAGGGCCACAGGCAAAAGTCCCTCACCCAAGCATGAGAGCAAGTCCTGCAGCCTGCCTGTTTGTGTGGGGCACCTGTGGTCAGCATCTTCCAGGAGTCTCTCCCAATGTGTCAGGTATGGGTTTTCCCTGCCCTGTGTCCTGCGTTAGATACTGGAGAGCCACTGGAGCCTGTGCCACCCTCCGAGAGCTGTATTTGGTCCCCTTGTAGCCTAGGTTATTCTGCCCATGTATGGTGTTCCCACATCCCTGTCATATGACATGTCCTGTGAGGCCATGGGGTTCTGTGTGGTGTGCATGGCAGGTGACACTTTGGATTTAGGGTACTGGGGAGGTTGAAAGCTAGGGGGATGGTGTAGAATAATTGTAGGGGGTGGAAGCTCCCAAGGTGCACCATCAGATCTGGCCCCAAAGGATGGACCCCCATCCCTCCTCCATGGGGTAGGAGTGGGGGTGGGGCCAGGACTAGAATTTGGTCTTCTCTGGATCTCCGGGGGCATGATAAACACCTTCACAAGTGCTCACTGCAACAGGAGAGAGGAGGGGAGTCGTGATGGGGGCTCCATCATCTCAGTCCCCACCACCATCCTGGGGGACACTAGAGGCCACCCTCCCTCAGCAGCTCCAAACAGATATCAGGGTGGAGGCCTGGAGTTGACCCCATCTAAAACCTGGGGAGCCAGAAAACACCCAGAGTAAACTGCCAAGAAGCTTTGAAGAAGTTCTAGTTCCCCCGAGTGAATCCAATTGGCCAAGGGGGGCTGGCAGATCCCACCCAAAAGCATTAATACAGCACTCAACCTGATCAGCACCCCCAGTGGGCCCGCCATTAGCCTCGTGCCCCATGCATCAAATAAGTCCCACCTGGCAAATCCCGAATGGGCGGGGCGTGGGAACAAGATCCAGCTGCTGGATCCCACTCTGCAGACCCCTGAACCCCACCAAGGGTGAAATGCAGGCATTTTCGCAGAGGTAGGCCAAGGCAGGTCTAGCTTGAGGCAGTCCCCCACTCAGGGCCGCCCCACCTGGGCAGACTCAGGCACACACCTGGCAACCTGGGCCAGGATCTCCTTGATGCGGATGATGAGCTTCTCATGCTGCGCAGGGTCGCGCTCAATGGCTCCGTGCAGCCGGGCCATGTAGAAGTCCAGCGTGCTGAGCGTGGGCGTCTCGCCCGTGCCTGAGGATGGCAGGGACTGGTCAGCTGCGCTCAGTGTTGGCCTAGCTGCATTCGGGGCTCCAGGAAACGGAGGTCAGAGGATCAGGGTCTTTAAGGGAGGGTTCTGGGGAGGGGCCCCTTGGCGCCTGTGGGGTCGGGTGAAGGGTCTGGGCGTCTGGACCTGAGAGTCAAGGTCAGCTGAGGAAGAAAGTGGGGGGTGGGGGTCTAGTCGGGGAGAGGAAATAAGTCAAAGTCAGCCAAAGATAATCACTAAAGGCAGGGACAGATGGGGTTGCAGCAGGCAGGTCAGCGAGGGCAGGGCAGCAACACTGACAAGAACTGCAGGCAGTCGGTGGGGCAGAGATGAGAGTGGGGGTGAGGTGAAGGGCTTGGGGGTGGTTGGAGGTGGCAGAGGACTGCAAACTGGGGTCATATGGAGGGGAGACGGTGGGGTTGGGGCTCTCTATGTCCAGGGTCAGGGTCAGGAGGCAGAGACACCAGGGGAAAGACTCGATGTGACCCAAGGTGGGGTTTGAGGTTGTCCCAAGGCAGGGTTAGCAAGGACAAGACGTGGGCGGGGACAGGGCTTCCGCACCAGGGACCGGCAGCGAGGCGAAGCTGGCGGTGAGCGCCTGGCGCACAGCCTGGAGCTGCTGCTGCAGAGCCAGCGTCCGCCGCTCCTCCAGAGCCAGCTCCTGCTCCAGGCGCTCACGCGCGCTGCTCATGTTCTGCGTGTGCCTCTGCAGCACCGCGTTCTGCTCCTCGAAGGCCACGTTCATCTTCCGCAGGCGCCGCAGCTCTGCCTCCCGCGCTGCAGCGGGGAGCCAGGTCAGAGCCTGGCACTTCCTCCCCCTACCCTCTGCCAGGGCTTTGCCTCAGCTATGCCTTAAGCCATTGCTCTGCCTCCAGCCCCAACCTTTAGCTCCCAGGGCTAATGGGCAGGGGAGGAAGATGGCTCCGGTTTTAGAGGTAACTACTTCCCACTCACTGCCTCCTGCCTAGGATCCCTCTTTTGGCCCATCCCCTCTCCCAACACCTGTTTCCCCAAGAACCCTTAGTTGGTGCTCACCTTTGTTTTGGTCCAAGAACTCTTCAGTGAAAATAGGGACATCAAAGGTGGAGAAGCCATCGCAGTCCCCACCCTGGGACAAGACAGGTGGCAATGTTTATTTTGAGGGGGCATCCAAACACCCTCTGGGATTTTCCCCAAGCCTGGGGGATCTCCTTGAGCCACTTAGGTCGGAGTCTATTTAACATTCCCACATTGTGGACGCCCCTGCCTCTGCTTGCACAGGATGGAGGAGGGCTGCTCACTTCCCATGAACCTTGGTCCTGGCTCACCCAGGGGCCTTACCCAGGGGCCTAAAGACTTCCAGACCTTTCTCACCTACATGCTCTCCTTGGAGGATGGGCACTTACCTTGTGTCCATTCAAGAGGGTATTCATGAGCCCGGAGCCCGAGTCCTCTGGTGGGGGAGGGAGGAGGGCAGGGTCAGCCTCCCAGGTCTCCTCTGGCTCTGCTTTGCTTTGCATGTGCTGTTCCCCCTGCCTGCAACACCCTCCTTCCCTTCCCCCAATGTGAGCCCCATGGAGGGGGGTGGGTCAGTCTCCAGGGTCACCCCTCTCAGAGCAGGCACTTAGCTGCCTGGGGGCTGGCTGGTGCCCTTCTCACCTTTCTTGATCTTCTTTTCCTGGATCTTCTCAGTGCACATCTTGTAGGCTTCTGACTGCTGGTATGCCCGCAGCTCCTTCATGTATTGCTGCTTCTCCCTCTCGGCCTCGTCCAGGTACCGCTGGCAGGGTAGCATGAGAAGGCTTGACCCAGACCCCAGGCAGAGGAGGCCTCCAAGGTCAGGCCCCATCTCCATCATTCATCGCACTGTGTTGGACATTTCCAGAGCTTCTTATTACCCTCCACACAAAACCTGGTCCCTCAGCCTACTGCTCAGGGTACCTCCTAGCTCCCCACCCCATCTCCAGCCTTTATAAACCACCCATGATGTCTGACTGTAGGCTCCCACTTTCAGGCTGCCCTCCTGTACCCATTTGCCTGTTGAAATCCCACTTATGAAGGTACAAACCAGTGGTGGTTTTGTTACCTTTCCTTGATGTTTATGCAATTTTTAAATTACTATGATTTGAAAATCGGTTTCACATAAAAATCCAGCTCCCACCCCTACTTCTTTAGACATTGGGTGACCACACTGGTTAAGTTTTGTCTAGTCTCGTCTCCTGTTACCCTTCCCTCAGTAAACTGGGAGGCCTCATGGATGGTCTGTTCTCCTGAAGGAAGAACCCTCCACACCAGGTCCTTTCAGGATGTGGCTGTGTGGGGGAGTATCTGAGTGTGTGTGTGTGTGGAAGTCAGTGGTCCCTGACCAGCCCCATCTGCCACCCCTGCTGTCCACCTGCTTCTCTGTGGGCTGCAGTTTGCTCCACTCGGCACCCAGCATCTTGGTGATCTCAGGAAAGGGCAGGTCCGGGTGGCGCGTGCGAATCTGCTCACGCCGCTCGTTCAGGAAGCGCACATAGCCAGTGACAGGTGCTTTGGGACCATTTGGCAGGATCTTCTTTCGCTTCTTTCCTTTGGGCCAGCCGCGCTTCTTCACAGGCTGCAAAACCACGCAGCGCCGTTGGGAGGAGCCTGGAGGGCTGGGGCGGGGCCCTGAGTGGGTGGGGCGGGGCCTTGGACGACCTGGGTGGGGCTAGAGGTGAGGTAGCCAGGAGGTAGAACCCAGAAGTCCTGGAGGTGTCCAGGTTAAGGGTTAAGGTTGGTATGGGGGTTGGGGAAACCTGGACAGAAGTGAGGGGTATCAGAGATATTGGGAACAGGGGTTCAGGCTGGCTTCTGTTGTGGGTGTGACCTCTGTAATATGGACGTGGCTTGCACTGGAGGAAGGGCCCACATGACCACCACAAGGTGCTTTCCCCTGGGAGGCAAGAAGGGCAAGGAGCTAGCATCCTGTGCATGCAGAGGCCCCTGCCTCTGCATGCACAGGATGGAGGCGTGGCAGTGGTCCTTGTGGGGCGTGGCACCTACTAAGGGGCGGGGTCTCAACTTCCGGGGGGTTCTGGACAGTGGGCGGAGCCATAGCGAATTCAAATCTAGTTTGAGGTGAGTCTTGGAGGTTGAGGGCGAGACTCTGAGCCTCCTCTACCACAATACGAGGACTCTCACCTCCTCCTCGTGGGACCCCTTCTCACTGACTCGCGGGACCTCGCCGCGCTCTTGCTTGACAGCCACCACGAAGCCCCCATGCTGTCCAGGAGCCTTGCTACCCGCCGGCCTGGAGTCACGGGACGCCGGAGTCATCCCCATCCCCCACCCCGACAGCAGGGCTGGCAGAGAGGGGCTGCCTGAGTCATGGGAGCAGGGATCGCTGGGGCGGGGGCAGGGTTCAGGGGTAGGATCAGGAGCACTAAGGAGCCAGTAGGGACCCATGGGAGAGACTGAAGCCACAGGATGCAAGGGTCACCCCCACCCCTCACCCCCGACGGCAGATATAGCAGCAGCTAAAGGGCCCAATTCCTGCTAGGGGGGCCAGTAGGGACCCCTGGGAGGGACTGGAGCCCGGGCGGGGATAAAAGCCCGTGGGGGCCTTAGGTGAGGGCCTGCCCGGGTGGTGGGAAGTCAAGATCCTGGGGACCAGGGTCGAGGAGCTCCGACAAGGTGGGCGGGGGCTGAGCTGCAGCCCCGAGTGGACTGTGGGAGGGGAAGTCGCACTCACGCGACGGCCGCGCCGGGCTGCTTGGGGCCGTGGGACATGGCCGCTCCCGGCCGCACCTGGAACGCAGACGCGTGGCCGAGTAAGGGGCGCCCGAGCCGCCGATGGCGGGGCCCGGCTGGGGAGCCCGGGAATGCCGGGCCCAGAGCGCTTGGGGGGGGCCGGATCCAGGGGCTGGGAGGGCCTCCAGGGCGGGCGCCCCAGGGATCCTTTGTTGGAAGATCGGCCCCCGGGAAGCCCTGATCCTCCCCACCTGGCCTGGAAGCGGCCCCGTCCCAGTCCCGAGACCCCCGCACCCCTGGCCCCTCGCAGGGCCCTGAGTTCCGCGGCTGTTTTCACCTCCAAAGAAACTTTCCCGGACCTCTCGGCTGCTGCGACTCTCCAACCAACCGCCCGTAGCCCACCCCTGCCGTCCACCCCGCCCCGCTCCGCCCCCTGCAAGCTAATGATGGCCTCCACGAGCGGTCGGATTGGGGTGCGCCCTTTCCCTGGGGCGTGACCATGCAGATGAAGGTCGGCGCGCCGGTCTGTGATTGGCTGGGGCGGCCACTGAGCCGCGTGGGAGGAGGATAGGGAAGGCTGCGGGCGGTGCGTCAAGTTCGGCTGCGCTCGGCAGCTCTCGGGACTAATCAGGGCGCTTTGAGGCCTCGCCCTGCGGAGCCTCTTAAAGGGCCAGTAGGCGCCGCCCGGACTCCTCCTCGGCTAAGGGAGATTCCCCGCTCCTGCCGGACTGGCTTCAGCCCCCCCCAGTTGCCATGGGGACGGGGGCAGGTTGCTAAGGAAGGGGTTAAGGACTTTCGGGGCAGCCCCCTGCCTCACCGAAAGGTGGAACAAATTCTTAGCATCCTGCAAACCTGGCGAGGAAGTTTTCCCGTTTATTGACTGGATTTAGGACCTTCGACTCCGCTGTGCCTGGTCCTGCTCTCCCTCCTGTGTAGTGAAGACATTGCCGATGTCCAGGAACGGGAGGCCGGGATACAGTGAAGCTGAGACCAAGAGCCTGGCTAGGCTGGTGCTCTAGGCAGGAGCTGGGCTGGGATCATTTGGGGAAAGGTGGTGGGACAGGGAGGGCTGCTAGGACCTTGTGAAGCTGGAGGGGCAGGAGGCACTGCCCTTGGATCTTGAGGACCTCCAGGCAGTAGCCTGGTCTTCTCATGGCCTGGGCCTAGGCTGCCGCTGCTCCCAGAATGCCAGTAGCCGTCCCTTGGTGCTCATGATAAAACCATTTGATCCTAAACAATCCGCCAGACTCACCTTGCTTCTTCCATGTTCCTCAAATACATCCATTTAATTCATTTCCACCTCTGGGTCTTTGCACTCGCTGTTCCCTCCACCTGGCATGGCCTACCAACCCCCCGCCAGTCCCCCCCCAGCCCCCCCCTCCACCCCCGACTATCTGCCTGGCTCACTGCTTGACTTCCTTCAGCTCAGATGTCACCTTGGGAGTGAGGCTTTCCCAAGCTTGTACCCCACCTCATACACCGTCTTATTTTTTCTCCATATGTCTGTTTCCTCCATATGATCTATCTCTGTTTAATTTTTTTATTGATTTGAGAGTGGGAGGGGGATAAAGAGAGATGACAGAAGACTTGATTTGTTGTTCTACTTATTTAGGCATTTATTGGTTGCTTCTTGTATGTGCCCTGGCCAGAGATGGAACCTGCAACCTTCGCATATCCAGACGATGCTCTAACTAACAACTATCTGGCCAGAGTGGTGACCTGCTTGTTTGTTGATTGCTGTATTTCCAGCACATAGAACAATGCCCAAAGGAGCTGCTTAATACATTTTCATTGATTAATGAAGAAATGAATCCCGTACATTTCTAAACAGGCAGGTATAGCTGCTTTGTAAAGCAGTATGGCAGCTCCTCAAAAGGTTAAATAAACAGGGAATTACCATGTGATCCAGCAATTTCACTCCTAGGTATCCACCCAGGAGAATTGAAAACACTTGTCCATACAAAAACCTATGCAAGAAAGTTCACAGCAGCAGAATTCACAATGGCCCAAAAGTAAAAACAACCCAATGACCATCAATTGATTACTAGATAACCAAAATGTGATCCGACAGAATATTATGTAAAACAATAGAATAGTTTTGGCCATAAAAAGGAATAAATTGCTGCCCTGGCCGGTTTGGCTCAGCGGTTGGAGCGTCGGCCTGCGGTACAGAGAGACCCGAGTTCGGTTCCCGCTAAGGGCACGTGCCTCGGTTGCAGTTTGTCCCCGGCTCTGGTTGGTCGTGCGGGTGGCAGCCACTCGATGTGTCCCTTCACATCGATGTTTCTCTCTCCCTCTCTCTCCCTCTCTCTCCCTCCTGCTCTATCTGAACAAAAAATGGAAAGATGTCCTCGGGTGAGGATAAAAAAAAGGAATAAATTGCTGACTTATGCTACAATAGTGGTGGATTTTGAAACATGATGTTTACTCAGTAAAAGATGATGGTCACAAAAGGCCACACAGTGTAAGATACCATTTATATGAAATGTCCAGAACAGGCAAATCCATAGAGACAGAAAATGGATTCATTGTTGCCTGGGGATAAATAATGAATGAATGGTTCATTCTAGGATTTCAGCACCACCCAAAAAAGAATTAATGGGGAGGGGGATAGGAGTGACTGCTGATGGGATGAGGTTTCATTCTGGGAGATCAAAATGTTCTAGAAAGCCCTGGCCAGTTTGGCTCAGTGGTTAGAATGTCAGCTGTGGACCAATGAGTCAGAGGTTCGATTCCGGCCAAGGGCACGAACCTCAGTTGTGGTGGCTGTGTGGGAGGCAACCAGTCGATGTGGCTCTATCACATTGATGTTTTTCTCTGTCTCTCTCTCCCTCCCTCCCTCCCACTCTATATGATGATAAATAAAAAGTATCCTTGCCGTGGCCAGTTTGGCTCAGCGGTTGGAGTGTCGGCCTGCGGTCCGGAGAGACCCGGGTTCAGTTCCCGCTAAGGGTATGTACCTCGGTTGCAGTTTTCCCCCGGCCCTGGTTGGGTCATGTGGGTGGCAGCCACTCGATGTGTCCCTTTCACGTCGATGTTTCTCTCTCTCCCTCCCACTGTATCTGAACAAAATATCAAAAAATGTCCTCAGGTGAGGACTAAAGAAAAAGTATCCTTGGTTGAGGGATAAAAAAAAAAGTTCCAAAAGCAATGATAGTTGTATAATTCTGTAAATATACTAAAAACCAAGAAACTGTACACTTTAAATTGGTGCATTATATGGTATGTAATTTAAATCTGGTTAAAAGGATGAGTGTGCCCTGGAATCTTGACAGACCCAAATTCCTGCTCTGTTGTTTCATTAGCTGTGTGATTGTCCACACCTCCTTTGCCTCTCACTGCTCTGTTAGACAGTATAGGTAACACTGAGGGCAAAGACGAGTATTCAAAATTTCTAATTACATTATTATTATTATTTTTTTAGAGAGAGAGAGAGGAAGTAAGAGGGAGAGAGAGAAACATCAATGAGAAAGAACATCTATTGGGCGCCTCCTGCATGCCCCCCACTGGGGATCTGGCCCACAACCTGGGTATTTGCCCTGAGTGGGAATCCAACCTGAAACCTTTTGGTATATGGAGGACGCTTCACCCTACTGAGCCACCCGCCAGGGCCATAGTATTGCCTTTTTTTTTAATATTTTTTAATTATTTTTTTCTTTATTGATTTTAGAGAGAGAGGAGGGCAGAGGGGGAGAGATAGAAACATCGATGAGAGAGAGCATCGACTGGCTGCCCAATTCATGCCTCCCCCTGGGGATTTAGCCCACAACCTGGGCATGTGCCCTCACTGGGAATCAAAGCGGTGACTTCTTGGTGTATGGGTCGACACTCAACCACTGAGCCACACCAGCTGGGCAGTATTGCCTTTTTTGTTCTTACTGAGGTTTTTATTTCATTTTCAAATATGAATCAGGTGAAAATTCCCAGGAGATAAGTCATACATATTTCATTTTGTTCACTTATCATAAGCCACATTCCTCTTTTGTATTCATTGACTAAGAGATACATGTGACATCAAAAAACGGCAGGCCAGGCCATACATTCTTGCCACGAAACATTATTGCTAAAATGTGATAACAAAACCCCACTGAACACAAAAATAGTCAGTTTGAAGTGGTGTTTTTTGTTTGGTTTGAATCAGCAGAATTCACACACATATGTTGTCTATCTGAGTATTAAAATTTTGTAAGTATAAATCAGCATATTAAAAAACAAAATCTAGGTAAGACTTCCAAGATAGAAGACAGAGAAAGACCCGCCCTCTGAGCCCCGCCTTTTTTGCTTGATTGATAAGCCTGGTGTTGCCATAGAAACAGTTTTTTCCACTCCCTACCTACCACACAAGGAATTCAGGGCTCTTCATGCACATAAAAAAGAAACAAAGGGCCCTGGCTGCTGTGGCTCAATGGTTAGAGCTTTGTTCCTCGCATCAAAGGATCGCGGATCCCAGGCCCTGGTCAGGGTCTAACAGAGGCAACCAATCCATGTTTCTCTCTTACATCGATATCTCTCCGTCTCTCTCTGTCTCCCGGCCGGCCACTTTCACTCTCTCTAAAATTCAATGGAAAAAATATCCTCTGTAACAAAAATAAATAAATAGAGCCCTGGCCAGTTTGGCTGAGCGGTTGGAGCATCAGCCTGTAGACCAGAGTCCCGGGTTCGGAACCCGCTAGGCCCTAGTGGCTAGGGGCACGTACCAAATAAATAAAATAAAATATAAATGAATGAATGAATGAATGAATGAATAAATAAATAAAAAGAAACGAAGGGGCAGCAAGCTACAGCAAGAGAACATTCACAGGACTTTTCATGTGGCCACTTCTGTGGGGCTGTTAGATCTATATAAACCTCTTTTTTTTTTTTTTTATTGATTTTGTTTTTTGTGTTTTTTTTTTGGTACATGCCCTTAGCGGGAACCAAACCCAGGACTCTCTGGTCCGCAGGCTGACGCTCCAACCACTGAGCCAAACCGGCCAGGGCTTATATAAACCTCTTTTAAAAGCCATTCATTTGGCCAGCCGGTGTTGCTCAGTGGTTGAGCGTCCACCCATGCACCAGGAGGTCGCTAGTTCAATTCCTGGTCAGGACACATGCCCAGGTTGTGGGCCTGATCCCCAGTGGGGGGCATGCAGGAGGCGATCTCTCTCCTTCATGTTTCTATCTCTCTCACCCTTTCAATTCCTCTCTCTCTAAAACCAATAAAGAGGAAAAAAATTAAAAAAAAAAAAAAAGCCATTCATTTGCTTTGCATACATCCTACCCAAACAAAAGTGCCAGTTTCACTATTTATGTTATTTCCTCACAAGGATGGGGACTAATAAAGTTTTAATTATTTGACACTAAAAAAATAAGAAAAGAAATGAAGGGCCCAGCTGGTGTGGCTCAGT